TTGCCTGCTCGCGTGGTGACCTAGAGGAACGGATTAGATCTCGTAACCGGTTAGTCTCGTATCCCAAATTCCTTTGGCGTCCCCCGGATTCTAGTTAGCGACTTAAAATGGAGGATTAAAGAAGCCTCGTTCTCGGTGGTAATTGATCCATAGACGCGACGTTACATGCCCTCGATTAGAATACGTACCGAACCGCTACCAATTTGTAGCTAGATAGGTATTTTATTATACCTACCTATCCCCAGGATCAGCCCACCAAGGAAGAACGAAGATAGCATGATGTTCCTCCAATACTAGGATCTTTTACTCCCCTTAATATTAAATAACGTGTGCTGTGTTAATACAAGTTTGTAATTGGTGTGTTAAGTACCTAGATGAGCTAAAGGACGAGATTAATTGACCGGCTTGGGCTAAAGTCGGCGCTGTGTGACAGACGTGATAGACGCCATTTCAGATCAAAGTGCCGGAAGTGAAGCCAACAAACAATGGCTTCTCAATGTTGGTATGATGCTATTGTTGACGTGACCTTTTGGCTCGCGTTTTCGGACTAGTAAGCAGAAAGATGTGATGGTTGTCCCAGTTACTTGATCTACCATTGGATCCTCCATTAGCACGAGGGGGTATGATCAACCGGACAATATAGCCTCGCCTATCTCGCCTTAATAAATCTCTACTAAAAATCACAAGAGATCAATTAGATCGGAATAAAAGAGGAACGATTCAATGGGTCACTTTCGTAAGGGTGAGATGGAAAAAGGAATAATTCTAGAATGAGATGACATGGTAAAAACATAAGAATACCTAGGACCAAGCAGATAACCCTGTTCCTGCTACAAATACGGTAATGCTTACGTAAGTAACTATGTACCTGCTAGTTAAGTGTAATATGTATAACCTAGAAGCCTGTGTTTGCTTGTAGCGGGGCCCCATTCTAAAAAGGAAATGGGGAGGATCTAAGAACTAGAAAAAGGGGACCTGGAGATTTGGGGTCCCCGCGCTCTAAATTCCCCAAGGTCACTAAAGAAAGCTAAAGAGTCTAACTTTGGTCGGCCCGAATACATGGCGCATAGGTAATCTTAACCTTAGGTACCTTAGGTAATCGCTTTGAACCAATTCAACTATCAATTCAACATAATCTCATCCGACAACCACCACACCAAAAGTAGCCTCATCTCGTGAACCTCTGAACCTCTGAACCTCTGAACTAATAGTCGTTCAAATACTAAACTAAACTCCTATGCTCGGCCTAACTGTGGACACCCTCGGCCGGTACGGGGAATCACGTTGAGGTCAAACCCATATGGATTGCTTCTCGTGGCAGCTTATCCGCCAACTATAGTCCGTACCGCGTGCCACCAGCTCCTTCAAAGTCTTGGCGCATATTGTATTGGACAATTGACCTCGCGGCGTCTTTCCCCGGACCCCAGACCCCAGTTAATAAAGGGGTGTGTTAGCGCCCAGTCAGTTTTCAATCGAGTCACATGTCTAGACGCAAGGCAAATTTCAAATTCCTGGCTCCAGAGCCTAGACTTTTGTCTGCCCCGAATGTGAGCCTAGCTTACATCGACCACGAGGTGATCGACCTTCGAGGGTCCCTACGATAGTACTACTGTATGTACGCTGCATCTTCTGGAACGCCTCGCTACCGAAACTTTGGAATAACCCACGCGGCAGGATAGCTACCTACGTTTGTTAATAGCTTCGCAATAATTTTAACGCCGAAGCTATAGTATGGCATTTTCTCTGCCGAGGTCTGATGGGAGCTACCCCAAGCTCTACAATTAGCCCCTAGCTTATGCTAAGCTAAACTTCTCGTCACCAACATGATTACTCTACCTTAACGGTTCCTGGTTGGTAGAGGATGAGATCTAGTGGCGAGAGTAGTTCGGGGAACAAGCTTTGTTGCTTTCCCAGAACCATGGCACTGTCTGCCGTCATTAGACGAAGTTGGTCTTGGCTAGAAGCGAACGGCACGTAGGCAGGACTCGCCTTAAAACTTAATACGGGAGCTCGTTACGCGTCATCTGGTAAGAAAAATAAGACTCGACAAGGCGAAGATTCTCGCATGATTTCATACACTAAGACGTACAAAGTGTATTAAACGGAAGAGAATCAGCCGCGCTCGGGCTTTCCGTAGACGTACAATTCTTCTAATACTTCTCATCTAATCGTACATACTCTATCACAATCGGTAACTCCACTAACTAGACTGTTCTAGAGATTTGGCTCTTCTGGACTCTTCTCAGTATGGACCTCCGGAGTTCACTGTGGCGCTGAAACCGGGTTTCACCTACCACACTTCGTCACCGCTCGTAGGTGGCGTTTACAGATAAGTCGGTGTAGTAGCAAAGGCCTGACCAGCGGACGAGACTACAGTCGCCGTGCCATAAATACTTCGACGCCGGTTTCACTCACATGACACTAATACAGACACGCGGCACTCAGCTAGTGTGATTGGCCTCGTGGTTAGAAGCGACTTCAGCTAGATTAGCAAGACAAGCCCGTATCCGATGGAGGCTTAGAGGCTGAAGAATGGTTCGATTATATCCCACGCAAAAAATTCTACCGAGACTTTTCTTTTGCCTTAGCTGGTTATTCATCTATGTCGATTACGGTGTGGCATTTTCACTTCGCTCCTTATTCAGCTCACCTTTTGACCGATCTTGACAAGGTCAGTTTCGTATTACTACATCGAAAGATCTACCTATACAAGTCGTATTGAGGTCAGGGAGCATGAATCCTTCTTCGTCCGACAGAATACGCTGGTGTGAACGAAAGTCTCATTAGCCTAGGTAAGTATTATCTAAGATGAAGTGAAATAATGTGTATTGTCTCGATATAACCCTCAGCTAACCAACTTCGCGGCACACTCCCCTAATTTTTCTTTTTATCGCACCAAGGACAACCCAAATATCCCGACCCAGGATCCTCGCTAGTACGGTAGACCGCCTGGATTGAATCTATGTATAGAAGTTTATCGGGCAATAATCATGCGGCTCCATCGCGTGACCTGTCGTCCCATATTAAGCACAAGCAACTCAGCTATGTCGCCAAGCACGGAAGGGAAACTTCACCGCATCACGGTCCATTAAGCCCAACGTACGGATCAGTATTAGCCTTTAAGTTGATGAAGCAATAAGATAACATTGCCAGACTTTCGGCCTCTTCCCTCCAATGCACTCAACTTCCAGGTACCCCGTAAAAATGGCGATGCGTAATTCTTACGACCTGATAGGTCAAAGTAACCTAACTTGTCCCTTACGTCCAATCACATAGTTCTACAAGGTCTAACTAGATGAGCCTTAAACAATATACGGTAAAGATGTTATTAAAACAGCAGAAGACAAACAAGTATAAATTATCATCACAGGATAAAGCTTCAAGTAAACTGAAAACCCCTTCCCCTTGAAACAAGCTAGATTCACATATCTTACTGTAGTGACTTAAGTGCGCCCTTACTTCCCGATCACGTCAAGCAGCATAGCGACCCTATATTTTCAGGCACCTATTCAACCCGTATTCGTAGCACGTATATTACGAACCGGAATAATTAACCATGTTTATCTCAGTAAAATTAGAGCACATTTTTCGAGTTTTCATGCGAAATGTAGTCTCAGGCACGGACGTTGACTGTAAGCCTATTGTGGCCCAAGTCAAAAAACGTGATGTACACTCTTCAATGATTTTACAAAGAATGATCTCAAAACAAGGCTAACAACAGTCAGGGGTAGAGGATTGATTACTTTGGTTCCGAGCGTTTTCAGAATTGTGTTGCAGCCATCTCTCGTAAAATTACTGAGATAAAACCATGTATCATTTTACTCTCAGCACATCAAGCAAATGGCACTAAACAAGAACATGTCTACATATGACTATAACAACCATCCATAAACAAATCACCACTGGCTATGTATATATGTAATAAAACGCCAGTGACTTCTCTCCTGCCATGTAAACACTCTCAGCCGCAACAATGGAAAATCAGCAAGTGCCCGGTCCTAATTTCAACGTCGAACTAAACTATGACGACAATATAACCCCTAATATACCTCTACGTTGAGACGTAGAGCAGAGAACTAGGTAATTAATAAGCCGACCCAGATAGCCAAGTAGTTTGCTATAAACGTTATATAAAATTCTAGGGGCTATTTGACAGCCAATGACGAAGACCTAGCAGAACACAAGATCGTATAGAGCAGCCAACACTCTTCACAAGTAGCTATATCCCCGTACCACCGAAACACACAGAAGAAAGAGCTTCTAGGTATGTCTCTTACTCACCAACCTACCTACTCAAGTTGATAGTCCCGTGCGCTTTACCTAATAAATTCAAATTTATACTTCACTTCTAACTCGCATCCTTAGTCACCCTCGACCTCGACCCCAAGTAGTACATAAACACCTTAGGTTAAGTATGTAGGCTTCACGAAGTTAAGTTACCATCTTTCAATTGCTATCTAGCCCCATCTCTCTTCTGCCCTCCCTACGTGCGTTCACGTACCTATAACGCTCAACGCGTCTCGGCAAGGTAACATCTAGATAGGTTAAGTATCTAGCTACTTAGCTAGCTACGACCGCCCAACTCCCCGCCTGTCCGTTCCAATGTATGCATGTAGACATGGCATGTGCGATTGCGTAACGACAAAAAAAAGACGACAAAAAGACACATGGCATCGTGGTTGGTCCTGTTCTCATAACCCGTCGCAAGCAGTTTCGTCAAACCGAGCCGTCCTCCCCTTCTCCCCCCTCCCCCTCCCTACGAGCTCTGTCATCTGTAGGCACGATCCCCGCCCCCGGCTCAGTTGATACACCCAAAAAGACGGGATCGTACACGCCCGCGTGGGGAATCCAAAATTCCATTCGCAGAGTCTAGCCCCTGAGGGCTGTGATGATGAACAAGGCCACATATTGGTAAGGTAAAAGAAACGGGACTGGAAAAAACACGGGCTGGCGTGGGGGGTATAATCTTTCTATCTGTATGGTCGAATGAAACCGAGCTCCTCGCGTGTCCTCGAGCATTACCGAAAATATTGAACAGTCTAGTTTCGTATGCATGCCTCGTGGTCATAGTTCTTATCTGTAGCATTTATCCCCTACTTCTGGAAAAACCAGCTGCTTCTCTTATTGGCATTGCCTTCATTCTGTAGGTTGGCGATAGTCGGGACCTGGGCCGGAGCGTCAGCGGCGGTACCGCCACCACGGAGGGGCTTCGCGATACGGCTGCCTGCATTGGCAAAGCTGAAGCCACCGCCGGATTGCGAGTTGAGGCCACGGGTCGAACCGGCCTTGGCTGCCTCGAGACGCTCCTTGACGGCTGTAAGTTGAGACTCGAATCTGTTATTAGTGTTAGTAGAAGATGACAAGTTGGGGTAAACAATGACAGACCTGTGGTTCGCAGCGGTTAGCTTTTCTTGGCTGTCCTGCAACAAGCTCTCCAAACTAGAAATACGCTCGTTCCTCGCGATAAGCTTCCTCTCGGCGATAGCTACCTCCTTCTTTAGGCTGCTGTTTTGCTCAACAAGTTGGCGTTGGACTTGGGTTAGCTGCTCTAAATTGCGTTCGAGGAACGCCATCTTCTTCTGCTGAGCGCGGTTGTTAGACGACCGCAACACGTTGTTGTATTGTTCTCGAGTCTCATCAAGCGAAATCTCGAGCTCGACTACCCTCTCACATCTGTTCTGTAGGTCTCTCATCAAGCTCTTCTTCATGACGTCGAATTCGGCGATTTGCTGCTGCATCGTCTTGCCATTGGCCATACCTGGTACACCGCTATGCAAGGATATCTCTGCTTGTCGGACGATGCCTTGGGTTTCCACTAGCTTAGCCTTTAATTCTTGTAGATCATCTGGTGGGATCGGGTCTCCTGATGAGCTCAACTCGTATAACGCCTCGACTTGTTGAATGGCATTGGCAATGGACTGCTCATTGGCACTAAACACGTCTCCACCTAGATCGAATCCTGCCATCATCTGAGCCATCTTCTCGGCCTTCTTCTTCTCCTTATCATCTAGAACAGCGCTCGTCTCCTTTGCGCTCATCTTGATATCTAGGAGCTGCTGTTTGACTTCATCGAGCTCTGTCGTCAGTTCCGCATTCGCCTCCTTCAACGCATCCATTGTGATCTGAGCTTCCTTGCTTTCAAAGGTTAGCCGCTCGAGTTGCATCTTAGCCTCGTTAACCTCAGTTGTTAATTTCTCATTCTCTTTTCCTAGTTTGCTATCGTGTTCCTTCAAGAAAGATAACTCTTCCTTGGACTCTAGGAGGGACTTCTCGGCCGTCGCAACAGCGGACTCCTTCTCGGCTAATTGATCCTGGAGCTCATTTTCTCTCCGGAGGAATTCCTCTCTCTCATCCTTATCTAGAGGGAGACTTGGTGTTCCCGAGCGTTCTGCTAGCCCCGGTGTGTCCGCACGGCTCTCTGGTATCAGCCGGGACGGTGTTGAAGGCCGATGAGTCCTCGAGTCCGCCCTTGTACTAACGACGCCGTCAGCCGATATTGCCGGCACCCATCGATCCTTGGGCACAGTTTCGCCGCCACGCCATAGCTGAAGTTCCACTTCCAAGTTCGAGATATACGTCTCGAAAGTTGTGATATTAGTTTTAGCCTTAGCAAGCATTGCCTTGAGCTCGGCGGGACTAAGTTCGGCGTTGACCTTCGCTTTGTTCTTGATCGATTTCGCTCTCATACCGAAACGTAATGTGCTCAGAGTTTCGGCATCGTTGTAGCTACTGGGAGAACAGTTTATTATAAGCGTTGTCCTGCTGTTTCCACCAAGAGACTCTTGTAAAATTCGTGTTAATTTCGAGTCACGGTAGGGGACGTGTGAGGATTTGCCGTCGGTGAGGGCGTTGATGACCATACCCAGGGCACTTAAACTCTTGTTGATCTTTTTCGCTTCCTCCAAGGTTTGACCGCTAGCACCGGTCTTGCCGACCTTTTCACTACCAGCCAAATCAACTAAGAACAGTTGACCGCTCTTCATGGAACCGGTTTCGAGGTTTTTCTGAGAGATGGTGATGACGAAGATAGAGTGCGAACGTGAGGATTCCTGGTTCATGTTGGTGGCAGCAACAGCTCTTGCATTTCCACCCCTCTTCATAACTTCAAAAACTTCTTCTACGCTCGAGACGTAGATCTCCAGAAGACCCTTGACATACACGCCCCTATTCTTCTCCTCGTGGACTGGTAGGTTGTCGTTTTGCGGTGCCAGCAGGTCACGGATACGCTCCATGTAAATTTCCATATAGCTGACTCGGACCGTGTATTCGATGGTGGGCGGGCTGGACATGATACTACTGAAGATTTGTTCTACGATACGAGGTGTGATACCTTTGCCTTCGTCGTCTTCTATACTTGTTCCCATCATGGTATAAGACTTTCCCGCACCTGTCTGACCGTATGCAAATACTGTTCCATTGTAACCGTTGAGAATATCATCGACGGTGGGCTTGATTGAGTAATCGAAGATATCAACCTGTCTGCCTTGCATACCAAACACGCGATCGAAGGTGAAAGAACCTGCAGCCTCAGCTGACTATATTCCGGTTAGCAACATTAGCATCAACAATAACGGAACGGGAGATACTGCAGATCTTGGCGGGGAAAACGCACATTGAGGCTACAGGTATCGGGGCCATCGAAGGTAACGATAGGCTCTCCGCCTGATGCTAACTCGACCTTATTCTGGGGCCGAAAACGGGCAACGACTTTGATACTATTTGCGCTTGCCATGATGAAGTTTGTCGATTGTTGGACGGCTACGCGCAGAGGGGATATGTATGAAGGGGAAAGGCCTATTTCATATTAAGGAAGTAAGTCTTGTATGTACAGACGCAGCTCGGCCGAAAAGACGGCGAACAGGCCAAAGAATGTCGAACGGGTGACAATAAAGCCTGCTTATATGTCGTGCTGGTGTTTAATATGGTTATTAAAACCAGCTTGGTGGTGGAGAGTGAGTGTCGCGTCAATTTTTAGGGTCGGCGTTTGTATTGGGGGAAAATGGGCCTCTAAACGATTTCAGTGGGTGGGTTTCGGCGTGTCGGCGTGTCGGCATGCCTGAAGTTCAAGTGAACCCAATCCAGGGGAACTGCCACCTACCACCTGCAAGGAAGCGATACGCCACAATTTGGCGGTATGCGTTAGGCTTGTACTATTCTTGTACCTTTGCACGGTGCTATGTTAGGTATTAACCTGAAAGTTTACTTCATGCTGCCGAAATATCTAATACATATATGATATAGGTATAGTTATGTATTTAAAAGCTTTGCTTATAAATGTACGAATTGACAAAGAGCCTCTGGTACAGCATAAATACATGTCCTTTATTAAAGTTACTTCCTAGTACCTCCTACAGTACCAATTCACCCCACTATTTAAAAACAACGCGTCACAGCATGAACCCGACAAGACCTCGAATACCTAAGTTAAACACATGTACCTTATGTACCCGTGGACTCAGGACAGTGATGCGAATATGGATAAATACATGACAAAATGCAGCTAGTAAAATAGAATGTAATAGTTCGTTTAACTCTGATTACCTTAACATGTGAGATCCCAATTATAGGCATTACTATTCATGCATCTAACAAGCTAAAAGTCTTCTATAAAAAAATATCAACACAAAAGACTAGTTAAACACCACACAAATGTTTGTTCCGTTTGCTATTCTTTGTATTTCTGCTGTAAACTCAACGACTAGGTACCGTACTAATCATACCTGGCATTCCTATTAAGAACAAAACAAGAACGCCTGGGCTGATGCGGGGATCTGGGAAATAATACCGATATAAAGTAGTGGTCCATAATGTGATCATCCGGGTTTCAAGGAGAATGGGCTTCTCCAGAGCACCTCAACCTGGAAAATTCGATAATCCCTCCTGTTCGACGCCCGCCAAAACGCCGAACCTTTGCGCCTCTTGAGACGAATCTCTGCCACTCCAGTCTCTGGGGTATCATACCCGTTTGTGAATAAATCTGGCCAGAAGCCCATACCCAGCGCGTGTAGAATCTAGTTGAGATGATTGCCATTTGCGTCAAGCCCATGGTTGATATTGGGTTCTGATGGTCCAGAGGGGTAGCTTAATCCTCCCAGCTCTTCTCTACCGTCTCGCGAACCCTCTTAGTGTACTCCTTTCGGTTGTCCTTGTACAGGTTGGACGCCTCCACGTTCGCAGGAGAACCGGTGTTGGGGTCGTTGAGTAGACTAATTCCAAATATATTAGTATTCGAAATATCCAATAGTCCTGTTGAAGCCACTCTTTCCATACCTTTGAATGCTCGTCAAGACAGCCGCAACATCGTACGTGGGGCTCCATCGGTTCTGGAGGATATCTAGGCACAGCTCGCCTGTGGCATAGACGTTGGGGTGGAACATCTGGCTGATGAATTTAACGGCAGGTGGTTTGTTCGGGTATTGCTCCTCGAAGTGCATCACAAGCCGGAAGGTTCCATCTTCGAACGGGGTATCGGCAGGTCCAATGATGACAGCGTTCCTTTGCGAAGCTATTGTTAATTTCGTGTTGCCATGGGGATCGACCAGCAACTTGTAAGCTTACCAAGTCATAACATTGTCGGGGACAGGAGAAGCAGATACACCAGCGGGAGGGTCAGTCTGCATGCGCTATGAAATCTTGTTAGTGAATACCTAGATATTATAGCTAGCAATAGAAGTCTAACCTTGAAGTCTCGCATTAAACGACGGCGGGCGGCAGTCGACATCTTGATCTGACCTGGAAGGGTTTTGGAGGGGTTTTGGTTGTAGGGTTGTAGGATGGTCTAATAATCTCTGAAGATGAGACTTTTGTAAACAAGCGTCGGCTTGTTTGAATATTGAAGGGGCGATTCGTAAAGCGTTGGGGGGGGAAAGAGAAGAGTATCGTGATGGGATAAGGCGAATAAAGTTGATTAATTGATAATATGATGGGGTTTTGGGCGGCGATTATCTTAGTTAGAGGTATTGGCCGGGAGAGATTGACGTGATAAGGAACGGTACATCGGTACTTTGAACCGATGTAATCATGAAAGAAAACCGTTCGCGCGGCAGCGTCGTCACGTGGTAGAGACTTGGCTCCGGCGTGCCGTGATTTACTTACTAATGTAATACAGTGTCCATATATTCTGCACCTTCCCTACTGCGTGTCTAGATACCTAAAATAGAGGGAAAGATAAGCGTGGTTAGGGAAATTCAATGTTCCACTACCTAGTCACTGTTCTACATAGAGGTAGCGATACCGGGGAATGGTTAGCAGGGACGACCATGTACTTACAAAACGAGCAGGCTGTTTCCCCAGATTATCTAGAATCGGGTTCCTCGGTTGCTTGTAAGAGCAATTATTGGCGGAAGGCGAGACATCCCGCTGAAAGCCGAGGTGCTAACTTCCTTGTAAGCTTCAAAAGGATAACGCCGGGGTGTAAACTATTTTCGAGAACTTGCAGCCATGACATGACGTTGGCTCTTCTTTCTTCTCATAATACCAATTTCCATTACTTTCAAATTATACTCTAGTTAAACCTTTCTACTATTTTTCAACCCCAAGTGTCAAAATGATACTTCAAGTAGGAATGCTTGGATCGACGGCTAGAAGCTCATGCCTTCGGGCGGGGACACGAGCATTAAGAACACGGCGCCAATTCTCGGTACAAACGGCCCGTCGGCAAGAAATTCGAGACGCATACATTCTAAGTGCCTCTAGGACGCCTACTGCAAAGGTGAGATCCTAAGGGTATATGTTAATGTTATAATAACTAACAAAGAAATAGTTCAACGGCTCGTTTATCACGGTCTCTGCGCCACAGCTCGGCGCCGTTGCTATTAAGTCGGCCCTCGAAAAGTCTAAAGTTCCTGTCGAAAAGATTACAGATGTATATATGGGAAATGTATTACAAGGTTCTATCGGACAGGCTCCCGCCAGGCAAGCCGCCATCTTTGCTGGTCTTCCTAAGTCCGTCGAAGCCGTTACTATCAATAAAGTTTGCGCCTCGGGGTTGAAGGCCGTAGTTTTTGCGGCCCAGAATATTCAACTGGGTCTAAGCGAAGCCCAAATAGCTGGTGGTATGGAAAACATGTCACAAGTTCCGTATTATGTCCCTCGTGCGAGTTCTTTACCACCATTTGGCCACGTCAAGATGGAGGATGGCCTTATCAAGGATGGGTTGACGGACGTATACGATCAGTTTCACATGGGCATCTGCGCCGAAACGACTGCTAAGAAATATGATATTTCCCGGGAAGCACAAGACCAATATGCTATCCAATCGTACGAACGAGCACAAGCTGCGTGGAAGAACAAGGCTTTTGCGGATGAAATAGCCCCCGTGACTGTAAAAGGCCGGAAAGGTGAGGCCATTATCGATACTGATGAGGGATATTTGGATGTCAAGTTAGAAAAGGTTCCTACGCTAAAGCCAGCTTTCATTCGCGACGGCACGGGCACCGTCACTGCAGCGAACTCGTCGACGCTGAATGATGGCGCTAGTGCCTTAGTACTGGGAAGCAAAGATATCGCCAAGGAGTTTGGAGCTGGTTCTAGAGTTCTAGCAAAGATATGCGGTTCCGCCGACGCCGCGGTTGATCCCGTAGATTTCCCCATCGCACCAGCTAAAGCTGTGCCTATTGCTCTAGAACGCGCTGGTATTACAAAAGACCAGGTTGCGGTCTGGGAATTTAACGAAGCCTTCGCTGCAGTTATCAAAGCCAACGAGAAGGTGAGAACTGATGGATCACTTTAAGCCATAAAATAAAATTACTAACAAAGGATAATAGATTCTCGGTCTAGAGAAAGCTAGAGTGAATCCTCTAGGTGGTGCGATCTCTCTAGGTCACGCGCTAGGTAGTTCGGGATCCCGAATCCTAACGACATTACTACATCAACTCAAGCCAGGGGAGTACGGTGTTGCCGCTATTTGCAACGGAGGTGGTGCGGCTACTGCTATTGTTGTTCAGCGGATCGAGTCCGTATAGTGCTGTATGGTGGTAGTAGGTCCTTGGAAGGAAAATATACCCGCCAATTTCGTATAGAGCTTTGGAACGTGGCTAGTCGCCTAGATTTAAATAGTTCTGCTGACACTTAATATCTACGAGAGATATGAGCCAATGAGTGTAATGAATTTCAATCTCTAGCACATATAGGTTATAAACTTTTACAACTATCAATTCTTTGGACAAGTAGGGTAAATACCTGTTCTATTTAAGGATTATCACATGCATTTGTTACGTTGGCGATCCTAAAATTATGTACCTAATGTACATGTGTGTAGGACGAGTCTGGTACGACATTTCAGACGTGTACTTTGTACATAACCCCGCGTCCGCGTGTAAGATGATGTCACATGCGACTTCGAAGCGTAGAAGGCGCGGGTCTTTGCAGGTCCCCTAAAGATTTAATTGGCCATCACTACACTAAGCGCGTTCTCTGGTTCTGTACAATGCCTCCATAATTTTTTACGTGTAATCCGTATGCTTCGTCCCGTTACATAATTCGAAGTTCAACCTTTGGTTCATAGCCTCAACAGCAGCGTCTCAACAATAGCGCGCAACTATTTCTTGTAAAGTGAGGCTCCAAACATTATCATCTCATACGTGTTAGCTTCAATTCTTTAGTTACCGTTCGAACTACGAGCTTCTATCTACCTACGCACTTCGCATCCCTGAACACGATGATCGTCTGAACGAGGACCCTCCCTAATTCTTATATCTCCGCCACTTTCCACCATGGCCGTGACAGCCCAATTCCTTACGGGTGTCCGCGATATTCTCAAGAGTCTCAATGGACAAGCACTGCGCGATTGGCTGAAGGTCGAGCCGCCTTTACCGCAGGAATACTATAACCTCGCATCCGAGCTCAAGAGTACCTATCAAGATGACAATGCGCTCGAAAAGCTAGTCGAGAAATGCCTACCAGAAGAAGATGACGTTCCAGAAGGCCAGGGAACAACATGGCCCGGCTTCCTCTCTTTCATAAAAGACTATCTTATCTACTGGAGGGACGTGGAATTCGACGACCTCCTGGGCGCCCACCAATTGCTCACAGCATTGACCAAGTATGTTAGCTCGACCATTCTGATATTACGTCGCACCCGACTAAGACGAGCAGTTCATGCGCCACGGCGCTTAACAATCCCACGTATGGAACAATAATGTTGCAGTCGAGCATATCACTTTGCGGCTCTCTGTCGACCCTGTCGATGACCCTAAATAAACGACCTGATCTCACTAGGAAACTGGCAGCCATCCACGCTGGGGACGAGGAACGGAAGTCGGTTATCGAGATCACAGCGGAGATCATGCAAAAGTTCTTCACAACGTGTCTCACCGACCGGTCGAGTCCGCGCTTCGCACAACCCACAGGCAAAAAGGTCGGCATTTACGTCTTCGCCAACAAGACTTTGAAGTTATTAACCATGGTGCGTTAAGCGCGCTTAACTACGGCAAATATCATACTGAATCCTAACGATATCTTAGAATAGCAAGTCTTACCTAGCGGCGCAGCTTTTGACTAACATTATGGCAAAATCACCGCCGCTTTCGTACTATCCAGCCGCTCAAAGGGTGACATTTTTGTATTTCCTCGGCCGCTTCCACTTCAACCACAATCACTTCTGGCGGGCTGCACAATGCTTACAGGAGGCTTATTCGCAAACACCAGCACGCTTCCTAAAGCATCGCCGAATCATACTCACATACTTGATACCGGCGAATTTCGTCCTAGGCCGCCTACCCTCACAGGCTCTTCTCCAGCGACCAGAAGCTCAGTCTATGGCGCAGTGTTACTCTCAGTTTTCATTAGCAATCCGAAAAGGCGACTATATACTCTTCCAGCATACCATCAAACAGCACGAAACCTGGTTAAGGAGCAAAGGCTTTCCTTTATATACCACCCTCCAATGGCGTATTCGGCCGCTGCTCTGGCGATCGCTCTCGCGGCGAACCTTCCTGCTGACGTACACGCCTCCCGCCGAAGGCGATTCGCGCAAAGCTGCCGTATTAAAGCTTGCGGATTTTAATACCACAATGAGTTATGTCCAGAAGCGGCTCGAAGGATATCTCCCCGCAAAACTGGCTCCGAAGGGGCGCCAGTCTAGTGTCAATAGTTACCTCCTGAAGGCTGTCTCCAACAGTGCGGGGACTAGTACGGGGAACTCTACCATCGCGCCGCCTCCCGGTGGACCTAAGCATCTAGCGCCAGATGAGGGCTTATTGTCCGGTAATATGGCTGTGGATGACCTCATCGTCGAGAACATCGTTGCGTCGCTGATAAGCCAGGACCTTCTACACGGGTATATAGCGCACTCTCAGGGCGCATTCGCTATCATGGGTACTAAGCAGAAAGGTAGTGCGGTGGCGGCCGGCTGGCCCACCGTCAGCGAAGTGATTAATCAGCGATCCGTGGAGCCTGTTGTTCCGGGATGGGTCAAGGATGAGTAAATGTTTTTTTTCTACGCGAGGAAGAAGATCTGAGATTAGAAGAGGTATAACATAGGGTTGGTTTAGGCCTGTTTCAACCAAGCCATAACCATGCATAAAGGAGTATGTCACCTGGTATAGCGAAGTTACGAATGATACCCAGTATGAGTTTTTTTCTTCGTGGATATTGGAATCGTTTATATAACGTCGAGACTGGATTGAGTTGTGTCATGATACAATTTACAAATTTACAATTCATTCAATATCCCCGGCTTTATGTAAGCGTTCCGTCATTTATAAATTGACCCCTTTTATTCCCGTGATTAGGTAAGCTAATCGATAAGATATTATTCAAACACAACCATGTAACACAGTCATAACACAGTCATAACACAGTCATAACACAGTCACAACCTTTCGTTTACACACCAAGTTTTACCCAACCCTATTCCCAACCCTATTCCCATACCTATACGTTGTTGTATGGGTAATCTAATGTTGAAGTAGTAAAATTTAAGAATTACTTGGCAAAGCCCGGTGAAACTCAGCATAGCTAATGATAATGATTAGGTCCTACACGTACTTACTAACAACTAACATATAAAAGCATTTATTCTTCCAAGACCAATTCTTTTCCAAAGCTTCAAACGCCATTGCTAGAATCCGCCTTCGCGATTCTGTAAATCTTATGGTCATCAGACTCCGAATTTCCTTGAATCTCGACGATAGGTTCGAAGTCAGCAACCCGTCCCTCATTCTTTAGGCATGGCGGTAGCCGGTCGCCGTGGTTGTTCTGCGGTTGGTAGGAAATGTTATTTTTCAGTCTCCAGAGCAGTGACTCGTGCAGGACGGCATCTGGCGGTATGTCACGCGCGGAACCCGCGTTTAGCGGGAAGCGGATGTTCCGCCACTCGTTATGTCTGTGGAAGAGTTCCCAGCGCGTGATGAGTGGGAGCCATTCTATCCAAGTTAGCAGGTCAGCACTGGCAGAGTAGGAGGGTGGAAATGGACTTACCCATAAACTTCCAGAACAAGACGGTGGCGAATCCTGAGCCATAGCCATATAAGAGGGAGTCATGCATGAATCCCTTCAACGCTTGCTCCTTTCTCTCAGCATACCGTTTCTTGAATCCATTAAGATTCTTGCACCACTTGACCGCCGCCGACGGATCCATCTGGCCCACCAGCTCGACCTCGCGGATCATCCAAGCGAGCGGGATATCGCTCATCTGGAAGGGGTCAGATCCAATGTCCATAGTAGGATCCTTGGACTTGCGCGTCGTCCAGAAATTCTTGACGCGCTGCCAGATGGTCATCTGCTTGCCGGTATCAAGCGGGTGCTCTGCCGACGCCGGCCAACCACCGCCCACGTCTCCGTGGCATCCCGGGAACCAGACCTCCTTGATGTCTTCGTTGTCCTTCGCCGAGGCCCGGATGTCCTGGGCTAGGAGCGCGGCTTTGAACTTGACGCGGCGCTCGTCGACGGCCACGGCGTGCCGCACGAAGTGCGCTGTTCCCTTTACGGGGACTGGCATAGGGGCTTTGCGCTCGAGGATCGCGACTGAGTTCACGCAGTCCCAGATCCCGAGGAAGTAGACCTTGATATTATGTTCTTTGATCTTCCCGTTTTCGCGTGTGACTTTTTCTTTCCGGCAGAATGTGTCACTGAAGGCGGTGATCTCGTCCTTGGCCCGCTTGTACTTGTGGCCGTGGTGTTTATCTTTGCCGTTGTCCTTGTTCTCGTTCTGATTATCATGACCGTTTTGTTCGTCATGGCCGTTCTGCTCCTCGCGGTGTTCCCCGTTCTGCTCGTTTAGTACCGGTTGTGTCTCGCTTAGTCCCGTGGTGACTTTCACGCCCTGTTTCTTGCCTTTCTTAGAGCGCGCGAGGTCGAAATTGTCGATCTCTCCTTCTAAGTAGCGTTGGTAGAGTCGGTATGCGAAGGTCACCATTTCCTCATTACCCTTGCAGAGTAGTCCTACGGTATTGATCATACGTGCTAGAAATTTGGCCGTGAAAGCACCTCGGCTAAATCCAAACATGTAGATCTTGTCTCCCTTCAAGTATTATAGGTAAGTGATAATGATTGATTAGCCTCGGAAGGATTGCTTACAGGGTCATAGTATCGCATCAAGAATCTATACCCAGCAATGACATGGGCATCAAACGACGTGCCAATAGCTTGGTCGATGGTCTGCGAGATAGAATCTCGCAACTCACCGAGCCAAGTCTTGTTGACAGACGTCTCATTGATATCATACGTACCGATTCCGGCTAATTGACTAATAAGAAACGACGATATATGGAGAGGAGGAAGAGTACTCACTCTGATAATAATGGTATTGCTGAGGATCATTGCGGTCTAGCTTATGCAAGATCTTGACTACGTTGGTATCAGAATTGGATCCGGTGTAAGTGTTGCCGGTGCCATCGAAACAGAGGATAAGTTTCTTAGGCCCTCGAGCTTGTTCAGGACCCTCAATAGTAGGTGTGCTACCTCCTTGATCCTGAAGGGAAGACATATTGGTGACAAGATTTAAACAGATACACACTAAGATCTTTCGAAAGTCTCGAGTCAAAGTCTCGAGTCAACTCAGCAGGGCTAGGAAGGGTCCCTTCGCTTCCAGCTACTGGTTCTCAAGCTTCAATTTATCATGTCTTCTACATGCGGCCACCCATTCCCCCTCATTGAATTATTACCATTGTCTTATTACTATTGTCTTATTACCGTTGTCTTATTACCATTGTCGTTATCCGCCCGATCGGCATGTGGCTTAATAACCGTAGCTGGCCTGGAGAGTCCAATTCTGTCCCTCGTTCTATCTATTGCTTTTCTTACCCGTGCCAAGATATTCATGTCTCCAGATCAGAGCTGGTATTCAGATGCGAGACGTACGACCTTGGCGTACATATCGGAGTACAGCAGCAACACGGAATCCGGGTTAGGCCAATTACATTTTTGCTTTTCCTAAGCAATATCCAGGTTGCTAGGCCGCCACTCTCGTTCAGCTTCGTCTCCATCCCCCGATCTTCCACAGCCGATGTAGGACAAGCTGCGGTCGCCTACACATTTCGGGTATGCATAACGAAACGAGCGGTCTTGTCAGCTACGCCGAAACAAGCCATCCTTCCGAACATGGCTGATTTTCATGGATGCATGCATTTATAAGATGTAGTGAAACGATGTGTTATGGTCGCAAGTTATACACGTAAGTCGTAAGCTGAAATACGGGGTTGACATCGTCGACCAATAATCTACGACATGATTACTTCGTCCTATCTGGTTTGGTATTTGGACCTCATCCTTTCCATTTTAGTAGTCGGAAGCAGCTTACATACATCAATTAATCTAGAACACCGCTCTTAGCGATAGAATTTTCACCACTATCGTTTGACGGTGGCGTCTATTGCGTAGACGTCGGATATCGTGATGCTTATCCGAGTAGCCAACAAAAAAAAAAGTAACTCGGTGGCCTACCCGTTAAGCTCCTAAGTATGAGCGCGTGGCGTGGCTGAATCTGGGTCACTTTCGTATATATGGGCGTAGAAATACGATGCGGAGAAGCACCTAGTTTGAATTCTTGTGTCTGTAAGCTCTATTTCGGTTTTCACACTGAAAAATCTATATCACAGAATTGACCATGCCTTCCGACGAAAAGTACCAGGCTGGAGAGCATTACGGAGATGCAGAAAAAGAATCTACAAACTACTTTGCTGACCCTACGAAGATCGCGAAAGATATCTTGAAAGACGCTGTCGGCCTCGCGGGCAAGGTCACTATCCGAGATATTGTAAGCCTCATCGAGGAGTTAGTACAGGTTGGACAGCCCCTTGATGACAAGAAAGGGTATTGTTAGCCCCATAAAGCTTGGTATGAATATATCTAATACGTAATAGCAACACCGAGCTCTTGATTGGCATTTTGACCGCTCTCCCTTCCACGTCGAATGCTAGAGTCCAGCTTACCAACAAGCTCATTGACACCCTTTGGGATAATCTTCAGCACCCACCACTGAGCTATCTCGGGGGTGATGTTAGGTACGAGGTTGTTGGCTCTTCAAAGTCATCTAGCTCGCAAAATACAGTACCTAAGCCTGGCGATGCCATCGAGTTCAAGGCACCAGACAGCGATGTTATACTACGTGAGCAGATTCCGCTTGCTCCTGACGGCCTCCACCATTATCGGACGCCTGATGGGAGTTATAACAATCCTATACAGCCAAACCTAGGCAGGGCAGGCGCTCCTTATGCCAAGTCGGTGAGAAACACGAAGCGTCTTGCCGGCGTCAGGCCTGATCCTGGTCTGCTATTTGACCTTTTGATGGCACGCGATGATGAACACTTCAAAGAGAGCCCGGCTGGTATCTCAGCCATGTTTTATTATCACGCAACTATCATTATCCACGACATCTTCCGAACAAGCCGTACGGATATGAACATATCGGATACCTCGTCGTATCTCGACCTAGCACCCCTTTATGGCTCTTCTCTCAAGGATCAACTAGAGATTCGCACCATGAAGGAGGGTAAACTGAAGCCCGATACCTTCCACGAGAAGCGGCTGCTTGGTCAGCCTGCGGGCGTTAATGTCATGCTGGTCCTTTACAGCCGCTTCCACAATTACGTTGCAGACATTCTACTAAAGATCAACGAAAATGGGCGCTTCACGCTAGAGTGCCGGCCTGATGCTAGCCCAGAAGACAAGGCCTGTGCTATCGCTAAGCAAGATCATGACCTCTTCAACACAGCTCGCCTGATCACTGGTGGGCTGTATATCAATATATCTTTGCATGACTACCTGAGAGCCATTACAAATACGCACCACTCCAACAGCGACTGGACCCTAGATCCGCGTGTCCAGATCGACAAGCAATTTGACGGCGAGGGCACACCGCGCGGCGTTGGCAACCAAGTCAGCGCCGAATTTAACCTGCTATACAGGTTCCATTCATGCATTTCTAAGAAAGATGAGCGTTGGATAAATGACTTCTTCCTAAAGCTCTTCCCAGGCCGTGAACCGAGTGAGCTAGAGAACGTCAGCTGGACGGAGCTCGGCCAAGCTTTGCTTACCTTTGAGAATAATACTCCCAAAGACCCGAGTCTTCGTACCTTCGACGGCCTAGAGCGTCAAGCGGATGGTACATTCAAGGACGAGGATCTCGTGCGAATCCTCAAGGAAGCCATGGATGACCCCGCTGGCGTCTTTGGCGCACGCACGATCCCCAAGGCCCTCAAGGTCGTCGAAGTCCTAGGAATTATCCAAGGCCGCAAGTGGCAAGTTGCATCTCTAAACGAGTTCCGCGAATTCTTTGGGCTGAAGAAGTGGGATAAGTTCACCGACATCAACTCCGACCCGGAAATCGCCAATCTCCTGGAGAAGCTATACGCAGACCCCGACATGGTAGAGCTCTATCCGGGACTCATGATCGAAGATATCAAACCCGTCCGGAACACGGGCTGCGGCATCCAGCCGACGTATTCACTGGGCCGCGCTGTGCTGTCTGACGCAGTCACCCTTGTGCGCTCGGATAGGTTCAATACACTTGACTATAACGTCTCCAACCTAACAAGCTGGGGTTACAATGAAGTACAGCAAGATAATAAGACCTTAGGAGGGTCTATGGCATGTGAGTAGTTTCTTAAGTTCAATCCCTTTGCTTCATATCCTGCCTCTGCCTCGGGGGCAAGTCAGACCCATCAGACCCATCTAAGAGTTACCATCCTTACGATATATCTATATATCTATTAGATGTCTCACTTGAAGAAGCTGCTAAGCCTTAGCACTATAGATAAACTAATCCAGCGCGGTCTTCCCGGCTGGTTCCCTTACAACTCAGTAGCCGTTATGCAACCCTTCTACACGAAGAAGGCCAACACGGCCATTGCCAAAGAACTCGGCACTATCGACCAATATACCCAGAACGATCCACAGCCACCCCGGAAACCTGTTGTGCTCCTCACCAGCTCAGCCATCGAGCAAGTCCTCAGCAAGCACACAGAATTCCTCATCCCCTGGGCCTCGCCCCTCAACGATCTGTTCCTAGGCAAGAAGGACATCAGCTGGTACATGTTAGCCGGTGACAAGCCGGAAAATGAAGCCAACCGCACCAATATGCTCAAGGCGATGAGTAAAGTCCCCGATATCAGCGGTGCTATTCAGAGGTTCGTCGAGAGCGCGGGTTCGAAGCTCATCCAGAAGGAGACGTTCCAGCTCAAGAAGGGCCTCAACCAGATCGATTTGATCCGCGACGTCGCCGTGCCGCTCAACGCACAGCTGCTTGCCGATCTATTCTACTTCGACCTCAAGACTGACGAGAACCCGAACGGCTCGCTTGGTGCCGCGGAGCTGTACGAACATCTACTGGATATCCGTATCTGGGGCGTCAATAACAACGACCCCGGACAGGCTTGGAATCGCCGCCGCAAGGCGCAGGAAAGCGCTAAGATCATTATTGATACCACGAGGAAGCTTGTCGATGATGTCGCTCGTTCGCAGCACATCTTGCTTCTCTCGGTGGTTTCGGACACGATAGGGCGGAAGGCCAGTCTTAAGCAGGGCTCCCTGCGTTCTTGCGGTTATAAACTTGTCGAACAGCTCTTGGATCATGATAATGCCGAGAGAGTGACTGACATACTATGGCTTACTGCCTTTGGTGGAATTGGAGTTGTTGTTACGGTGGTAAGTTACCTACAGCCACCTCCCCAACCTATATTGCGCCCGCTAATATATCCCCCTAATTACAGTTCTACGAGATTATGGAGTTCTTCCTACGCAAAGAGAACGCGTCCATCTGGGCGGAGATCCAGGCCCTCGCGCAGAAAAACGACAACGATACCATTCGCGCCTATGTCCTCGAGGCTCAGCGCCTCACGACCACACAGCGCACCATGCGTGTCGCAACTAAGGCGGATGAACTCGAGGGAAAGAAGATTCAGCCGGGTAACTATGTCATCTTGCTGCTCGTAAGTGTGCTCCTATCTAGCTCTGCCCCCCTTCCCCTTTTCTATCTCTCTATTTCCTCAAGTCAGAACTAAAAAAAAATACTAACCACACCATCACTAATTAGGGCGAAGCCGGCCGCAACCCCTCCGATGTCCCCAACCCGTCCAAATTCGACCCGAAGCGTGAACGCGGCCCCGTGTCGCCGTTCAGCTACGGGCAGCACGAGTGTCTGATGACGCACCTGATCCCGATCTTCCTCGCGGGCTTGGTCAAGCTCGCGGCTGATCTGAAACAACTACGCCCCGCGCCGGGACAGATGGGCCAGGTCAAGACGATTCAAGTCGGCGCCGATAAGGCGTATCTGAATGATAGTTGGTCGTATTTGGGCTTTGATGCTAGCAGTACGTTTCTCCGTCTCCTATTCTTACCCCTTTCTTTACCACTGCCTTGCTACGGAGGTATAGGTATAGTTGCTATTTAGAGTGATATAATTATGCATGTCATGTTACTCCATGTTACGATGGGATTACATTGTTGGCGAAATAGGAGTAAGTTGTACTTCTGCTAACATTCCAACAGCATGGAAGCTTCACTTCGACGGCCACGGACAGGGCGGCTTCGAGGGCGAGAGACAGCCTACTGCGGCGATGGAGCTGCAGGAGTATTACCACAGGATCCAGAAGGCTAAGGATCAGTTGTTGGGTTAAGAACCGAATCTAGGTACTAAGTAAGGAAACATATACTGGAATAGGTAGCTTAAATTGTGAGGAAGCTAGTTTGAAGAATGGAGACAAAGTCTGCGTCATGAGATAAGAAAATTAGGATGCACTCATTAATAAAAGATGTGTCGCAATTACGCCTTATATTGTGACAATGACAAGATGTGATTCTAGTATAACTTGCAATTTTTCGTTGTAAAGTCATGTTAGTGAGACCATCCAGTTTGCAAGAATCACCAAACAACACACCTGGCCCCCCCTATCTTCTCAAAGGATACCTAACTTATCGAATGATCAAACCAAAACTAGGAGTCGAATTTAGATGTAAATAGGTACCAATCTAATTATGCTATTCCTCATATATTCTTGCAATATTCATTAATAACATTCACATAATACACACGTCTAATTCAACAATCACGTCGAATCAGTTACTCAACAACTAGCAGTTCATCTCAACCAACAAGTCTCATTCAACGCTAGGTATCAAATCCCATTGCCAGCACGTCGCGGCAGAAGATAAGGTATATCCACAAGAAGCGGGGGATCTAGATCTCGACCGCGTCAACCAAACATGTCCAAGAATCTAACTAGTCAAACCCAACCCCCCAGCAAAAATATTTTCCAATTGCCCGCGGACTCCCCTGCCGCGGCGCCTCCCAAAAAAAAGCCTCGATATTTTCGTGAGCAAAAATTTTGCAAATCTGATTCGCGTGTCGTCTTGGTCGTGTATCTCTTGGCTCCAAACCTCTCCCTCCTACCAAAGCTTCCTCCGCTGAGAAGATGTTTTAAACCCCTTTCTTCCCGGACCTCATCCGGCATCTCGCTCTCGCCAAGGAAAGAAAAGCTCCAAGCCGCCAGTCGCAGGCATTGTTCGCAAAATGGGGTATAGTGAGAAGGTAAAAAGGTGCGTAGCTCAAGAACGATATCCAAGGCAAGACTTGAGATTATCAGTTAAGAGATAAATAATAAACACTACTGAATAAATGATTCGTTATATAAAACCAGCTCCAGTCAGAGACCGGAGCTGTAAAATGTACGGAGATAAGTGCGTATATAGTTGTACCAATATGGTAGGATATATCGACAATTCCGGTAGCGATACGGAGTCCGCACCGCAACGATGACCAATGACGTACTAGCCAGGGTAGAAACGTCAAAGCTTTTAGTTACTGGTCGAGATATATAGGTGAAATGAAAAAGATTCGTGTCGTAACCAACGTGCTTAACCGCCTGATTAGTTTAAAGTAGGTAGGTAGCGGCCACAAAAGCAACAATCAGGCCTGCAACGGCAGCGCCACCTTGTCGCTGACCTGCGGCTTCATTCTTGTTTGAATCACCCGAAACGTCTCCTTCATCGGTAGGAATGGGAACGGGAGTCGAGGAAGGCGGGCTTCGGGTAAAGCTGGAAATCGATGTTGCATTTTCCTGGAAGACACCACCTCTGTATGCCGAAGCACTTGTGCTACTTGCCTGGCTTGAAGTTGTCGCATAACTGCTGGTAACGAAGCTACTGCTTGTCGATATGCTAATTACCGACGAACTTGATGATGAAGAAGAAGAAGAAGAGGAGGAGGAGGAGGAGGAGGAGGAGGTTGACGTGGAACTGATTGTCGAAGAAGTTGAAGAAGTTGAAGAAGTCGAAGTTGACGTCGTTGTCGGCGGCGCAGAGCTTGATGTAGAAGTGCTCGACGTGCTAGACGCCTGAGTGGAAGTGGGCTCGGACGAAGACGTAGCTTGCGAAGAACTTGATGGTTCAGCATCCCCTCCCGAGCCATCCAGGTTAAAAACAACGATGTTAGCTTTAGTGCCCTTAGGTACTGTCACAACGCAGAAGTCTGAGCCACCAGCGCCAGATGCTTTGTTATCGCTCCGAACACCAGACCCGTCAACTTCGCATTTTGCTCCGTTGCAGCCTCCTTCCGGGCATTCCACTCTAAGACCAAAGTTTGGTTTCGTATCAAAAAGTGCCGAGTCTTGCCACACCGGATTTATTCCGAGTTTGACGAATGTCTCTCCGTCTCCGACGGTATTCGCTCCGGCAACGTACGGAGACCAATTACCAATGGGCTTCGATTCGTCACCCCAATGGCATCCTTCATCGGCGCTAACACCGGGAGCATTGATATAGTAACTATGTATGTTAGCTAATAATATCAACTCAATCGAGGCAATACTTACTGAGCTGCGGTCGAGTCCCAATAAGACATGTCCGGAACAGCTAGAGTGGCGGTGTCGAGGACATCGGTAGGAATGATCATATCTTCGTAGCCTGGGAGGCAAGTCTGGCAGAAAGAAACAACCTTCCCAGCTTTGTTTACAGCTTCCACCGCACCGGTACCGTCTACACACCAGTCCTTGTTCTTAAAAGGAACCTCAATTTCACCATCATCGTTGCAATAAACACCACCATACTACGACAGGTTAGCTAGTGGCCACAACGAGACTCTAGGATAATAAATACTCACAGTTGATTCAGGGAAAGTGTAATGTGTGCCCGGTTTCCATTGCGCCATGACTTTGCCAGGAGGGCAAGCGATAGGGCACCAAGTGCCCGAGACGCACTCTTGATCGGGGGCTAGGGCCCAGCCACCGTTCATCCCAGACGGAGTGACAGCAAATAGACCCTTATCTTCTGGGAATTGGCACTTCTTCTTGCCATCTCGCGACACGAGCGCGGAGCTATTTCGTTGGCTGTATTTTGGGTTGTAGGCATTTTGAATGCCAACATGGCTATGGTTGTGACTGTGACCGTGCTTCTTCTCTAGGTGCAGATGGTGATGGCGATGCTGAGCGGTGGCAGCGCATTGTTGAGCATTCAAGAGGAATACTGCCGACCCAACGGCGGCTTGTATCGTTGTGATCTTCATGGTTCCTAGTAATGATTTTGGTGTCAAACAAGTATATGCTCCAAATTAGTGAAGCTAAAGGCAGATGCCCCTCTACTAGCGCAGCGACTGATCAACGACGAGATCAACAATCACGACGACGATCGATCGGTATGTCCTTAAGCCTTAAGTCTGGTCGCGGGATGCGCAAAAAAAAAAACTGGGCTTTGCGATTGATAAGACTTCGTAAGTCTTGAACGAATCGAATGTTTGTATTTACTTCAAAAGAGTGACGGTGAGACGAATCTCCACGATAATGACCGACAATAAACAAGAAAAGGAGAGAACGAGCGAAGAGGAAGCCAAATAAGGAGTGACTTGGACCGCGATGCACGAAAAGACGGAGAAACGACGACTCCAGCAAAGGAGAAGGAGAGACAGCGGAGACGCAAACGGGGCGGACGGGGGGTGTAAGTGGTAAGAGAGGAAAACAGGAGATGGGGGCGCATTGGGCAGGTGAGCAGGGCTCTCTCTAGAGTCTAGAGGCTTTGCTAGTGAGTACCTAGCGAGTAGCGCAATCTACCACCGCTACCATTGGCCGGTACCCCCGAAGCTTATTGAAATTTCTTGAAAGGCTAGCCAATGGCAGGCCACTAAGATAAATGAACTAAATGCAGGTACGGATCCACTTCCCAAATCTGGACGGGTGGAGACCATGCAACTACCGGAACGCTCTGTCGAAATTTCCCATTCTCATCAATCTCTCAATTTTTCCCCAAGATCACCTATCAATTCTACCAATGCTCTCAACCTGACGGGCCGTACACTAATGCAGGAACCAATGCGAAAAGACGGTGCGCGATTTGATCGACATGAGTCGGCAGAAATCCGAAGGCGTCCACGGCGCAACACCCAGGGATAACTATTAAGACGATAGAATGATATAGACATGGTGCCAATGTACCAACGAACGATGCTGATTAGGTACTAGTTGCAACTACATGGGGCCATTTTCTGCAATAGATCAACAGCTCCTGACTAGGGCTCAAGGAAACCCAAACTTCTCCCTATTCGTACGTGTTCTTCGAAGTGAGAGTCCACGTAGAACGCCAGCACTGATTCTTTTTTATTTCTTCTGGATGTAACCTCGCGCGCAACGCACGCGTCTTGATGTGATCTTGGATCTGTATGGCCCAAATCAAGGAACTGGCGTTAAGGCGCGAAAACGCTACCTAGTATATGTATCTTTATATTGCAACGCTGCAATGTGCGTTGGACTACTTGCGTAAATTACATAGTAGCTCTCGACATCCTCCCGGCTAGGATTTGGCGGAATAAAAAAGCTGGCATGCGGCTTACTACACCGTTACACTACAATACGTACCTAGTAGCTAACTTGAAGTCCAACGCGAATCCATGCAGGAAACATGCAAGCTACAGCTACGGCATGGGTCTCACGTGAAGATTCAATCGCCTCGACCAAAACTGGATGTAATCCTCCGGAAGGATTTTAGTCCCTTGACTAAATATATTATCTACCTCGTAGTACTTACAACATTCTCACCTTCAACATTCATCTCACATTACATTTCCTTTACACGACCTCTTCAATACATCAATTGCGCATTTGAAGAATAGGTAATCGACCACCAAGGACATTCTAACATATGCAAACTACAGTCATTGCTAAGCTCATCAATAAATACTCAGAACCATGGTGCTGTTTAACTCTACTAACCGCATAGAAGTAAGCTCGCTACCAGCTCGTACAAGCAAAGGTAAGGGCTGATACATTTTTGTGACAAGATCTGAAAGAACCGTAGTGAGATCTTGAGCACGTGCAATTTTCAGTGGGAAAGTAATTAAACGTTATCTTCCAAAAGGTTAGCGTTATGGAGCTGTATAATTGTCAGTGCTGATCTCCAGTTTAAGGCTTAATGAGGCGCCGAGACAGTATTCATACAAAAGAGCGGTATCGTAAAGATGCGTCTAGTTAAATTAACCTGATCTGATGAGGTTCAATTCTATACAGTTGTAGATAGGTGAACTAACAAGTTAGTTAGACTAACTAGTTATAATTAACTCAAATTCAGAATTGTTTCTCGTTCAACTGCTAGTAAATACTACTTACAAGGACAAATCTCAAGAAGTCAAACTACCTCTCATAAGCAAGTTTTTATTAGCCTAAACTAGCTGTGATCACATAATGTTTAAGGCTTTACCAATTACTAAAGTTTAATTATATTAATAGATTTGATGATGAGTTTTATACCACATGGTTTACATTAACCAATTAACATATGCTCAAAATTTGGTGTACCCTCAAAATTCGTAAACCTCATTCTGTTCTCTTATAAAACCTGACATCAAAGAAAACAAGGAAATGAGAGTTAAAATAAAAATGAAAACCGCAATGTTTCTAGTTATCTATTCTTCGATCGATACGATCAAAACAGCTATCTCGTCGTATCTTTGGAGCCTGAGAGCGCGCCAAGCCAACGCAGCTAGCATTCAAAGTAAGCACCAAATCGCAAAGCACATGTCGTCCGCGATTGGTTCGTTAGACGTCATACCCAGCCCTACATACACACGTGTATTACTAACATTTGTTAGCGCTGTTGATATTTTTGTCTTTTCCGCTACGCCTCCCGCCGCGTCCAATCATGTGCGTTCCCGGTAGCCTACCGTAGACCCGGGCCCGGGAACTTGGCAAGCCGGTCTTGCTCCGCCTTGCGGAACGTTCAGCTTCCATAAGGGAGAGGCTGTCATCTGCTAAAGTCTAATAATACGCGAGGGATGTTATTGGTTTACTCGCTTGAGGTTTGCTGGTTATGACTTTGAAGGGAGATAGATATAAAGACTTGAGCAAACTTCACGATGGAAGTATTTTCTTATCATCGCCATCGACTATAAAACCAACCCGAAGCTTTCCATTTACTATTATTCTATTTTCCTTATTTCATTAGCTCTACTCCTATCCTACTTAATACGAGCACAGGTATTCTCTAAGACTACCTAATCTTCTCTTAACTACCAAATCGTCTTAACCACCCTAATACCATCATAATGTTCAAGACCAGCACCATCGCAGCCATCTTGGCTTTCTGCGCCATTGCCTCGGCCGCACCGGCTAACAGGCGCGATGAATCGCACTGGGCCAGGACAGACTCAGGTTCTCATACGACCCCGAGCGTCCACGGAACTGCGACTGGCTGGGCACCTCACGAGACTTCTTCTAGCTCGCACTACCACACCTCGTTGAGCTATTTTCAAACTAGCTCCAACACAGAGGAAACTATAGCAGCTGCTACGGGTGATATTCCAGCACCCACCGGCTCCACAGCCAATGCCGGAAGTCCTGCCACGCCAACGGGCCTAAGCAAAGTCCAGCAGATCCTACTTTCGGACACTCGCGCCGATGCTATCAACAACATTCTCAAAGACGACGCCGACTTCGTGTTCGACTTCAACAAAGCGCGGAAATTCGGTCCGGGCAAGGGCGGCGAGGTCGTCCTAGCCACCCGCAAGGCTTTTCCAGCTCTAACCGGCACCGGCATCGGCATGGCCGTTGGTTTCCTCGGCCCTTGCGGCTTTAACACTCCCCACGTCCACAACCGCGCCACGGAGCTCCTCATCGTGACGAAGGGCAAGGTCATGTCGGAAATGGTCGTAGAGAACGGCGTTGAGAATGCGGACAAGAAGCCTCGCGATATCATGAACACCATCGAAGAACTGCGTGCGTACCTCCCACAACCATCCCCCTTTCCTAAGATCTTAGAGTTAAAACGCACTCACTAACTCCTATTAATAGAGGCGACCCCTTACTACATGGGCGCCCTCCACACGCAATTCAACCCCACCTGCGACGACGTAACGTTCATCGCGCCCCTGTCGAGCGAGGACTTTGGCGTCAACACCATGGCCCAGGCTTACTTCGCCCTAGAGGACGACACGATCCGTGCCGCGGCCGGCAATCACATCGACGGCGCTGATGTTGATAAGTTCCGGGGAATCATTAGCACTAATGTTGCTCTTGGTGTTGAGCAGTGTCTGAAGACTTGTGGGATTGCTAAGCGTTGAGTGAGGAGATGCGGTCAAGGATGAGGATAAGGGGGTATCGGGAGAAGGTATTGCATATGAGTTTTAATATATAGACTAATGTGATATATGTGGAATTTGAAGGGGGGAATGGTGCATACTTTGGGTAGATGGGAGGGTATGGGGCGGTCGGTGAAGGGGGTACGAGCATTGGTTCGGAGGTTTGGGAGCGTTGATTTGCATTTTCATTCACTTTGAATTATGATTACTATAATATGCCTTAACTATAATGAGAGTGGTAATTTAACATATTCCCGTTATATAAAATGTAATCAAGGCCACAAGTACATAGAGGTAGTTCTGCAATGTTAACATTTGCATCTAACTTTAGTAATCTCATGTAAGGGGGTTGATTGTAAACCGCGAGACGGCTGTCTTGTGCTACGTCGAACTAATTAGAATATAAGGATATTAAGAGCCCGGAGGCTTTAGATGCTTATGTCTATAGTTAATTATTGTAAGATTCCTATCACTGCCGGCTTGTACCTGGTAGGTAACTAAGCAATTGTATAAGCCTCCATGTGAGAATAAGGGGGACATGGAGGAGTCCGCCTTAGCCAGAAACGACTTATGGGAATTGAAAAATTCTAGCATGGTTGTTGTTAGTTTGGTGGTGGTGAAGCATGAATGAAAAAGTGTATATAATCATTTACTATGTTCTTGGGTAAGAGTTCATGAGTGTGGGACATCGCTTCGAGATAAGTTATAAATGAAGTTCCTAATAACTAGGAAAGACTAGAACTTACTTTAGGCCCGTTTCTCTTGCTATAGTAATTAAGCTATGTAGCCTTAGAGGTTTCATACAATGTTATATCCTTATAAATTTAACGAGGGCATCTCTTAGAATATTACTTTATATCTCATCTCATTATAAAGCCATATCAGTACAATATATAATACATTTTTACTTTGACAGTTTATTAGCTCTTAAAGTTGAATACTATTATATGACATAATTGTTCCTAGGATTCATTTTCGGCTCACGAGGGCATAACAAGGTAATACCTATATCTAATCAAAAAAGCTGTATTTTAACCTCTTAATAACATTTTTATAAAGCTACACTGTTATCACATGTTTTAAAATTAGCCTAACGACATCAGATTTAGCTTCTTTAAAGAACAAGATTTTATAGCTTGTCATATCGCATTTCCTTCACAAATCTTAACTCAAAATCTTCTTCTATCATTTTCACCTCTTCGTATCAGCAACAGCCCACTTCGCCTCCGATCTAGCCATCTCTTAGAATTTATAAACGCAAACATCCATTGTTAGTAAGGCCCGGAAGCAAGTGCTAACTTTCGGACCCTCCCGGACCTACAGCGGAGATACAAGATGTGCAAGAAATTCTCCTACTCCAGCTATGATTGGCCAATCCGACGGTGATAGATCCGCTCTTGGCACCCTCCCGACGAGCGTTGGGCGGGTTCCAGACTACTTACTCGATCTAATCTGGGCCTGATGTCCGGACTAGGCAGGTCGGTGGGAGCGTGGGTGGAGGTTCTTCGCCCTACTAGATATACTCGCAGCGTAATGGAAATGCGCCGACGAATCGTCTAGCCGTCCCGTACGCGGCTGTCGCTAGCGATTTGTTCGCTACCCGGGTTAGCTCTATACGCTGCATCTGCTGCAACCCTGCGAGGAGCGAGGAGCGAGGAGCGGGGCTGCGCGCTGCTTGTAGGGAAGTTCAAATACTCCAAAGTGACTCTTCCCACCACCAGCTTTGCTTCTCTTCTTCGAAGCTCGTCGGATTGATGCTCTCCTGATTTGGTGCGCTTGAAGTCCTATCTCTTAAGATAATAGGAAATATAGCAAATATAGCCTGGACTCACCATGCAGTTAAAGACGCTTTTACTCTCGTCGGCGACTCTGCCGCTCGCAACGAGCGAGACTGTCCTCGGCGTCTACATCTTCCATCGCCATGGAGATCGGACTCCTAAAAGTCTCGCGCCCACCAACTTGACTGCGTTGGGCGCCGACCAGGTCTTTCAGTCCGGCAGCTATTACCGCAGCAAATACGTCGCACCCGATGCCAGCTCGCCCATCATCGGCTTGAGCAACGACATCGCCGTGCCCACACAGCTAAGCGTCGTCTCCCCCGCGGACTCCGTGCTCCAGAGCTCCGCGATGGCTTTTCTCCAGGGCGTCTATCCACCTGCCGGCGACAACGGCGTGTCCATACTGGCCAACAAGTCCGAGGTCCAGGCTCCGCTCGGCGGGTACCAGTATATCCCCGTCGGCGTATCGTCAACCGCCTCCTCGAACCCCAACTCGGAGAACAACGAGTGGCTACAGGGCGGCTCCGGCTGCGGCAACGCCATGGTGAGCTCCAACAACTACTTCCAATCGACCGAGTTCGTCAGCACGCTAGACCGCACCCGGTCTTTCTACAGCGGTCTTCTGCCCGTTATCAACGGCACCTTCAGCGCCAGCCAGGCCAACTTCAAGAACGCGTACACCATCTTCGATCTGATCAACGTGGCTACCATCCACAACCAGACCATCCCGTCTGAGAATCTGCTTACGGACGACACTTTGTTCGAGCTTAGGACCCTTGCCGACGCTCACGAGTGGAACCTAGCCTACAACAGCAGCGACCCGATCCGCGCCGTTGCCGGTGCCACTCTCGCCGCGCAGATCCTGCAGCAGCTCAACTCCACGCTGACCAGCCGCAGCAAGACCCCCGTCGGCATCCAATTCGGCGCCTACGCGTCCTTCATGTCCTTCTTCGGACTCGCACAGCTCGACAAGCTATCCGCCGACTTCACCGGCGTAGTCGACTACGCGTCGTCCATCGTCTTCGAGCTCGTCACCAACGCCAGCACGGCCTCCTACCCCAGCCTCGACGACGTGTCCGTCCGCTTCCTGGTGGCGAACGGCTCTGCCGCCCAGAACACGCCCCGCGAGTTCCCGCTGTTTGGACAGAAACAGTCCCCGCTCCCGTGGAACGATTTCGCAGCTGAGATCAACAAGTTTGCCATCGGTGATACGGCGGCGTGGTGCCAAGCCTGTGGAAACACGACGGGTATCTGTGCGAGTGCAGCGTCTTCGTCGGATGATTCTAATAGTGATAACGACAATGGTGCGGCGGCCACCACGTCTGGTAACAGCATTTCGCTCCCCGTTGCTGGTGTCATCGGCGCTTTGGTCACACTTGTCGTAATTCTCGGCGTTGAAGGCCTTGTGTATGCTCTCGCGGGCCTGAAGCTCGTTAAGAAGTCGGCTCTGGCTGCTGGCGCTGGTACTGGAACTGCTGGTGTTGCGGGTGGTGCTGCGGCGGCGGGTTCAAAGGCTTAGAGCTACGTAAGATATTGATGGGGAAGAGGATTGTTTACGATGATACCAAATATTGTTTGATGAGCGACGATGTATGATGATAGCGCTCTATATCCGACGTTTCAAATACGGATTTGCAATTTAATAAATATGAAAATAATATGGTATTGTTTATATGATTACTAGTTATATAAATCAAGAGATATTCTTAATACTTGTCACTGGCCTTCGTGACTACAGTAGCTTTATTAAGTCATATTTATACATTGATGAGTAACCTAACTTACCTATGTATTTCAGTGTTCTTATTAATTAGAGAGTAGTCTCACAAGCCTTACATTATAAGAGTGTTGGCTCGAAAGTTCTAAGGTATCTCCAACAGGGGTTTAAAAGGGGCTTCTACTCTGATTTAATAGGTACCCCTTATATCAAGTATAATGTTCAGTCCCCGAGTGGCTATGTTGATCCCACTCCAACCGTACAAAGCCGTTACTCCAATAAATAACACTTGTATCGCCGTGCACACATATATCGGATTCCTCATGCAATCTCTAAACACCCTCATCTATCGTAAGATAATAAACAGCCAAGTACTTATTACCCCTATCCTCAAAACCTCACAACGGTAACCCTCCCATTACCATCCTCACCAACAACCCACCTCTCATCCCCCGCTATCTTCCCCCGTCCCATCAGCTCCCACCACATCTCATCCGGAAACCTAACCTCCGCCACCAAATCTCCTTCCCCTTCCCCCTCCCCTACCCCCGTCAATATATCCCGCTCCTCCAGCATACTAATCTTCGGCAGAACAAAACTCGACAGCGCCTCCATGATAAAACACTGCCGCGCCACAACCCTCACCCCCGCGCGCGCATCCACCGCATCGCTCACCGTCAAATACGGGAACTCCTCGTGCCGCCAGCACGGCGCCCACCCCGGCCACAGCTGTCCCTCCTCAGTGCCAGGCAGGCGGGCACGACCCAGGATCCGGGCTAGCGAGCCCGCCCGCGGGCAGAAACTCATGTGCACGTCGCCGTCGGCGCAGCACTCGTCGAACCACCGGGGCCCGGTGCCGGAAAACGGGATCCCCGTGCACCGCACCTGGTGGTGCCGCGGCGGCGACAGACTGGCGTGCTGTCCCGCCAGCCAGCGGTGTTCTTCCTCGTGCACGTACACGTTCGCCTCGTCGAGGCGGATTTCCCTTATCGAGGGCGTGTATCGCTGGCGCAAGCCCAGGAACTCGAGATCCCGCCGCGAGAACCTCTTGACGAGGGCTGGCCCGTCAGGAATAAGCTTGTTGGCCCCAGCCATATCCAGCGATGGGCGGTACGTCGACGGCTGCGAAATATTCCACACGGTAAGCTCTTCGCGTGGGTCGATGAGCCACGGCGATCGGTCTGGCTGCCACAAGTACAGCGCGTAATGCGTCGCCGTGTGTGCCGAGAAGAACCGGTCGTTGTCGTCTAGCGGTAAGTCTAGGGTAATAATCTTCCACTCGCAGCGGAATATGATATCCCACTCAACCCGGCCCTCGTTCGAATCCTCTCCCCCGCGCCGTCGTCGGACATCAAACGCCGTCGCAAAATGCCGATGCGACATCTCCGGCGTATCCAACGAATACACCCCAGACACCTTGCACCACTCAAACACCAGCACCCCCTCGCCAAGTCTCAGTCTGCGAACAATTCTACCCTTCGTATCGAACGGGACATCGAACAGCCGCCTCGTCTCGAGATCATACGCGACCCAGCGCCGCGACACCACCTCCTGGTACACCAACAACCCCTCATCAACAGACCAGGTCGCATCCGGGTACTGAAAAGGCGCCGTATGGTCATCCCACCTCAACCACCTATCCCAAGGCGGGACGCCCTGGAACCCCGCCGTGCCCTCGCGCACAACATCGATTTTCTCGACGAGCCGCGGTTTCGCAGCGCGAAGATAGAAATACCGTCGCGCTACGTCGGCAAACACGCGCGCCCAGTCCGGTTTCAGACCGACGTCCCCGGTGCGCATCTCGCGCGAGCGCGGGAAGTGGCGCGTCATGAAGTGATGGGACGCGATGGCGTCTTTGAATGCGGCATGCCAGGCGCGGCTGACGCGACGGCAGAGGATGATGTCTTGCGGGGTGAGGAACTGGGCTATGATGACGAAGAGGTCTAGGGGGAGGTCTATTAGGTCTTTGGCCTTGGATGTGGTGTTAATGCCGACGCTGACATCAATTCCATTACCGTTACTATTGCCACTTCCACTTCCATTTCCATTTCCATATTTGATTAAACTAGGATTCTCAGGCTGAGAGGTAAAAATGTTTTCCATTGTCCTGGTTATAAGTAAAGTTTGATGTACGAATCGGAGGGGAAGGAGCAAATAATGGGTACCCCAAGTACGTCAGTGCCTTAGTTAACTCCGGTAAGATCCGGCGGAGGAGGTGGAGACCGTGCGGCCGGCTATGACTTACCCCATTTTCCGGTGCACCGCCGACTTATACGGTTTATACAGAAATTACATGTAACGGGCTGTACATATTCGAGTCATGGGCATATTTTAGAATCATCATAATATTCCTATGTTAAAGTGTGAGAAATTGTAATTAGATGGATTTTCGATGAGGGCCTATGATTTAAGTACCTCTTACACGTTCACCTGCCTAGCTTAAATATTTATGAGCCCGTACGAAAGCTCTCATTTCATTCCGCGATAATATGGTCTCTTTAAATTATATCACATATTAATGCTCATAATTCTCACAAATTTATCAGCAGCGCAAAGACCATAACTCATCCTCCCATTGAAGCACGTAAATAACACTACCTATATACAGATTGTTTGCTTGCTCATAACCCTCCAAATCCATGCACCCATTAGCTATGCGTAGGCATAGCAACATCCGCCTTCTGAGAAATAGCATCCGCGCTCGACCACAGCGCCGTAACCGTCTTCTGCTGCGTGTAAAAGACAATCCCCGGTCGTCCGTAGAACGTATTCGCACCGCCTCCCGCAACACTCTTCTTGTTTCCGGTAAACGAGAACATTGGTAATGGCACCGGGATCGGGACGTTGATACCGACCTGGCCGGCCTCGATGTTGCGCCGGAACGTCTCGGCCGTCGCGCCTGAGCGTGTGAAGATAGCCGTGCCGTTGCCGTATTCGTTCTGGTTGATCAGGTCGATCGCCTCGTCGAGCGTGTCTACGTTTAGGCAAACTAACACCGGGCCGAAGATCTCTTCCTTATAGCACTTCATATCCTTGGTAACGTTTGTGATGATGGTGGGGCCGACCCAGTTGCCGTTCGGGTACTTCTCCGGCTTGAAGCCTCGCCCATCTAGGAGGATTGTAGCGCCCTCCTCTTCGGCGCTGGCGATAAGGCTTTCGATTCTCGCCTTGCTCTGTGGCGTGATGACGGGGCCCAAGTCGGCACCCTCTTCAAAGCCGCCGTTGACTTGGAGTTTCTTGGCGCTCTCCGCCAGTTCAATTAGCCACTCCTTCGTCTCGCCCACCATAACTAGCGTGCTGAGAGCCATACACCGTTGACCGGCGGCACCGAAAGCAGCTCCCACGATGGCGTTGAGGAACTGATTCTTGTTGCAGTCCGGCATGACGGCGGCGTGGTTCTTGGCGCCTAGGTTGGCCTGCACTCTCTTGCCGTTGGCGGATCCCCTACTGAAGATGTACTCGCCGGCCTTGTTTCCGCCGACAAAGCTGATCGCCTTGATCTCCGGGGCGTCTAGGAGGAAGTTTACGGTATCGTGAGCTCCGTGGACTACGTTGACTACACCCTCGGGGAAGCCGGCCTCCTTCGCCAGCTCAACTAAGATCATAGCCGCTCCAGGATCTCTCTCGGAAGGCTTTAGGACAACGGTGTTGCCGGTTACCGTGGCAATCGGGATACACCATAAGGGAATCATAGCAGGGAAGTCTGTTAGTCAATGCTATTAGCAAAAACTACCCATATAATAACGATTCGATATTATATTGGCACATACTAAAAGGGCAAATGGCAGCAACAACACCCAACGGCTCCCTGTAAGATCTCGTCTCCATATCCTTGGCAACTTCAAGCACCTCGCCCTTGAGATACTCCGGGGCACCGCACGCGGCCTCTGCCACCTGCAGCCCACGTAGGACGTCACCTCTAGCATCTACAAAGGTCTTGCCCTGTTCGAGGGTGATGCTCGCGGCAAGACGGTCCCAGTTCTCGCGGATCAAGCTGACGTACTTGAACATGATCTGCTGGCGAGCAAGCACGCTCTTAGCCTTCCATTCGGGGAACGCGCGCTGGGCACTATCCACAGCAGCCTGGAGCTCTGCATTCGTGAGTTGCGGGACACGAGTGACGAGGTTATTCGTAGCCGGATCGTGCAGCTCGATGAACTTGTCCGTCTGGCTGGGCCGGAACTCGTTATCCACAAAATACGGCGTATCCGTCGGCTTCTCTATCTTCTCGTGTGTCGTAGGGTAGCTCGTAGCCGTCGAGGCCAAGGCGCTCATGGGACGGAGCTGCTTAGCCATGACGGCTAGACGGGAGGTGGTCGCCGCTCTCGACGACATTCTGAGGGTGGCGGGGGACGATGATAGAGAAGAGGAGAATCGACGAATAGCAATACGGCCGGCGCTGGTAGCAATGCCTCGTGTTCGTATGAGACGGTGCATAGTGAAGACAAGATCAACTTTTAGCAATAGAAAGAAAAGACAAAACCCCTTTTCTACATAAGCCCTTGGGCATAAGTATTAGCCATTGGCATCAATGCATACGTTTCGTTCCCCAGAAGGGGCAACGCTCGGGATGGGGTACATATGTAGGTACATGTAGGTATTTGAGCTAACAATGGATTGTTGTAGGTACTACGGAATAGGTACCCAGCTATTACATATTATCGGTGTGGGGTATTGCCGTCGGCATGGGGTAGCGTTATCGGGATCGTCATAAACCCGAGGCTTTACTGGCTTATTGGCTTATTATTCCCATAAAAGGTTCAATTGGGCAAGAGGGGTAGCTCCCTATCTTTGCCCGTTTCTTACCGCTAAGCCGAACCCCCGAGCACCGGACGTATACTGCTTGTATATCATCTCTGGTAAGCTAGCTGGGCACTATTACGTTATAGCGGTGATAAGCACACGAAGCTCTATTTCCGTCCCTTACGTAGAACCTACTTAGATAACTCATCTTTAGTAGTTAACAGCTTATTCATGACTTGAGACAACTCATATCAAAAGCTCCGTTATTGAAGCCGAGTAGGGACTAGTATTCCCCGCATAACCTAGGACATCTTGAAGTTTGAAGTTTGTTGACTACCTACCGGTAGACTAGCTCGAATCAGCCTATCACGTCTCTATCCTACCCAATATACTATGTAAGACGACGTGTTTTTGCACCCGCACCTGTGGTGCAACACCGATGACTATCGAAACAATACAGTAAGGAGTATAATCATATCCACGCACCCGAATCTGGTTATTTGGTTGCTCAGTTGCTCAGTTGCTCTCGAAGCTGTACTTGAGCCAACCCCCGAGAGCCCGTAAGCTCTCCCATCGCACATTCTCGTCGGAATCCTGCATGAGCTCCATGATGCGACTCTTTAATCCCAGTTTCTCTAGTTGGTGTCTCTTCTCTGGTACTTCCTTGACTAGACAGCCGACGTCGTTGCAAGCGATTGCCAGCACCGCCTTGTCGTTCTCCCATGGCTTATTCATGATCTCCGCCAATTTTCGTGGAATTTCGCCGTTCTCAAACTCTAGAATCTTTCGTGCGTTCTCAGCCCAGAAGGCTTGATGGCGGTGAGGTGGTGACCATCTTAGATGTCCAGTCTGAACCTCTGCGACGTACTCGTCGAATGTGGTCTTGGTCTTCTGATACTCTTCTAGCATCTCCTTCAGCTTTTCCAAGTCCTCCTGCAAGTCCGGGTCTGTAAGATGACGGCCGCTAAAGTTTTGAAGTAGCGCGGGAAGTCTCGCTAGAACTGCCGTAGGGAGAAGCGTGGAAGGATTACCTTCGAGAAGGTTATACAGCGTAGATAGAAGAAGGCGCGTAGTCTTCTCCTTTGGCGAGAGCCGTAGTAACTGAGTATATAAAAGAATGATGTCGTATTCGCTATGCACATGTTAGTTGCCATCGTTTGTACTCCAAAAAGGGACTTCGTACTCATCCAGGTCGTTACCGATATCTTCTGCCTCGAAACTTAGCTGCCAAAGTACTAGCAGGACATGATATAGCAGCTGCAGCCCGACTCCACCACTAATGCCCTCGAAACCACCGCTCCTGGTCGTAGTGTTGCCGCTCCATAGACTAGCGGAAGACTCTCCACCAACGCCCGCAGCTTTTCGAAGAATCTCGATTAAAGGAGCAACTGTCTCGCTTCTTTGCTTCCAGAAGAGTTGTCTGGATGATTGTCCGTATAGGAGAGAGGAGTATTCCATGACTGCGATATCTTGCAATCCTGCATCATTCGAGTTCTTTACTAAACCGCAGAGGTAGCTTAGAATTAAAGGTAAGGCGTGTTCCGTCGACGCGGAATCGTCTTTAGAGTTAGCCATAAGGGTAGTAAGGACGGTAGAGGTGAGCAGAGGGACGGTATCCTCGGAATTATTCGAGCGCGCAAGAAGAGGTAGGAGATGTTGATACGGGTCCGGATCTCTAAATAGTGCTTTCGCGAGCGCCGGGACGCCTAAACGATGTTAATACGACTAAATCATCGATTGATGATTGATGACTGATGACTGGTGATACAGAGGGAAATGGACGCACCTTCGAGAAGATCGCTCAATAAGACCAAGATGTATTGAACAACATCGGAACGTTTGCTCGCCGACTCGAGAACGCCTGTCGTGCCCGGTCCTCCAACAAACAATATCCGGTAACCGTCAAGATCGGCCTCGACCACTTGTTTTCGTTGTTCTCTTTTTACTTTATCGACTGCTTTAATCTTGGCCAATTGGGCCTCGGTGATGGTGCCTGCTCTAACTGCGCCATCCCAGGGAATCGGTCGCTGACGAATGTTGTTTTGGACCGAAGCAAGGTAAGGAGGGGGATCGAGCGACATGATGGAAATTATAGTCGTTTAAAGGGGGCTTATAGAATTTGGTGGGTTTGTCCAAGTCGGAAAATTCGAGCCGGAAGCGAGCTCGAGTCGGGAATGTGGTAGCGTTGCTGATATTGGAGCTCCCTGGAATAGTATGTAGAAGATGAGGTAAGGTAGCACAAGGCTTCCGAGCTCCAGGACGGTTTAACGTTTAAAGGCTGAAGCTGGTCCCATGCGCCTTTTGCACCGTTGCAATAAGCTATGGCTTAAGTGGGTCTGCCGTCATAGGCACATGCGACTTGAATTGAACTTATGTACCTTAGGTACGTACCTCCAGGAAGCACACTTCACTCTTACAACTTATTAGCTAGCAACCCTTAAATATCGACTTTGAGGTACGGATATTCGTTAACAATAACAGGTACCTGTGTATAACTCGGAAGTTGACTTATAGTAGCATTAAGCAAAGGCCACATATCCGCAGCAGACCTCATAGCAAATAGATGCTCTATCGACGATCTAGACAGACGTCTGTCCCGAGATGATCAAGGAATATCGATTTTCTGTTGTATCGTTTTTGAGGCTCGTTTCATTGAGCTTACGAGTAGTGTTAAATGACTCATAAATCATGGAGGAGCACAGTTTTATGGGCCGCAAGGCGCACCAATTTGGTACGCCCTTTTTGTAGAGCCCAGACCTACTCGCCACGAAGATCAGATTCGTAGCGCGGAGCTCCTAGAAACCCTACTCGGCTTTGAAATGTTCTCTACCAAGCTCTGCAATTTCTACGAAAAACTTGGCGACTTCCACGAGAGTGGGGGTATGCCACGACCATCGGGATGGTAGACATGACTTTCTATATGAATCTCAAGACTGGGGAAATGACAGACACAAAACCGGGCCTATATCGTGGCGAGGATGGCCCAAGTAGTTTATACGATAGGAAGGGCAAGAGCAAGGCCACTGAGAATCCAAGTGATGCAGCAGAAAGGATACACCAAATGCTTTTAATCGTCACCCCTCTGACGAACTCAGTTACTTCAGACGTTAGGGGCTCTGTTGCCGGTGATGGCCATAACGTATTGGTGGTCTTTGACGATACCGACACCACAGATGAGTTTGCTCACACATTGAACGGCGTTAGCCTGCAACAAATGGCAATTAACAAAGTTATGATCCACACCACATTCGAGTGCGATATTTTTCCCGGATTAAAAGCGTTCGTGGACAAGACGGGAGACATCATCCGAAAGAGCTGGAGTAGTCTACCTCCGAGAGCGGATGTAACCCTCCAAGAAATGATACACGAATTCATTAATAGAGATAGCATTGAAAAGCTGAAGGCATTCATCGAAGTAACCGACATGGTCGATACAGAGGACTATCTTGAGTCGACTCCGTATCCACTAGTGAATCTCATGAGACCACTCCATGACGCGATCATGCGAGATAACTTCGAGCGTTTCGGGGAGTTGGTTGAAAACTCTGATATCGAGAGAGAGAACAGGGTGGGTTATACTCCCCTACAGCTGGCAGTTATGCTTGACCGGTTTGATATGGCGAGTATCCTCCTGGCCCATGGAGCCAATACGGACAAAGAACTTCTTGACATAGGTACCTATACTACCTCTTCACTGTAGTGTCCTAGAAGAAAATTTCCGAATGACAGAACTCCTTCTTGAGTCTGGCGTAGACCTAAATAGCAAAGCGCCAAACGGAGCTCTCTCTTTGCAACTCAGCGAAAACCCAGAAATGATTATGCTGTTGGTACAGAGAGGGGCGGATATTAAGCTGGCAAGACAGGCCAAATTGGAGCAGATGGCAGCTCAAGACTGCCAGAAAAGTCGCGATGTATTAATGCAATATACAACTTTAAATATCAACTCGGAGAGCCACGCGGAGAGCCACGCGGAGAGCAGCTCAGCGTCCCACGACGAGGCACAAAAGGGCGATACAGAAACATCCTTCCATGCCTCAACTGTTCAGAGGACGATCCAGATTCACCATCATGCGCATAAGGGAACTGCAGTAAGTTTAGGAAGAGATTATCGAACGGTTAATTGAAATATGTTTCAACTTAAATATATTTCCTTACGTATTTCAGTCTTCATGTTGTCTTTTTCTTAACAGTTCTTCGTTGTTGGATTGGGTTTGATACACTGTCACAGTGACAGACTCAACTATGGCTTTTAGTCTCTTATATCTGAGTGGTTAGCTATCTGTGTTGGGTTGGTCTAAGGAACGCTGGATGTTTGTGATATTGAATGCTTACTTATCGGACATCTCTCTAGGGCAACTTTTTATTCTGAGAGGCATGAAAATGTACTAGTTTGGCATGTTTACTTTAAGGCCACTTGCTTAGGTAAATAAACGTGAGTTCTTATATACTGGAACGGTCGGTAATTCCAGCCGACTTACCTCTATTGTCCAGCCATTGTACTGGAATAATGCTACTCGAGCTTGGCAACGTGATGCTTAACATTCTCTATGGCTGTGGTGATTCCCGCCAATATAAATATCGGTGTAGGAGTGTCTTTCAGAGTACTATGCTATCCCATCCTCTGTTTCCTCCTTACCCACACTTCTTGGTCCTCTCCATCTTTCTCACTGCCTGCTGTGTTCTGTGTACCGGAACTGGGGCGTAGCTGGACTTCCCATATCCCCAACTTATAGTTGGCACGGTCTGCTCTCCCAGAGAACAAGTCAAAAGACCAGCCGTGCTTCGGACAGGTAATCCCAGTACTCAATGCAATGCCAAAGTCCTCGATATCGAACGGAGTACCCTCGGACAGAGGATACGATGAATGTGGACACCGCTAGTCCAACCATTGGTCACCACCTTCTCACATAACATAGTACCTCTATAAAGCATACAAAGTCAAATGTAGGTATTATAACTCACGTTATTGATGGCGTGGATCTTGCCCTTGTATTTAAACACAAGTACTTGATCCCGCAGACCTCCCTCAGGACGGAATATTGAGTCGCCCTCAATTTGACGGGCCTGAGAGCTGTCACTGGCAGGCACGTGGAAGACTTTGCAGCCAGGGGCTGAGTTCTGCTCTGCGCAAGAACGGGGTTCAGATAGAATAGTACTGCCCGAGTCGGTGATGTCAGGGAAAGAAGAGGTTAGGCCGACGTAGAACCATGCATCACCTTTTCGAGATGGGGCTGAGAATGGTGATGCCATAGCTACTGGTCTCTTGCATGTTCCTCTAGAGAGAAAATGAACACCTGGGGATAATAATAATAGCCACTTGGATTTTGCAGGCGTGATAAATGGTGACTAAGAAAAAAGTCGTAGGGGAAGAGATAACGCTCAAGTCGAAACTGATAAGAAATTGTCCGAAGACTGGTAATTACCTGTGCTTTAACTAAAAATAGTCTACTTAAAGATGACTCCAAGGTCTTTACGACATTTAAAGTCGTTGATATAAAATCGATCTCGACAGTTTACTCCGCTGCTCCGACGAAAAAAGAATTGCATCATCGATAACTTTTCTCCTTATATGTGCATAATAAGGGTCCATCTTGTGGGAATTTGTCACTTTCTCCTCTTACAACCGCCTTTGAAGCAAAATAGGTTTAATGTCAGGGGCTAGGTGTGAGCAGCATGTACGTAGATCGTGGGGTATATCCATAGAAAGCAGTTCGTGTTTAAAAGTAAGGCTTCAGCGGTGACGCCCATCATCCAAGCAATGGGATTTCTTCCATACGACTTGAGACCTTCGGTGACGGGCTAATCCAGGAACGTGGACCATCAGTTAACCAACTGAAGGGGAATTCTCAAGACCCTGCACACCTTTAGCAGCTTAGGACTTGTGACATTTGTAGGTGAAGTGGGGTGATAAGACTGGGCTACCCCGTCCAAGCTACCTGATAGGCTAAAACACCCTTGTCAGGTTACTTATCGGGTCATGTACCTACCTGGGCATACCTAATCGATTGTCGCTGTTACGACGGGCACGGACCAACGTCAATACCTTAGGTTAGGTAATGCCTTAGGTTAGGTACACTAAGTCGCACTGGAACTTCGTACATGGATCTCTGCCAACTCACCATCGCGTCTGTCCTTGGTCATCTTGCATATTGCGATAGAAAACCCATGGCTTATTTAAGTCGCATCATTCGAGGTAAGAAACGGTTCAATTAGAAAGAAGAAGGATAAGACTAGATGACAGATACAAATATTACTTTCGGGTCATTTAGTAAATGATTACTATCTTATGTATTTCTGGTTTTTCTTAATCCGTACAAAAGAACAAAACAACAGATGATTTGACATCAGATTCGTGACCCCTGTCAGTGTCCAACCCCCTCTGTTTTTATCTTTCCTAAATCTTGCGCCGGAGCAAGTAGGCACCACCAGCCCCGCGGTATTTCCCAGTTCGCAGCCTTTTTTTTGGCCGTCACCTTCCTCGTACCCGTACCGGAGGAGGTTGGGAAGTTGCAACCCACCTGTAAAGAGGATGCGTTAAGGAAAGAAGCTAGAAATCTTGGTCCCGATTTCTCTCTTCCTTTACCTACTTTCCCATCTTTTCTCCTCCCTCCTCATACTTTTCTTTTTTCCTGATATCTACAAGGTTGTTCTCGACACCAACTGTCCGTGCTATCTTGAACAGCCGCACTAATTGGTTTGGTGGAACAAACTGATAAGCCTAAGACATTTGGAAATGTAAGTCCTCATTAGACTACATTCCTCGCTTAACCATTTATATTAATCAGATTTCAGTTTTTGGAGGAGGAAAAGGAAGATAACTGACAGAATAGGCGGCGTCGGTGTGTGTGTGTATGAGAGAGAGAGAGAGAGAGAGAGCTTGTCTCAAACTCGGCCACTTACCTCATTCCGCATTCCAATATTCTCGAGCCTCGTCCATATTTGGACTGAACTTAATCAAAATGCGACCCAGCCAATTTCAACCACTTCTTCTCTCATTACTCCTTCCCCTCGTCGTTGCTCACCCGTATCCTCAAGCTGTCGTTAAAAAGGATGCCGTCGCTTACACCACTACCTGGACCGAGACGAGAACCTACACTAGCACTATCAGCTCATTCCTAGGCGACTCGACCGCACCGGCAGGAGGGTCAGGCGAGCGCTGTTCACCACCCCCAGGATCAGGGCAGATCGCCTGTGGCCCCATTTGCTGCGCGAATTGGCAGTACTGCGCCTTCGACGGCCAATGCTTGGCAAACGGTGGCGGTTCCTGGACTCAATGGACCACTGTCGGCGTCGTCACCACTCAGTACTCGGCTCCTTATAGGGTTACTAGTGGTAGCACCGTTATAGAGACCACCCCACCGACTACTACCGGCACCGCAGCCAGCGAGACTGCTTCGGCTACAACCACACCGGCTCCCGTCGCAACTACAAGCGGCTCGTTGAGCGGAGGTGCAATTGCCGGTATCGTTGTTGGTACGATTGCTGGTGTAGTTCTACTACTGCTACTATGTTTCTGCTGCATCGTTAGAGGCCTCTGGGGTACGTTCGCCGGCCTTTTTGGCGGAGGGAAGAAGAAACGAGAGACGGAACGAATCGAGATCATCGAAGAAGGATACTCGAGGCGCGGAAGTAGACACGGTAGTACATACGCTGCAGGTGCAGGTGCAGGTGCAGGTGCAAGTGCAGCACGACCAGTTCACCGGACTTGGTTCGGAGGTGGAGGTGGTGGAGGTCGACCCACGTCAGCCGCCGCTAGAAAAGAGAAGAAATCGGGAGGCGGAGCGGGCTGGTTGGCCGCCGGCCTAGGCGCAACCGCGCTACTTCTGGGCCTGAAGAGAAGCGACAAGCAGCGCAGGACTAGCAGGGAGAAGCCTCCCCGAGGCGAAAGCGACTTTAGTAGTTCGTACTACACCGACTCATACACTGCAAGCAGCCCTAGTGAGTTTATCCCCAAAAGATAAACTCCGATTGGGGGTTTACTGACCATTTTTTCTATAGGTAGTTTAAGCTCGGATAGGAGAACACGCGATACGCGACGTTCTAGAAACTCGAGAGGAACGAGAGCTTCAAGACCTTCAAGAGTCTCCCGGGGGCCCTCGAGGAGAAGCTAAACGACCGACTCTAGCCTGTATTTTTACGAATCCTTTCCCTACCCGTTCGAAATTGAGTTTATAATCCCCTTCGTCGCGAGATTCTTTTTTCATTCACACCGACATACATACCACGAATACCTACCTATACCTATACTACATCACTAAAACGGCGTTTCGGAACGCGGAGATGTTTTCCTCTACCTAGACTAATTGACGAAGGGTTGCAACGAGACCAACTGGAAGATGAAATGAAAAACGAACAACCTACGTCGACATATGAGTAGCATGGAAAATGGATACGAACTGGGGGGATTGAGATGAGCCTCTGAAACTTTGTACATATGAAACAGATGATGAGGACGTATCTCGAGGGCGGGCTGGGCAGGCTTGGTGCGAGAAAGCTAGGGGAGCTTGCCTGGAAATGAGATGTATGAACGGAATGAATGGATGTCTAGATATTTATGAATGGGCATTCGGTGCCTCCGGGGGATTCCCCCAAGGCTATCTAATTGAGATGAGATCCAACGACTTTGCATTGACCCTCTATTGTGACTTTAGCACGTTGAATATAATATGTTCCCTTTTTATTCCTAGTTATATAATTGCTCCGTCCACTTCATTTTCACCAGTGTTCACTTTCCCGCAACCATCTCATATATTTCTAAAATATTCATAACAAAATACCTCCAAACTTATAACAGAGGTTGAGAGTGCCGACCTATTTCCAAGTCCTCAAGTCTTTATACGCTAGGTACTTACGGTGATTATTTGACAACAATGCTTACGATAAGGTAGTTGACCTAGGTAAGTACCTAGGTAGTCTCAATCAATCTCCGCAGACGAAAAGAATCTGAAGTCTAGAACTGGGTAGCGGAACGTTGAGAACAGGGTTCGCATGAGGATGGTATATTGGGATTTTGGGATAACTAGGCCAGTTATTCGGGAGACTTAAGGGCATTGACGAAGACATCGAGTAAGTGCGGTTAGCTATATCATCAACACTTTGCACAAAGCAATTACATACTAGCCGCACAACCCGTGAAGCATTTAGCCAGCATCAAACAAGAAACACAAAGTCAAACGACCTTGATACGGGCAGCATGTCACAATAACCAATCACCCCCATCAAAACACGTACCAAAGAAGCACTTTTGAACCCCAAAATCTCACATTCACACATCTACAAACTCCCCAACACGCCTCGAAGAAGTCCCCAGCCTCTAACCCTTCAACTTCTCCAGCAGCAACTTAGACCCCATATTCCCAACAGCCGGCTCCTTCTTCCCCTTCTTCTTCTTTTTCTCCTCGACACTCACCTCCCTAGCCGCCTTCTGCTCCGGCGTCTCCTCCGTCGCCGCTTTCTCGAGGGCCTTTTTATTTTTCTTCAGCGTGCTTTTCAGCTCGCCTTTACTCGAGAAGTCTTCTGCTTCTAGGAGGCTGAGCACGACGAATGAGCTTGGGCCTGTGGCCCACGCCATGATGTGGTCTTTGATGAAGGGGTACAGGATATCTGCGAAGTGGAGGGGTGGGTCGACGGGTATTATGCGACGGGTCGCTTTGTCAAAGTGGCCACCGGCTATTAGGGTCTTGAACATGCGTCCGCCGTGGGGGGCTTTGGATATGTGCTCCACGGGGATGGGTTCAGTTTCAGATTCATCGGCTGGTGTATCTGCCTCGTTGGGGTTTCCCTTTGCGGTTGATGCTATTGCTTGTAAAGCCTCGGATTTGTCTCCGACGCAGGAAAGAAGCGCTTCGGTAACCAATTGAGACCCATGGGAAGTAGAGATTAAATCTAGTGGTGACGAAGCAATCGCAGAAAGTAGTTGTGGTGATAATGCGGTGACCAATTCCTTTCGACGGATCTCAGGGTCCTTCTTACTTGTTGTCTTTCGAATCTCCCACAGCTCCTCGAGGAGCTTCAGGTCATCAGCGCGACCAGCATCGAAGAGCACCTTAGACGCACCCTCAAGTGGGTATCGTATTGTTAAGCGGGCATTCGGATCATTGGCGGCGATCACAACATTAGAAACTTCATTTTGTTCCGTCTTGCCCAGTAATTCCGTTATAATGGATTTGGAAGTCAAGACGGTGTCATCAATTAGGTCGTAAGCGGCGAGAATGATCAAGTGTCCATTCGGATCGCTCGACATAAGTTGGAAGGTATCTTTATATGTCTTCAGGATCTGTTTTCGGTCCTTAGCTGCTCCATGGGCAAGAAGCAAGCACACAAGTCGAGCTCCCGATTTCGTGAAAGCCATGTTTTTTAGTAGATCGCCATTCTCGTCTTCTTTGATCATTTCCATGTATTCTTTAGCTTCCTCGGTTCCTGGCTTCACATTGACGTAGTATTGATACATGGCGTCGTGTAGCATCGTAAACCCAGTCATCTTCTTTTGGATAAGCTGGTTGGTTAGGTCGAGCAGATATTTCATGATCGGCCCCCGTTTACTTGGTTGTTCCGCAAGGATCTGAGAAAGTTCGGCCGTGGGGATGGTCTCACCCTCCGATGTAGCTCGGAAGATGTGGAACTCTGGCCCATACCATTCTCTTAACAGAATGGCCTTCTGCTCCTTGGTAGCAATGCCTCGGTAAATATCATCCAGAATCCAAGAAGCTTCGGGGTGGTTGATGAGTTTTCTAACTCTGCCGTAGAATTCCGGAACTATCATATCTCGGATCTCGTCATCGCCTTTCACAAGAAGCTTGCCAATTAAGAATTTGGCATACTTGCTTTCAGCTAGTATAGGATATGCACCCCTCAGCTCCTTCGCAATCATCTTCCGCCGTTCAGGGGTCGCATACTTGATAGCGGTCTGGACGACACGGACGGAATCATGCTTGAGCACAAAGTCCTTCATACGACCTGTAGCAATGCTAAAGAGCTCCTCGACGAGTTTTTGCCGTTCATCTTTCGGAACCTTGGATTTCAACCGTAGTCTCTCCCAGAGCTTCTTTGTTCGTTGCAATTCATCGGCCAGGGGCTTTGCTGCTTTGCGCTCTTGGGCCAATTGCTTTTGCTTTATGTGCGATTCGCGCGAGTTTTGACCTGCGTGTATGGTGTTAGCAATATTAGGAAGAATACTCTCGCTTCGACCAACCTTTTTCAAAGGTGTTCCCAGGTTGATTGCCGTCGGGTTTTGAACGGAACGGTATATCATCATTCTGCTGCGACTTCGAATTATTCAAAGCAGCACCGCCATCTTCTCGGTCCGAAAATTCGCTGATCTCGCTATCGTCGCTAACATCTTCTTCCGGCTCTTGTTTCCGCGACGGTTTCTTATCGAACTTGGGCTTCTTGCTTGAATGTTCTTTGCTGCCATTGGTAAGCTTCCTTTTGCTTCCGAGCGCATCACCTTTGGGCGCCATTGTGAGAATATTAGAACAAGTGAAGTTTGCAGCAGGTTATTCAATGGTGATAACCTATGTTTGCAGTACTTATCATGCAGTACTTTTATCGAAGTCTGCGAATCCCAGACCTAAAAAATATTTAGTGGAGCCCCTATAATGCCGGGCGGTGAAGGCGCAATTGTCGAACCTTCACCCCGCGGCCCCACCCAAATACACGCTACTAATAATGCAAGACGGCAGCCGGTGGTGGGATTACGCCGGTATATACATACTGCTTATAGAATAATCCAAACCATAAAAACCATGAATCCTTTTATAGAAATCCCATCCTGTAAATAGATGCGCCACCATGGGCCGAGAAGAACAGGTCGAAGAACGCGAGGTTCTCGACTCCATCTTCCCAGATGAAATCACAGGTCCGTGACTTTTAACTTTTCGACCCTCACAATTCTATGCTATGCTATGCTATGCAATATACCCCGCCATCATCACCAGTGAATTGACATAGTAAAAATAAATAAAGACATATCCGAGACCGAATACCGCATATCCATAAAACTCGACCTCCCCGACGACAACAACGATGACGAAACAGACGAGCCCCCAACCCTCGTCCTGCACGTGCGGTACCCAGACGACTACCCCGACGAGGCGCCCATCCTCGACCTCTCGCCGCCGCAAAACGCCGTCCCGCACCCACACTTCTCCGTCGCCTCGGACAAGGCGCAGCTGCTAAAGGGGCTCGAGGACACGATCCAGGAGAACATGGGCATGGCCATGGTATTCACGCTCGTAACGACGCTCAAGGAGGAAGCCGAGCAGCTGATCGCGGAGCGGCGCGCGGCCGCCGCCCAAGTGCACGAGGAAGCGATGTTAGCCGCGGAGCGCGAGGAAAACAAGAAGTTCCACGGCACGCCGGTGACGCCCGAGACGTTTCTCAAGTGGCGCGAGGGCTTTCTGAAAGAAATGGAGGAGAAGCAGCGCCGGGAGGAGGAAGAGAAGCTCGCGGAGCTGAAGAAGGCCAAGGTGAAGGAGCCGGTGAGGTTGACGGGCAAGCAGCTCTGGGAGCGCGGATTAGTGGGTAAGATTGACGAGGGCGAGGACGACGACGGTATTCCCGTCGACCAGGTTGACAAGCTCAAGATTGAAGCATGAATAAATAAGGCAGATATGCGGATGATACAGTATTGACATCCCGGGACTATGTATGGTGAAGCATCACTCATGGGTTTGGCGCAAATCAGGAAAAAGAAAGCTTAGGTGGAAAAATCAAAGAGAATCGCCTCATTTATGAACATGATATGGCATGATGAAAGCATCATCCGCCCCTTTTTTGGATTCCTAACGCCATCCATGCCAGAACAAGATCCTTAGATCTCGTGGTATCTTCCATCTATAGTATCAAACGTTCCCTTTCCTTCCTTCCTTACTTCTTTCACCACCGCGGATAAACCTAGGTACTCAGTCCTTCATCTCCTCATCGCTTCCCTCGTCCTCGTCCTCCCAGTCCTCATCTTCGCCCTCGCCAGCTGGCGCCTCACCAAGTTCTTTAGCAATAAGACTTAGTAATTCCTGCGCGTGCTCTCCTAACCGCTCGTCCTCGTAGTCTTGAAGTTTATATAGATGTTGGCACTGGTTAAGCCACACGCGACTCGATATCCACGACGCCTTCCAGTCCTCCTCGCTCGCTTTACCCGCCTTCTGCTTCTCGCCCATGACGTAGAGACCCCAACCACCCAGATACCAGACCTCGACGCTCTGATCGTCCTCGCTAACCAGGCGCTCAAGGACTTCGATAGCCTCCTGCTCCATCTCAACCTCCATAAGCAGTCTCGCAAGCGCGACTCTACTCGGAAAGTCAGGAACCGCAGGATCTTCAGGCGGCAAATCTTTCCACAGCTCCAAGCTCCTCGTCAGCGCCGCCTTCGCATCATCGAACCTCTCCTGGGAAATGCGCACATTGGCCAAAGTCTGCCAAGTCTCGGCGAAATCCGGTGCCACCATCGTCGCCTCCGTAACCAGTGTCTCGCATCTCTGTTCGGCGTCCTCCTCCCACGAGAGATCCGTCATGTAGACCTCCGTAACGGAGCACAGCGTCATAGCCAATTTCTTCTTGAGCTCATCTAACAAGATAGTCTGCTCGTCAGTTCTCCGTCGCGCATTCTCCAGAGTCTGGATCTGCTTCCTGAGCGCCGCGGCGCCCTTCTCGAACCACGTGACGCTGTCCTGGCCGCCCTCCTCGCTCAGCTGCGCCAGACACAGGAATTTCTCCGGACCACCTCCAAAAGCTTCGTCTTTGGCGCCGTCCGCATCGATCGCGACGGCCTGTAGGAAGTACGCCCGCGCGGCCTCGAATTCGCCCGCCTCGAGATTGATCTGTCCGAGCAGGTTTAGCGCGGATAGCTCGTCATTTGAGCCGGTTGATGATTGCTCCAGCGCTTTCTCTGCTAGTGTAAGGGCATCTTGGACGTTGCCCGCTTGTAATTGGTATTCGGCCGCCTTGACTAAAACTTCTGGAGTGACGGGTTTAGAAGCGCCGCCTGCTGCCCTAGATATCGCTACCTTGTCTCGTTTTTTTGACTTCTTATCCGGTCGCCTTGGCGCCATGATGTGAGGTAATAAACAGTTGAAGACCTTCGAAAAACAGGACCCAGAAAAGTTAAAGCTAAGCTGAGCTGTTGCGCTCACAATTGAAACGAATGTAGGTCGTAGATCGTAGGTGGTTTCGATGAAAATTAATCGATAATGCCGATAAGACCAAATATTTTAGTCTTATCAGATTGTGTTTAGTCCTTGACGTGGGGTTGGCCGTCGAAGTTAGCGGGGATGCGTCTAACCTCTCTTACTGAATAATATCTCCTTACTGTATCCCTTCTTTAATTGAACAATATATATTTTAGCAAGTCCCAGGAGTCAGGTATTCGCGTTTTGAGAAGAAAGAAATTATACGTGATTCGAGGCAAGATATTATATCGTATTAAGGCCATTACGAGCTGATATCTTATTCTTCATATCAGATGTATAACATACCATACCATTACCATTGTAACTCATTACCCGTTTTCCTCCATGGCCGCCCACATTTCCCGGCTTCGACTGTTCTATCTGCCTCTTGTTCCTGACCACCTATGAACCCGGTATAGGGGAAGCGAGCGACTAAACCTGAAGTCACTGTATAAGGGGCAAGCGACCGCTCAGATATCATAATGCCCTTCCTATACCACCTAAACGCCGTAAATCTATGCATGTTGTGTTGATCTCATCATTCGTACGGGACATTACTGCATATCTTGCTCTTCAATGGACTGCCGGGATTTGGGTCGCTCAATGTTGCCCAATTCTGACCCTTGACCACTTTGCGCTCTTTTGCGCCCGGGGATAAACCGAGACATTCCTAGTCCTTGTGTATGCACTGGAGATTCTTGCGACTCGGAAAACTTGGAGAAGAATCCCCTCTTCTTCGGCTGTTGCTTCTGATCATCGTTTAGTCCGACGTCCTCAAACCCCTCTTCGGCGGTCGGCGGGTCCCAGGGACGGTTTCTGACAGAGATCCTCGGCGATCGAGGAAATCGGGCTGAATCAAGACTTTGGCGTTGTTGATCGTAGGCCATGACCGGCGACCTAGCAGAGATGTCCTTTCGACGCAGTTAGTTGGGAGTATAAATATATGGTAGGTAGAAATGTGACATACAAAGGACCGGCGGTAAGAATCGAAAGATTCGCGAGAAATAGAGAAGTGTTCAATATCGCCAAAGCTACTGCGGGTGTCCATGGATGTTCGAGACGCAGCCGAACGTCTCGGCCACAGAGCCTTGTCTTCCGTTGGCGAAGGCTAAGACATTAGTCAGTGACCGGAATACGTTTTTTCTCGTACGGGAGGTCAAATTCATACCGGGAGATAGACTCCGCTATCGTTTACCACTACAATTAAAAGTCAGGCTATGTTCTCCCGGGCGCAAGGTTCTAAGGCGCAGGACATACCGCTCATCTTGTAATCTCCGTTGTCCCGACTCTTGGTGCTCCGGATGCTCAGAGAGGAAGACGCCTTGGAGCCAATTATATCGACCTTTTCGAATCCGGCTTGCGGGGAGACCAGCGCACTGGGCCGGACATTCTCATCCTTGATCTCGAGGTTGAGCACGCCGGGACGTCTCGCGAAAGGGTTACGGATTGGCATTGTCGGGGATATCCTTGCGCTAAATAAAAAGCGATAACAATTAAATCGATTCGAGACAATTTAGTTAAGACGCATTGAGCGAATTTGAACAGTGAAAGTAAGGAAAAGTAAGAAGGTTGTGTAAGTGTTGATTGACAGATGAGATTTGATCGCAATTGGAATCGCGGGAATAGCAAGTACAAATCGGGTCGGACCTTTCCTAACTTTAGATTACTTGACTACTTTAAACCGTACGACCAGGGATTTTCATAAGGGACGGAAACAGGAAAGGACGAGCCCCGGATGCCGGATAGGCGATGCTACATAGGTGGGCGGTGGACGGTGGGGACTTTTTGTGCAAGTTTTAGTCGCGACTATAGCCATGTACAACTCTACTCTTCTTTTTTTCTTTTTTTCCTTCCTTCACCCTCTAATAGTCAAAGAGCATGACCAAGGTTGAATTTAATTTAATGACTAGAATGACGATCGTATGGTCACAATTAATCAGGTCGTTTACGTGGACTACGCCTTTTGGAATGGTTTGTGGGGCATCCCTGTCTTCCCTGTTCCTCGGGCTTACAACAACCAGAACAACCTGCAATATCCTGCAACAATTCCAGTTTTCTTTCAACTTGTACCTATTCTTGGCTGTCTTATCCGACAGGACCTGCATCATCCATTTGCTCTCCGCGCTTCTTGGTCCCTTCTTGCAGCAATGGGGTATTGATCAGCATCCCGATCTAGTAACCACTTGGTATTCTTTGGGCTATCTATACACACCTAACTTTTCTATGAAAAAGACCCAACGGCATGCCGAGGTACCCGAAGCTCTACAATGACATACCTAATAGTTTAGGTTGACGTATATCATTGTTGTGTACAGTAATAGTAAGATTCCTTTAGGAAGATCTACAGTTGGCGATGCTTATAGCCTTTCTTTAATAGGATCAACCGACAGTCTCGGCCGCCTCTTAAACTTCTATTTGCCACCCGCAAACCTGAGTATAAGCACTAGACATCTAGTTCACTCGGCTAGATGATGTTATACTTAATAGGCTGAGCAAACACAAAGCCAGCCGCACCTACGTCCTAGGATAGGACATTCCTAATAATAAGAACAATAGAAAACCATAGTAGAAAGAGTTGATTGGCTTCCTTATCTCCGGGTCACATGCTATGTCGCCATGAATCGACAACGGATTCCCACATACAGCCCACATGTTGTTGCCGGAATCCGGGGACCTGACCCAAAACCTTATCTTTTTGTCCTTGTCCCTGTTCAATGTTCTAGGACGAGTCTCGAATTCATTACTCAGTACTTTGAATACTTCCATTGTCTAATAAATGCGGAACGAAGCGCTTCACGTTCGTTTCTGACACTAATAAAGCGAGGACGCCGATATTGGACCGATATGCGACTCAGAACACACGCTACTATGCATATACATGACTTGTTTGAAAATTGAAATACGGGATGCGAGACCAGACATACAGAGGTAACATTTTATCGTTTTGTGAGCTCATCGCTAGTTGAATACAACAGTCTTATGCCCGTTCAAGAACACGCGCTTCTCGCTCCACCACTTGACAGCCGCAGCCAGGACCTGGCTCTCGACATTGCTTCCCTCCTCGACCAACTCCTTGGGGCTCATGCTGTGGTCGACGCGCGCGACTCTCTGCTCGATGATCGGGCCCTCGTCCAGGTCCGCCGTGACGAAGTGCGCCGTGGCACCGATGATCTTGACGCCGCGCTCGTAGGCCTGGTGATACGGCTTCGCCCCCTTGAACGACGGCAGGAAGCTGTGGTGGATATTGATGATCTTGCCGCTCATCGCCGAACATAGCCCCGGACTCAGGACCTGCATGTAGCGCGCTAACACCACCAGGTCAATGTTTTCCTGTTTAATTAGGTCTAGGATCTGGCGTTCTTGCTCTAGCTTCGTCTCCTTGGTTACGGGAAGATGGTGGAACGCAATGCCGTAGCTCTCAGCTAGAGGCTTGAAGTCCGGGTGGTTAGACACTATTAAGGGGATCTCAATGCCCAGTTGGTTTGACTTGGCCCTGAATAGCAGGTCGTTCAGGCAGTGTCCAATTTTAGACACCATGATCAAGACTCTAGGCTTCTGGCTCGTCGACCGTAAGTCGTACTGGTCCATCTCCATTTCCGCCGCGAGCTTCGCCATAGGCTCATCTAAGTTAGTCGTGGACTCAGCATGGCCAAAACGGACTCTCATGAAAAACTTCTGAGACGTCCGGTCTGAGAATTGTTGTAAGTCTAGGATGTTGAGACCGTGGTTTGCCAAGAGCCCAGTAACGGCGTGGACAATGCCAGGCTTGTCCGGGCAGGACAGCGTGAGGATATGATCATCGTTTGAAGCCATTATTTCTCGATTCCTGTGAAGACAGATTTCACATCAAATTTTTGTATTTTGCCAATGACATGACTAATTCTTCCACACACCGGACGTAATGACTCTTTAGTAGTCTCGGTTGGAGATCGGGCTCGGTATAAATGCATAGCGTTTTTGCATCTAACTAGCCTAAATATGCGATAAAAAGAGGTCACATTAAATTACGGTCTATCTTACGTATAAGTCGCCGTCTTGGTCATATCAGATAAAATTCTTAATGTTATGTTATAATCTTGCTCAGTTTATAATTCGTTGATATAGCCTTGTAATGGAAGTGAGATGATCTTCTTGTCTTATATATCGTAGCATTCGACCACATTCGGCGGCTCTGATGTCAGCTAAGCATCGTACAACGGAAAGGAAATGAAATGCGGGTATATATACTGCGTGAGATGGTAGAGGAAAGCTAGTAAACGCTAATTGGTCTTGAGATAGTTAACTAGTTTTAATGCGCCTAGTCAACGGGATCTCTAGAGACTATATAGATATATCGACTTGACTAGTTGAGCCTCAGTCTCAGAGTGAATACATACCATCCATGTACGTTAGGTAGTTAGATAATCATCTGCTTACATGTGTTACCAACGGCTAGCATCTTGTGCCAGGGTCTATTCTTAGATGCGGCACTTAATCCTTTAATTCTTCAATATAATATAAGAGATCGAGTTCCTAGAATCGATCTCGCAGTTTTGCGGCATGAAAATCTCCCGCGTTTATTATATAGCACTTAGATAGGTAGGCAGAGTAGAATGCCTAGGAAGAATTGCTGCGCTACGCCATCCCGGAAAGGCGAGCCGTATACGGTTGACCAGACAGGCCACTGTGCCAAAATGAAAAAAATCTGTGAGTTTAGCTTAAAAGGGTAGTCAGCCACAGGTTAGCGCAATTCGCTCGATTTTTTGCGGTACTTCGCACTTTTATATGGGAAAAAAGAATTAGCCTTTTTAAATACATACGTTATAACGTTATATATAATATGCTTTAAAAGGATATCACGTATACGTACAGGTCTCTGGGATAATAGGTACTTAGGTACGGGGCAGCCTCTTACTCTTTTTAAGATGCGCGCCCTTCTATTGGCTAAATCTTACACCGCCCGTCTGGCAATATCCTTATCCTTATCCTTATCCTTATCCTTACACCACATCTCTGTTACAGCTTCATGTTTAATTCAATTCAATTCAATTCAATTCAATTCAATTCAATTCAATTCAATTCAATTCAAATGACGATGCAATAGCCATCTATCCTTACATATTGTTTTTACTTGGTCGCATACATTGGTTAAAAACTATACGGTCGCATACAGTCATTCCGAGGCAAAAAGGCTGAAAACGAGGTCTTTTTAAATGATTTCTGATATATGTATGTATGTATGTATGAGGCTGGCTGGCTGGCCAATCAAGAGGCTGTATTGTATAAGGCTATTTGATTAATACCCTTTAAGACGACTGTTTTTAAAAGACTTTAGGTTAGATATCTTAACAACAATACATCGTATAAGCATGCAACCTGGATAATTATTTTCGCTTTAATTGAGGCTATAAAATGATACCAATTGTAATGTTATAATTGCTGGAATTGTAAAGTTATTTCAATGTGTAGATGTGGTAGTTGAAAATTGAATTGACAATTAAATCCTTTAATTTGATTGGCCAATCCTTTACATTATATTGGTTAAATCAATATCTCTATTACAATAAACCGTAATAAGGCTTGGAGGTACACATTTAATATTTTCTAAATTGTGGCAAGTGACCCCTTACTAAGTTTAGTTTAGTGTGCGATTATTTTTTTCATTTTGGCACAGTGGCCTGTCTGGTCAACCGTACCGTATTTCAGCTACCCAAAGTTACCATTTTGCCGGATGCGGGAACGTACATAGTACCAGGGTATGTATGTATGTATATATTGATTTCTGAGCAATCACGCCGAGTACCTAGATCTTATTGGCTAATAACTTCTCGCCCATTCGACCCTTCGACCTTGTGCTACGATATTTTTAACCTTATGACTTAGACTTAAATTTTTATAGGCGGGGATCGGTGTGCCGGGTGTGGTAGGGCGTGACATATCCCGGCTTATATACACAAGCCATTCGACACAGAAAAAATCGGTTCCATCCCCAAAACGACAGGTCCGCCCGATCGGATTGTCAGATGCGCACCTGCGATGATGTTAGATCAGAGTCTATTAGAATTTACATATGCGTTCTTAGCTGGGGGTTTTGCCAGCACAACACAACATCGCCAAGTCGCCGCTAATGCCCGTAGACTTCGTATTCTTACCACCAATGCCGATTCGTCTGCAAGGGATAATTGAATCAAGGCTGACTCAAGTTAGGGAGAGAGGGAGAGGGAGAGGGGGAAAAATATTGTTTACTATACCCTAAAACAATATGGTTTCATTGTAGAAATTGATGGCTGCTAGCAACTTGCGCAGGGGGTACGTATGCTTTATTTATCTATCGATCCATTTCGACTTTGTCCTGGACGGTGGGCCATGCTAGAACTTCGCTTCCGGTTAAATAAAGTACATACCTGAATCCTAACGCCTTTCCCCTAGCTCAGGAGCGTATGCGGTAGGGTGCTCACCGGCGACCTGCAGCTGTTGGTGATACGCTGGCACCGTGACGTGATCAATCAATCAACCAACACCGTGCTTTCAGATAGGCGCGCAGAAGCTCAACTAACCTCTACCGGTCCGTCTTGTTGCACAGGACGTCGTAAAAATGGATCTGTGTCTAGATCAATGATGCAAGCTAAACCCGGATTGCTAAGTTTTCCATGCCACCTAGGGGCTGGACCCGGACTGTATTGAATGTATTGAATGTATTGAATATCCACGATGTCCTCCGCACGCCACTGGCACATGCGTTAGAGGCGTGTTGCATCCATATGCCATCACGTTTGCTAAGATAAATGCCCCCAATAAGCTAGGTACCGTACCTTTGTCAAAGCACAGCTCTGGTCTTGTTCCAAAGATAGCAGGTAGCTATGTTTATATGCAAGTGTTAGCGGGTACCTGGACCTCCTGTCAAAATATCGATGAATTATGCTGCTGGTATCCGTAGTGCCGTATCTGACCTGCGGAGTAACCATAAAGTTTTATATCCGTAGAAGCGCCCTCCGTTTGACCGCCTGCAAGTAAGAAAAATCAAAATTATCGATCCTTTCTACCGTCCGTGTTAGGTATACCTATTCATCGTATATTCGTTTTGCCTTTTGCGCTGCGTGCTCTGGATCCGCCGATTCTGACCCCTGATAAAAAAAGAACGCGCGTTGTTCTGTACCGGCTATATTCAATTACCTCTGGCTAGAACACCACTGGCCAGTGACCTCCAATTAATATACTATTCTCGGTCCTATAGCTAGCCTCACGTTCGTAAGTTCGGGAAGTCTATTCGCAACTCCCACAGCAATCCGGCTTCGAGCGTGAAGAAGAGGGAAGACTGTGTAAGGCGTTTACACAGGCCTGTCCTCGAGATATATCGGCTGGTCCTCGTCGTAAGGTTACCTCAACTGTCGACCCTGTTTCCTGCACCACTGCACCAGCTCAGGAAACGTTGCAAAGGGTGATCGACATCAGGTGGGCACTTCCGTCTACGTTCAGCTCTCCCGCCCTGCGATCTTCAGCTGCGTCCATCTACAGGAGGCTCTCATTCGTCCCGGAGTATCATATTATCGACGGTACACAACGTCGAAAAAGTCTCCTCGTATTCCGTTGCGGGCGCACAGCTAAGAGAACCGGTTTCAACGGCCATTTCCGCGCGAACCTTATGATCAACTGGCTTTGTAACAATCCTTTCGGTTACTTGTCTTCGGAATATCACGAAGTAAGATCAAGAAAATTGAAACGACGAAATTCGTACCTGCCAGACTTTTAAATAACAAAGTCAGTTTGTCGGTAAAGCGGTAAAGCGCCCTGACCTCGACTACGACTTCCCTCCTTTTCCCTCCTTATTTAAAACGCATTAAGGGGTCCGAGCCGTACCTCCCCTCCGCATAAAAAAAAAACCGTCGATTGGATTTGAATTTGAATGTGCATGTAGATGTACTTCAGGTCGACCTAAACATTCTTTCGGCGCTTCACCAACGCTCGTTCCTCCTTACATCATTCTACCTCTTCCTTTCGTTCTTCTTCATCCCAGTATTTGAACATTCGTTTCTCTCATCTGCCCCTCGTCGGCGTAATTGGATCACATCATCCATCATTCGTTTTTTTCTTGCTTTGGATAATTTGACTTGGGCATCATCTATCCTAAGCATCTCAAAATGATCAAGTTTTTCATCAACTGGGAATTATGGCAGCAGATGACCTTCGTAAGTTGCCTACTCCGTAACCCCTATCCCTCTACCTCGCTAATACCAAAGTAAAGGTCCTCGCCGGTGCGATCGTCTTGGTATTCTTTGCTGGATTAATTAAGTTGTGGTGGTTGAATAGATTTATCAAGAAGCATACAATACTTGACCTAGAAAAGAAGGCTAGGCAACAGGAGATGCAAAGGAGCGGTCTTCCGATAGGCAAGAAGGTGGACATTCCATTCGGCGTGCGCGCAATTCAGAGCGGTATCGAAGTTGACGGCATCTGGATCTCACGGCCTAATACTCCGCTCATTACTCCAACTAGTCCGTCATTCGCTTCTTCATCAACTCTCGAACCCGAAAGCAGGTTGAAAGGAAAGGAGAAGGAACTTGCCGTGCATACGGCAACGACTGTCATCGAATTTGAATCCACCCCTGAACAAAGTCCGTTACCGAGCCCTGCCGTTAGCTTGTCTGATCGGCGCGTCCCGACCGCGGCCGAACACAGCCATGCCAGAGCATTCCCTCTCGGTGCGCAGCCTACTTACCGACCAAAGGGTCCATCGCGCCGCCGAACGGATATTACCGAAACCTTCGACGTGGACGGATTAAACCGATATGAACGTAACACGGCTAACCATCAGCAAGTCGAAACTTATGTTCCCAAGCACTCGTTCTCTAGCACGGAATCGTCATCGCTGTCTTCCCAACAAAGGACAGTGGTAGACCGCAGCTCGACTTCTTCGGAAGAAGGTATCCGCCATGCACAGACACGTTATGTCTCTCGCCTCCGGCACTCCGCGTTGCCTACATCCCGGACCCTAGTTTCCTTCGAGGACCCAGAACCTTCGGCAGCTACCGTGGACCACTTATCGTATCCTGAGCCGAGGAGGAATCCTTTCGAAACGCCCTCGTCCTCCGAGGCGCAATCAGTTTCCCGTCCCCCGCTAGCTTCAAATAGACCGACACCTCATCGGTCCTACTCTGGCGAGTCACACGCAAACACATCAACCAGAAGAGTTAACGCGGGGTTTGAAGTGTTACCAGCCGGGACCTTCAGCCGACCTGACAGCCAAACCGAGACGGACGAGAGCCAATCTAAGAGGCATAATAATAATAAGCTTCAGAAGAAGGCCCGTGATCAGTCGTCAAGGGAGACACCGTCGCTAACCTGATAAATCAGTGTACATAAAGGGCGTAGAATAGAAAGGAGACCGTGATGAGGCCGATGTTGACACTGCACACACAAGCATTGTTCCTCGAACATTGTTGCTCGAGCGTCAATAACACGTTACACACGAAAAGAATGTAGATAGATTTTTGCTCAAGCGAACCTAGGGTAGTTGCATGGAGGGAAGACGGGGGGGATACCGGCATTCATATCGGCGTTCGTTTATACAGGGGGGGAGGGGGGAGGGGGGGGAAGAGTAGGACGGGGCAAGAAAATAATCTGGGGGAGTATGTAATTGACTTTGAATCCGAAACCTTTTTTGTATACCCAACGTTGGAAGGGAAGAGGATATCCGTTGCTGCGCTAGCGTTATGATAGTTACCTTACGTATGATTAATGCAAAGCGCTTTGGTTACATGTATGACAGTGAAACGAAACTTTGCATATATAAGAGACACTTGATGTCCTTCACTTGAATGAGTTGTTCGCTTTCATAACCGGCTTATAATAAAAGAGTGAAGAGAATGAGGGCATTGAGAAATGTAGTAGGCGTGAATAAGTGAGTTTCATCTGAAAAGGGGTGTCGTCCACTTTTCATACACTAGGCGCTCCGCATTCCGTCGATCGAAGGCCGTCGACCGGGACTTAGATAACCATCTATTTGAAACTAGACAATATGAAAATCAAACAAATACTATTTTAAGGACGAAAATTTTTTCGTTATAATTTAAAAATTATAATTTTATTACGATTTTAAATTTAATATATATATATAAAAAAAGTAATATATTAAGTTATATAATATATATAAAAATAAAAAGTTTATATAATTATATTTTATAATTATATATATAATTAATAAGATTTATAAAATAGTTATTTTATAATAATTATATATAAATTTTAATATAAAAAGATATTTTTTTATATTTTTTAATATTTTTAGCGGTTTTTTTGGAAAGTGTTTAATAATGGGTTATTATTTACAGTAAATAATAATTTTATATAAAAATTATATAATTTAATTAATACGTTTATTTTAGTTTATAATATATAATTTAATTAATTTATTAAAGTTATATTATAATATAATTAAGTTAAAAAAAGTAATAAATATTAAATTATTTAATTATTTTATATATAATATTATAATATAAATAAAATTGGTAATAAATTCCTTTTCGGAAATATTTAATATGGTTTAATTATAAATAATTTTTTAAGTTTTATAAATTGTAATAATAAAAGTAATTATTAATAGAAATTAGTTATGTTAATAAAATTTATTATTAATTTTATATAATTAAATTAAATAAAAAATAAAGATTATTATTTTATTTTATTTTATATAAAAAAGTAAAGGTTTAATATAACCGGAAAAAAAAACGAAAATAATAAAAAAAGGTAAAATAAATAGATCAAAACTTTTTAACTATATTAAATCTTTAATAATGTTAATAGATTTATTTATAAAATTTTAATTTATTTAAATATTTTATGTTAATATATATTATGTGTTAATAATTATAAATAATTAATGTTTAAAATTATTGGTTAATTAAATATTAAGTAATTTTTAATTTTAATTGGTTTTAATTATTTTAATATTTTTTATTAAGTAATTAAAAAATAATAAATAATTATAATTATATTTATTTATAATATTATGTTAAAAAAAGATTTAAAAAATTATATTAAAATAATTAATTTTATTAAAATTTAATTTAATTTATATTTTAATATTAAATAGTTTTTATTTAAATTAATTTATATAAAAATGGTAAATAATTTTTAAAATTTAACAAAAAATCTTTTAATTAAAATTATTTTATTATATAACAGTAAATAAACAAATTATTTAATTAAAATATTTATATATAACGTAATTAATTATATTATTAATATTAATAAAATTTTAAAAAAATAATAATTAGTTATTAATAAAAAAGAATTATTAAAAATTATTTAATATAATTATATTTAAACTATTTATAATTATATTTAAATTTATTATAATTTCTTTAAATCAAAAATTAATTTAATAAAAAGTTTTTAAGTTAATTATAAATTTTTTATTAATAAAAACATATTATATAATGCCGAAATTATACTAGGTTTAATTTAACATTATAATTAATAAAAGGTTAAATACATTTTGTACTAATAATTGAAAAGTGGAATAAAAAGTATAATTATTAATAATATTAACTATTACTTTTATAAATGCAATATAAAAAATCGGATTTTATATATTGTATTTTTACGCTAATTATTATAAATATATTAAAAAAACGTTTAATATATACGTTTTTTTGTTATTACCTAACCCGTTAACGTTAATTAATAATAATGTTAAATTTTTACCAGTAAAATAATTTTAATAATAATTTATATATAAATTGTAAAATTTTTATTATTTTATATTTAACATATTTTTAACGTTATTAAAGATATTTATAATATAAATATTAAAATTATTATATTATTATTAAATATTAATTTAATAATTAATTTTGTTATTAAAATTTGGATATTTATTAATATAAAAATTTTAATTATATTAAATATTTTTAAATTAATATTTTAACCGATTTTAAGTTATAATATATTTTTAATTATTTGGTTGGAAATTAATTATATTATTTTATAAATTATAAATTATTTTAATAAAAATATCTTTATTTTAAAATTTTTTATAATCGGTAAAAATTAAGATTTTTTTATAATAATTTATAAAATAAATATTATAATATTATTTATTATATATAATATATATATTAATATATATTTTATATAAAATATTATTAACGGTTTTTATTTTATTAATAAAATCCTGAAAAAAATAATGTAATATAAGTTTAATTTAATAGTAATTTTTATATTAATCTTTATTTAACTTATATTTTAAATTATATATAAAAATATAGTTTTAAATTTAAGGTTAAAACGTTGGTTTATAATTTTAATTATATTAAATAAATTATTTAAATAATGTTATTTAAGGTAATATATTAAACCGGTTATAGTATTTAATAAATAAAGAATTTATTTTTTAAATTTATTTATTAATAATTATAAAACGTTAAGTATTTTTGGAATTTAATTGGTAATTTATTTAAAATGTGGTATAAAAGTTTATTTATAATAAATATTTAAATAATTTATGTATTAATTTTTGTTCTGAAATATTGTGTTTATTAATTATTTTATTTATGAATTTTGTTACGAACGATAAAAGTGGAGATTGGTTATTAAAACGGGGTATAATTTTAACGGTTAATATGGTAAAAGTTTAAATAAACGTTTTAATTTTAAAGTAATATTTGGTAATGTAAGTTTTTATGGTATATACGTTAATATATAGCGTTATGTTTATATTAACACTTTATTTAATTATAACAGTAATATTATATAAGTTTAATTTTAAATTATTTTATTTTATTATAAAATTATTATAATTAAAATTTAATAATTTATTAATTTTAATTAATAATATTAACGGATGGGGATAATGGAATTAATATTTATATTAAAATAATTTAATATTTTTGTTTAAAATGTGTTAAAAAATTATAATAAATATTTAAAACCTCTAAAATTTTAATAATTAAACTGTTTTTTTATTTAAAACCTATGTGGTAATTATAAGTTTAAAATTTAAATTATTAATGTTATATTTTTTTTTTAATAATTGGAAATAATAATTTAAGTTATATATATAAATTTATACAAATTATATAACTTTTTATAAATATATAACAGTATATAATTTTTTATTAATTAAAAAATTAAATAAGTTATTTATAAATATTTGGCTTAATATTAAATTTATAATTATAATATATTTAAATTAAGTTTAAATAAAGTTTTTCTGGTTTTTTAATATTAATATATTATAAATAATAATTTATAAATTTTATTTATTATTTTATAATAATATATAAATATATAGATTATTTTGGTTTTATTATTTAAATTGGTATTAAAAATTATTAATTTTAAATTTAATTAAAATTATAATTTTAAAAAATTTTATAAATTAAGTATAAAAGTGGTAAACGGTAACGTGTAAATATAATTGTAAATTATTCTTAATTATAATAATTTTAAAGATTTTATTAACGTTTTACTATTCCAAATATTTTAATAAAAATTAATAAAAATTATTTTATTATATATTAATAACGTTAAAAGTGGAAAATAATGCCGGATATTTAAATATATTAATTTATAAGTTTAATTTTATTTGTTAATTTATTTAATAAAGTTAAATATTTGGTATGTTAATAATATATTAAATTATTAAATTAAATAATGTTTACATTTTTAAAATATTTTTATTAAAAATGGTTTATATATTATTAACGTTAGTAAAATTTACCAAGTTTATTTAGTTAACATAAAACGTATTTTAATTATTAATTTAATAATGTTTTAATATATTAAAAGTTATATAATAAAAGTGGGGGTAAAAAGTAAATTTATTATTATATTATTAAAAAATATATTTAATATAATTTATAAATTTAATATTATAAAGTTAAAAAGTTATAAATTTATTTATATTATGCGGGTAAAAAGTAAAGAATATAAAAAATAAAAGTGGTTAAATCTTATTTAATTTAAATATAAAAATAAATTAAATATTGGGTAAATTAAATAAAATATTAAATTTATTAATAAAATTTTATATAATATTAAATTATAATTATAAAATAATTAAATTAAAAATAACGGAAGTATTATATTTATTTATAAAAACGGTAAAATTATTATTTAAAATATTATTATTAATATTTTTATTATTACTATTTAATTAATATAATAGTAATTATAATAATATATTATTATTTTCCGGTAATTAAAAAAATTAACCTTTATTTATTAAGATATTTTAATAACCAAGGTAGTTTTTTTATAAAAAACGAAGTTATTATATAATATGTTTTTAATAAATATGGAAATTTTAAAAAATTTATTATTATAATTAAAGATTAATTAACCATAATATAATAACATTAAACTTTTTAAGTAATTTTGGTAATTATTGGTATAATAAATCAATATTTTAAAAAAAATAATAAATATAATTTTTATAATAATATTATAAACCTTAGATTTAATAAATTTTAATAAAATAATAAAATTAAAATATAATTATTTTTTTTATTTATATTAATATTAAAAGAGATTTAAATATAATATCAAAATTAAAATTATTTTTAACCAAAAAAAAGTATATATTATCTAGTATTAAATTTGTGTTATAAAATTTATAATTATAATATATATCATTTTTAAATTATATATTAAACCACCGTTTTTTATAATGGATATAAGATTTTCGAATATTTTAAGCTAAATTATTATAAAAAACCCCAAATAAAGTTAAATTTATATTGTTAATAACTAGTAATTTAAGTATATTTAACGTTGGTTATATAAGTAATTATATAAAAAGTTATATTAATAATAATAATAATGGTAATAATGGTAAAAGGTTATTAACGCCAGAATCTTCTTGTAAACTAATTTAAATAATGTATAAAAAAGGTGTAAAAAAAAAAGGTAACGTATTAATATCTTGGTATTAATTTCGGTAAGTATATTATATGATTATATATATTTAACACATTTTTTAAATATTATTAAAATTTTAATTGTTAAAATTTTAACGTTAATAAATTAACAGTTATATATTAGTTATATTTACAAATTATTTACGTTAATAAATTATTATTAATTTAATTTATAAATTGGTTAAAATTAAACCGTTAATAATAAAAATTAACATATTTAAATTTATTGATATATTATATAAATAATAATAATTTAATTTATACAATTAAATTTTATAAATTTAAATTTAATTTATAGCAAATTTTGATAATATTAAATATATTGTTATAAGTTAAAAAAAAAAAACTATTAATAAAATTAATTACGCCATTTTAAAACTTATACGCTATTGCCATTTTTATTATTAAATATTTTAAAAAAACTTTATTAAAATAAAAGTAAAATTTATAATATTATTTTTTAAATAATAAAATAATAAGTTTATAATGTTAAAAAAGGTTAAAAAAAAAATATAAAAAGAAAAAATAGTTAAATAATTAAAAGGAAAAGAAATGTTTTATTTATAAACAATTTTAAAAAATAAAATAAATAAATAAATTATATATATAAAAAAAATAAAATAATTTAAAAAATATATATTTAATAATAATTTTTTTTAAAATTATATAAATTATAACAAGTTTTTTATAGTTTAAAAATAAGGTTTATAATATTATAAAATTAATATATATAAAAAAATTATATAATATTAACAAAAAAAGTTATAAAAAAAGTAAAAAAATTTAATTTCAAATAAAAAGGTAATATGGTATATATAAAAAATTTTACTTAAAAAATTATATTAAAACTTTTTTTTATTAAAATAAATTTTATTAAGTTTTATTAAACCTTGTTTATAATTAATTAATCAAATAAATTAAATTTATATATGTAAATTAAAACTAAAAAAAACCATATAATTTACTATTATATAAAATTATATTAATATATTAAAATAACATAAATTTAAAATTATATTTAATATAATTAATTTATTTATTAAAGCATAATCCCGAGGTTTCCGGTAAAATGCGTGTGTTTTATTTAATTGGTTAAATTTTTACAACTAACTTTCCTTTTTAATTTTAAAGCTTTTTAACATATTTGCCTGGGATTTAACATATCGTTTAATTGGTTAATTATTATAACGTTTTATTATAAACTTATATTTTTATATATAAATAAACGTTTATTAATTACACGTTTTATTTTATTAATTTTTATGTTAATTTAAATATATTTATTTTTTATTAATATTATTATTAATATTATTTATTAATTTAATTAAATACATTTTTTACTTACTTTTATAACAGTTAATTTAATTAATTAAAAACTTATTTTATTTATTTCATTATTAATTGGTCCGTATTTATTAAATTTAAGCCTTTTCCCCTTTAGTTTAAATTTAAAAGCGAAAACTTTTCTCCGAAAAAACGTTATGTAAGCAAGTAAGGAAAGTTTTCTTAATAAAAGTTAAAAAGTGTAAAAAGGAATTGGTCACCGCTCTATACTAGGTTTTCAACTGTAGTGTATATATATGTAAAGACATAGCTTAGTAGGACTGACCTGGCGCTTTGGTCAGATGGGCGTCCGCCGTCAGCTCATCGCAGCGCTAATCACGAGCTGGATCACCACCCCTGCTAGATCTACCATGGCATTCTTGGTTGGCGGGTCGAGGCTGCTAGAGCTAGTGCTAGGCTAGACCGTTGGAAAGTTTGATTGTGTGTATTACATAGAGTAAAGCTGACTTACATCTAAGGCTGCAAGTCAACCTTAAAATACAAATGCTACGGAATAAAGCATAAAAATAGGAAGAAATAAGCTCCAAGCATGCAGTTATCCCCTTTCGAAACGCCAAAGCCATGCATGCCGCTTATATAGAAGCCCAGTCAGTCATATCCCGTAGTCATTTCCTTCGTTCCCCCCAAAACGGTGCCTACACTAAGGACCGCCCATCCTATTAACACTGGGGCGGCCTACATCCTAACATAGTATTATTCCTTATCCATGTCCTTGGGCGCCGGGTCCCCAATGCCGTCCTCTTTGATCGCAAACAGACAATCGCTTTCGGGCAAGCAGGGGCTGTCGTAGATCTTGGCGATACGGGTCTCGGCGCGACCCTTCTTCAGACTGACTCGCGTGGTGCTGGCGTGCGCGATGATGTTGCCGCCGATCGGCTTTTTGGGGTCCGGGTTGAACATTGCTGATGGGCCGCCGTCGACTTGGGCTACGACCTGGTTGGTGATGACGACGGCGATGCCGAATTCATCCGCTAGTCTTTGTAGCGTGCGCATGAACTTGGCTAAGTGGGTTTGTCGAGAGGAGAGCTCTCCTCGACCGAGGAAGTCTGTTCGATAGAGGGAGGTGGCGCTGTCCACGATGAGTAGGGAAAACCGGGTCTCGCACATCATCGTGGCGGCTTGGGTTAGCAGTTGCAGCTGGTGGTCGGAGTTGTAGGCTCGCGCGTAGGCGACGTTGTCGAGGACTTCCTCGCCAGATAGGCCGTAACGATTGGCTACGGCGAGGAGCCGTACTGGTCTGAATGTGCCTTCCGTGTCGATGTATAGACATTTGCCTTCGCCGCCGCCCATATCGAAGGGCAGTTGGCACGTGACTGCGAGTGTATGGCAGATCTGACTTTTTCCGGTACGGAACTCGCCGAAGAGTTCTGTCACCGAGCCGGTCTCGACACCACCGGCCAGTAGAGTGTCTAGGTTCTTCGATCCCGTAGTGATAGAAATCAGCTCGCTTCTCCGCTGATGCATTTCTGTAGCGGTTGTGAAGCCCATAGGAACCAATTTAGATGCTAATTCGTGTTAGATGAGTTTTTGAGATATAATCGTCTAGGAATATAGAAAATTTACCTTCTCCGAGGACCTTCTGTGCCTTTTGTTCTGATATACCTTTAACCAGCTCTAAGGTACGTCTTGGTGTGTAGGCGACTGCTTCGACAGTTTGATAACCTCCATCAGCCAAAAGCTGACAGTCACGCTTTGTCAAGCCTGAAAGGCCCTATTGTAAGGTTAGTCAGTACAAATCCGATACTGCGTCTCTTAGAACGAGCCGTATCTTACCTCTAGAGCAAAGATAGGCGTTGGAGCCCCAGGGCCAGTCACGCCACTACTCTCCTCCGGTCCATCCTCGTATTCCTCTGCCATATCTGCGAATTATAAATGCTCAACTTGACCGAATATAAAGGAAGACGAGAGTAAGAGAGCGAATGTGTATAGACTTGGTCCGAGAAGACTTCATAAACGCGTCAAACGCGAAATGTGGCGAGAAAACAAATGGAAATCGCGGAAGCACGTGAGTAATTTATCAATTTAACTCGGGTTTAGTTGGAATGTAATCCGTACGAAGTACCCACTGTTTGCTGCAGGCAGGCAGCCCCCACAGGAACTTTATTACTTTCGTACTTTCGTAGCTCTCAGCAACCACCAACTTATCGATAAGCTCCAGTTCGGCCAGTAACTTCTTCGAGTTGTTTTGAAGCTCTGAATTCCCCGTCGCCCGCGTCATTCATAAACATAGGTACCTATCTTGACGACATCAATTTTCCTCCGAGGGTCGCATTCAGCATGGCGGCCGCTGTGTATTCCTACAAGGAAACGCGCCTGAACTTGGAGCCATCATCAAGCTCGTACATTGTTGATGTCGAGCTCCCTACCACGAGTTCCCAGGCACGGACCCAGCGTGCCAGCAGATCAGCCAAAGCAATCGCTAAGAAAGATGCCTCTCTAGCTACGACTTCTGCCATATACTACCGAAAACACCATAGCTCTCCCAGGGGATTCCTTTGGCGAGTCCTTGAAGACGATACCGTTTTGAGCATACGAACCGTCGATCTCTATAAACCGAAGAAGGCTGCCGACGCAAACCTCATCCTCAACTTCCACTTCCAGCACCCTATTATACCTAGCTGCGTTGCCCTTTGCGATCCTCCAGACCACGATGCGCTTAGTATCTTCATCCTCGATACTTCCAACCAGCTATATACTCTCTTCTTGAGGCCAGACTCTTTCCGTAAGCGTTCGTTTGTCGAAACAGGACTTGGAGACGCCTGCAAGATTTACCAGCCCAATGCGTTCCGCAACTTTAAGCATCCATACAGACTTGTTGCAGTCGATAATGACCAACTGGTCGCGACTCTCTCTGATGGCGGTCATATACGATTTGATAGGAATACGGGACATAATGGTTTGTTTGGTACCCATTTTGTTTGCAAGTTGTATACTTAACATTGTTTCTAGCCACCCACTCGCCCTGGAAAGAGACATTTTATAATGCGAAGGGCTGGTTACGAAGTTTGTTGGGAGGTCGCGGAGATCTAGACATCAAGGCTGCTGCAGCTGCAGTTCACACGGATCTAGGGCTTAATAGTGCATCTTTCCTTTTCACAGTCTGCCTCGACCATCGACTACGAATTTGGAATCTTAATAGCGGACAGATCCTCGGAGCTGTAGACTTACTTAATTCCGACAGAGACCCCCAGGAGACAGGGAAGTGGCAGATAGATGCGACGCAAGCGAACCTAATCCGTATCGTGGGCACCACCGAGGGCAAACGTCTGCTCGTAACATATTCTCCCGTCGGTCCTGGGGAGTTTAAGTTTTGGATGCTAAGGTCCGATAATGCCAACTCCGTCGATGCGGATGATCTCTATCCTGACTACGAGTTGGTGCCTAATCCTCCTCTTGGCTCGGATGTCTGGACTCTCGCAGATTTCAGTGTAGCGGAGCATTCATCATCCGGAGTATACAGGATGTGGCTTTTGTGGAAGAATAATATGGCATACCGAGTTCAGGAGTTGACATTCTTAATAGATGAACTCGTCGAAGTCTGGCAGGACCGTTGGCGATCCGTATACGCTGACACTGCTATACCGACCGCACAATTATCTGGCCCATCCGATCCTACAGACCCTACAGAAAAATGGCTACAGCTAATATTCTTCCCCGGAAGATTCCCCAGGGCAACTGTGGAGGCTGCGCTCAGCGCTTACGAGGGAGCGATCGGAAGACAGAGTAACGTCTCGTCTCGCAATGGTATAGGCCTCGCTGAGTCAATTTGCTCCGCCATCGCCTCAACCTCATCCCTTAATAAGTCATCATCAGGTGACATGGATCATGAACAGTTCAGGACCTCGAGTGAGATGCAGTGGCGGAAATTCTACAGAATTTTACTCGAGCTAGACAAACCTAGAGGTGAAGCTTTATCGTTTTCTTACGATGGGGAGTCGGGGATGCCATGGGTCGTATGCGCCGATAGCATCTCTGCTATCAGAGAATGTAGCAAGCTGGAGCATATATGCCACAACCCACAGATAGAGTATGAAGGGTCGAATGAGGTTCCAACTCTTGTCATCTCTGGTACCAATTTCGTCGAGGGTTTCTCGGACAGCATGTTGCAGATATGCCATTCTGTTATTCGCCCAGAGATGCTAGAAGAGTCGTCCAAATCAGATCAAGAACGACTCCAGTTCGTTTCAGACAAGACGGGATTCTGGCGCCAAATCTCCGACGAAGACGCCGCTCAGGTGACTGATGCGCTTGGTCCAAACTTCAACGTAGTAACAACGCAACTATGCGACAGAGTGCTTGCGACGTGTAACGAATGTTGGAATTCTCCACATCCTACTGAGCTTCCCCTAACAGAGTTTGGGCGAAAAGTTGTCGTTAAGGCAACTCAAGACCTAGTCGAGGTACAGTGGAACGTCAGCTTTAGCCAACTGATCCTCCTCGTCCACATGGAATTCGAATTCGATCGTCCTGAGGATGCTCTCCACAACCGCGTTGAAGTTGGTGTGATATACAGAAACTTGCTCATTATACTTAAACGACTCGAACTCCTTCGATGGCTCGTCAGTACCCAGCTAACAACACCACTCGCGAGAGCAGACAGATCGAATTCCGTGTCTGATACCTCTCCCGTAGCCCCGAAGCGACAGGCCGAAGAGTATAGAATTCTCACCGCGCTCGAGGGTAATGTGGGACACCTTCTCGGAGTACCCGAACCGGGATCATTACCCTCGGGAGGAGTACCCTCAATAATCACGCACATCGCTGCAGACCTCTGTGCTCCCGCTAGTAACGTGGAGTTACAACCTCAATATATTCAGTGTGGTCTGCTTATTAGAGACAGGGCGGATCTTGCTATTGAGTTGAGTCCATTTTGCGAGCAAGATCCCTTCTCAACTTATGTGCAAGGGCGTGTACATCTTGCCCTGAAGGACTTTACGACCGCAGCCACATACTTTAAGAGAGCCGCATATGGCATGAGTAAGTAGTTATCGATAGGGCTTAAGAAGCGTACCTAAGCTAATGGTTTATATAGGTCTACCTCAGGCAAACCCCGAAAGGCACAGCAGTGGTCTCCTTGATGAGACAGAATGGAACCTACTGTTTGCAGGATTACCACGATATTATGCTCACATAGTAGCTCTCTATGAACACCAGAAGGCTTATTCGTTCGTTATCGATTTTGCTCGTCTCGCTCTCCAGTTCGTAAACGCGAATACCGAAGATGCTAGCAAGGTCCGAACAGAGATACAATTGCGTCTCTTTAGCGGTGCTCTATCCACTTCGCAATTTGAGTTGGCACACTCAACGATCGTAGCGATAAAGGATCATGCTTTACAGCATTCATGCTTACAGGCGCTTATCCAGAGGATGTGTGATAACCTCCACAACTCAGAACTAGTCAACCTTACATTCCCGGGCCTACAAAGTGCCGTCGACGACATACTTGCGCAACACTGCCGAGACACGGTAGACGTCATCACCGGCGTGCCATATCACCAGATCCTCTATGCTTGGCGCATCAAGCGAAACGACTACCGCGGTGCCGCCGCAATCCTACTCGATCGCATCCAGAAGCTTAGGCAGCTCGGAGTAGGCGATCAAGTTACGGGTGAAGATATTCTAGATACGGCCGTGACGAGGCAGTATCTAATGCTAATCAACGTCCTAAGCTGCGTGGATCCAAAGCAGGCATGGATTACGACTGAGGGGCCACCGCGCCCGATTAAGCTCGGCGAACGAGACAGCCTCTCTAAGCGCAAGGTAGTAACGTTGGCCGACATTCGCAAGGAATACCAGGACGAACTCGACCGTATTGCTGCTATCCACAACGACCAATTCGGGTTTACGGCGGACGACGAGATGGAGATCCTGTGATGTGAGGATAATAAGGAATGAGCGCAAATGTACAACATAGGGTGTTTTTACTAGATGATACCTCCTGAGCTTTCAGATATAGACCTCAGGCCTCCCACCCCCCCTAACAGAACTTCGCGACAGGAATAGGTAAAACGCGAATTGTAATGGATTGACGGATGAATTGACTGATTTGATTGATTGAACTATTATAACCCTCATGAGCAACATAACGCCTTGGCTCTTTCTGACTCAATCACATGATGCCAACTATCAAAGACCAAAGACCAAAGACCACTTAAACGCCGTGCCGTCAATGCTCGACCTCGCGGGGGGTGAGTTGGTAGTAGTAATAATAATAATGTACAGAGAATTAGGTTTTAACGTGACAGCGACATGGCAAGTAATTTGTAAATAACCGTAATAATGATGATGATAGGCAGTAAAACAACAAGATTTCACTCCCAGTTTCATGCTACGCTTGGGCGGCTAAGCGGCTAAGGGCATGGGGGGGCGCGTGGACTCGGGCACGGAGACGACGCCTTGGGACTCGACGGCGTCGCCGGGGGCTTGTCGGTACAGGATTATTTCCGACTGCTTGAAGTAGCGCCGCGCGTCCTCGTCGATGAGGACTAGGCTTAGGTAGTACCGCGTGGAGAATTTCTTGTTCACGTCCCGGAAGGTGGGTGTTAGGTCGAAGCCGCCTAGGAATAGCCGGATGGGGATGGTTTCGCCGCGGGAGGGGGAGCCGTCCATTATCTGTGGAGGGGGGTTGGTTAGTTGGTTGGTTTTATGTTGGGTGGGTTATGGTTTGTAAGAGTAGGGGGGTAGATAGGGGGAAAGGGGCTTACCTCGAAGCGCACTAGGGTCTCGCTCTCGTTATACTGGTTAGGTGCGGCGCCCGTGGTCTCCCTCCGAATAATACTAAGCTCCATGTGCTTAATCTTGAGACGGACGAGGAGGAAGTATATGCGACCGACTATGACGTCCTTCAGGTGGTACTTGGACTTGGAGTATTCGAACTCGATGTGTAGGCAGTCCTCGATACCGACGTCCATCTTGATGGAGGAGTTCATCTCGGGGGGTACGCGGTAGCTGTAAACCCAGAGGTCCTTCTCGCGGATAACATCGGCCATGCGACGGGCAACGGTGACGCGCACAAAGTACCGCAGCTTAACGTTGATGCCATTGTAGGACTCGTACTGCTTCTCGACGTTCTTGAAGTTGAAGTCGAAGGTCTGGGGGTGCTGCAGCTCGCCCGGCGCGGCGAGCTCCTGGTTCAGGGAGAGGAACTCGTAGTGATTGCCTCGGTCGAAGAACATCTCTATGGTGCCGATGAACTGGACCTTGATACCGGTGTGTTCCAGGCGCTTGCCGTCCTTGGGGCGCACGGTGACTTGGCCCTTGACGGACTCCCCGTCCATGTACAGCGGCGCCTTCTCGCGGCGCTGCTTCTCCCGTATGTCCACCACTTGGCGGTCATCGCTATCTTCGAGCACTATATCGATGTCGACCGGGGTGGCGAAGAAGTACGACATGTTGGGCGGGTTTTCGAGTGCGGAAGGGGAGGAATTGGGCCGTTTGGAAGTCGTCGTATGCTTTGCGAGTTGTTGAAGCACTTATTGTTCTCCTGCCTTGCGGCCCCACATTCATTCGTCAGTTAATTGGGACGAGAGGCAGAGGGAGATCCAGCGGCGTTCAGGTAAAATCCATGTGGCTCGAGCTTCAGCTTCAGCCTCACCGGATAATCGGTGGACCTCAACCTAGATTTTGAAATTGAAATCTAGATGGGCAAGCCACGGCAGCCACAGCTGGAAGCCACGACGGTAGCCCCGCTGCTGTAGCCCTAATGGAACGAACTAAGCAAAGTACCTTGTACTAAAATTCTGGCACTTACCCCAATCTAAGCTTAGCGACTGGCCGCACAACGAATTTCCTCAATTGATTGAATTTTTGACTTTGGCTCTGGAGACTTTTTTCCCCGTTCAAGACGACATCACATTCAGGTACGTTAGAGCTCCGCGCCCGATACCCTCTACGATTAATTCTTTTCTATTTTTCATTTAATCAATCAGCATCGCATCTGCTGGTATCTGGGATCTAGCAATTTACTCACGGTTTCAATTTCTTCAGGTCCATTTCTCCCCCCGCTATACCCTCACCTGAACCGTCAAGATGCGATACATCCACAGTCTCGAGACCTTGGAGATTCCCGAGGGAGGTACGTTTTCGAACCGATTCACCCGCGCTGGTAGCATCGGCCCAGGAATTAAGAAATTTTGGGTTGGGTGTTTGCTGCTTGGAGGATCTCGAACTTCTTTGCGATTCACTTAGACGAATGCTGACATGCGACCCGCGAAACAGTCAAGGTCCAAATCAAGTCCCGCAATGTCACAGTCGAGGGCCCCCGAGGTACGATACCATCTACAGCCATAACGATGGCGAATATATACCCTGGAGGCGCGAAGGAATCTAACGGAGAGAAACAGGCAAGCTTTCCAAGGACCTGAGCCACATCGCGGTTAACTTCTCGCGACCGAAGAAGAATGTTATTGGCATTGAGATTCACCACGGCTCGCGAAAGGACGTCGCCACGCTCCGAACCGTCCGAACCCTGATCAACAACTTGGTCATCGGTGTCACCAAGGGCTTCAAGTACAAGATGCGTTACGTCTACGCCCATTTCCCCATCAACGTCAACGTCGAGAAGAACAGCGAGACTGGCAACTTCGAGGTCGAGATCCGGTATGTTTTGAGCCTACCGAACGCGTAGGGAGAGATCGTGTTTGAAGACACTTTCTCGGCGGGTTTTTGAGAAAATATGGTAGCTGATAGTGAACGACAGAAACTTCATCGGTGAGAAGCTCGTCCGAAGAGTCGTCATGCAGTCTGGTGTCGATGTCCAGATCTCCACAGCCCAGAAGGACGAGCTGCTCCTCCTAGGCAACTCCCTCGAGGATGTTTCCCAGAGCGCCGCCGACATCCAACAGATCTGCCGAGTCCGAAACAAGGATATCCGAAAGGTATGTTCGATTAATCTTTACTTAGTAAGTATAGGGGTTATGCTAACAGACATCTAGTTCTTGGACGGCATGTACGTTTCCGAGAAGGGCAACATCGTGGAAGAGGTCTAAACGGGCGGACATGACGGGACACAAATGGTTTCTTTGCTTTTAGGGTCTCAATACGGAGTCGCCGGGGTTCATCTGCATCTCACGTAGCAAAATAGCTACGAAAAATGGAACCGAATACTGAGCAACTGTGTTTCTGAACCGAACTTTGGACACTTTACGGTCATGTGAATTGTGAAGTTATACGTTTATGATACTCGCTTCAGGGACTAGCGGTTTTCAGACGATGAGGTGCGGATTTGAGATAACTCTTACTGAGCTATCCGTGACGGCCCATGAGAACTTAGGAGCATCTAGAAATTAAACTCTACCCTATGATTCTTGTGCACTTATTCTAGTTCCCCGTAGGCGACCTTCATGACGTGGAATATTTATATTGCACCATTATCATCATCGTATATCACATATGTAACAGGTATTTTGCGTAGAGGGCCACCTAGTAAAATGGCATCTAGTAAAGTGGCATCAAAACAAGTGCCGATTTTGTAAGTACTAACATATCAAAAAGTTACCTTATAAAGGTATTCACAGAACTCGGTAAACTCCGTCGCTGTATCTTTCTAAGTGATCCCGGAATAAAACCGAAAGTCTGGTTTATATTAAAATAAATTTCGGTATTACTGTCTAGCTGCCTAATCTCAGATGCGGCTCTCCGTCTGGGCTGAGCAGGGCAGGTAGGGGGGGGGGTTGTGTTTCTGATATATATTAGGTATCAAAGCGGAAGCAAACGAAATATTCAACTAGTCCCTTACCGAAGCTTTTCTTTGTCTTGTTTGCATTCGCGAGGGGGCGGTGGTGGAAGGGATGGGATAGGATGGGATGGGTATCCATGTTACACTGTTGGAAGAAGAAGAAAAGTCTTGATAGCTGGTTGTACGGGGAATAAGGCGTCTGTGCAACGTAGCATACGAAGAACCAGTTCGTACGGAAGTAAAGGAGATGGGATGGGATGGGATGGGATGTAGTACCTATACAGTCGAAATCCCGTGTCACGGCGGAAGATAATAGACAACTTATATACATCTATGCTCAAGTGTCATATCAGCCTCAAAACGTTAGGCTTTTCCTTTCCCACATGGCGAGTTACCTAGTACTTAGGTAGATGCAACGGCGGGTGTAACTAATATGTATATCTACATCTCATCTAAGGGCAAGGCAAACACTTCTAGATCTAGGTAATCGGCTTGCTTGATAGGTACCACGAAGGGTTATAAACTAGCGTTCTTGAGGGGCATGTATTTACCTAAACTACGGATATATTTCTAACCTTGCTTTTCATCGTAAGATCCTTCCCATGTTTTCTCCTCCCCCTATGAGGCTCTATTTATCTTTTCGACTACTACTTGCTTGTTAACTACCTTACCTACTTAATCTACATCTTAACTACCTCGCCTATCCCTAATATATTGGAACTAAGCGACATGCCCTCTGCTCCCAGAACGAACGTCTGGATAGAGTCGCCGCTGCACTATCGAACACCTTAAACGGTACCCCCCTAACATTCCCCCAGCGACCACCACCATAGCAACAAGAATACCTGCACTCTGTCCTCGCTTCCTACAGCCCCACAGTCAAAATGAATCGCGAACAGAGAAAGCGAGACTCTAATGTAAAGGAGCCTGGGACCTGCGACCCCGGCTTCGTGTTCTACAGCTGTCGGGCCGGATTCGTTGGATGTTGCGCCGTGGAGGCGTGTAACCCGGGGGGGTGTCCCGATGACGCTCTGCCATCGAATACCGAAGGAGGAGAGGATATCACGAGTACTACATCGCCACCGGGTGGTGAGACTAAGACGCAGACACAGACGGTTACTCTGGATATCACATCTACTTCGACCATTACCTCTGGCAGCAGTCCAGAGCCATCTACAACATCATCAGATTCTGCCACAGGAACAATCACACCACCGCCCTTACCGCCATTACTGCCTCCATCCTCACCCCCTACATCCTCATCATCCCCATCTCTCAACGTACAAACACCCCCAACCTCAGCTCTCCCACAAGCAAACACAACTTCACCAACGCCCCCCCTTTCTACAGCCGCCATAGCCGGTATATGCGTAAGCAGCACCATATTCGCCCTGACCGCGCTCCTCATCGCCGGTTTACTCATCCGTCGCCGCCGCATCGCGAAACGCGTGGCTGCGGAGACGCTGCCGAATTCCCCGTATGCGGACGAGCCGGAGCGCTTCATGATGGATCATCCGGCGTGGAGGGGGCAGGGGCAGGGGCAGGGGCAGGGGGTGTTTAGGGGGGTTAGTGAGTTGCCGTAGGGAAAATGTTGGGGAGGGGGTGGTTGATTATAATATCGAAAGGGTTGGTAGGGCTGATGTTTTATTTTGAGGTGTTCTGGTGGTGTTTTGGTCTTGTTTCTCTGCTGGATATTGTATTGTGTTGTATATTGTGTGATGATTGAGGGAGTTGGTTGATGAATCGTGTTATATTGCCTGAGGGCTTGAATAGGGGTTTGTTCTAACCCCCTTTTATTTGCTCGTAGTTAGGACTATGAGCTTGCTTTTCATCAACCTGACTTGCCAACTCTTTATACGAGTGGATTCCTCTCTACAGATCATCACCTATGCTAAACAGCAACCTTCCCTCTTAATACTATATTTGCTGTATCGATCAGATATTACAATATTTGTTAATAAAAAGCCCTACAAATTCAAAAAAGTACAATGTATCACAGTATACCAAAGATATTCCAGAGAATAATCATGACAAAACCAACCGAATGCTATTTATTTAGTCTTTGCCTGTATCTTCCGATCTTATGGGGGGTATGGAACATGACAGAAATCAAGAAAGCCTGCCAGTCTTTTTTCCTTATCCTACGCCGTTTAGTGCAATACCAGGTCCCCTGGTCTAATTCAAATGAAAACGCCCAACTGACAAGAAATCGATCGGCCTTTGTTCCCCTAGGATCCATTATCACAAGCTTCTCAACCTTGGAATTATGCCTCGCGTGGAGGTTGTTGTTGTGGGTTTCGGTAGATCTGTTCGGTTATAAGGAACAGAAGAAAGAGGTACGGCACTTTGCTAGAGCACCGCGGGTTTATGGAGAGCGGTATCATCGCGGCATCAGCTTGTAGATCTCGTTGAGCAGCTCTTGTAGCTCTTCGTCGGAGATTTTATCGGTGATCGACGGGATTAGGTATTTGGCCTCCTCGGCCGTCTCGCAGCAAAGCGATCCTAAAGGAATAGACCTTCAGATTAGCCTTTTGCTGTTCACCTACTTTATCAATAGAACCACGGTTCTATAACTAAACCGTACCTAATTGCGCGCGCTCAAACTTGTGAAACTCCTTATGCGAGCTCAACAATCGTTCCACGGCCTCGACGCTCTCCTTCTTCTTGAAGCGGGCGAAGGTATCCAGGTAATCGATAGTCTTAGTTAACATCCTGAAAAAAACAAGCACAATAAACGTTAGTCCTGTCCTCGTCGCCCGGGACTAGCTAAAATTGCCCAGGGGGTGGGTTTAAGGACAGAATCTTCTTACTCTGTCTCGTTGACGTTCTTGCGGTCGTTGCGGCGCTTGGCGACTAGGGCGTTGATGACGAGGGAGGCTTCGGATAGCGTCAGGGTGTCGACGTCCTGGAACTCGCCCAGCCTGAGGACGGTAGTAGCCTCCTCGTTGCCGGCGGGTGGCGCTCTGGACCGCGACGTGGGAGGATGAGACATTGTATTTATTTATCCGGGCTATTTCTTCGTAGGATGGCGACGGTTGGAAGGGATAAATGCAAGAAGAGGAAAAAGGAAGCAATTAGTAATTATTGTTTTTGCTGGTCGCAAACCGGCGCGGTCAAATTGATAGAAGGTAGATGGTATGGCGATATGGTTATGCGATAGGATAGGTATGCGACAAAGGAAGAAATGTCAGCTGTCAGATAATGCGGCTCTGGGGCTGCGCTGTACGGAGGTAGGTAACCTGTAACCTGGTGGTAGCCTGTGATGAACAAGGTTAGGTGCTAAGACCGCTAAATTGTGGAGAATTTGGGGAAGCTTCTTGTGAAAATCCGGTCTAAAAGTCCCGGCACGCTCAGATAGGTACCTGGGTACTTAAATATCTCAGGGACTCTTAGGAGAAACTTCGGTTATTTTGACTTTGTTCAGCGACTAAGTTGCCAAGGCCTCAGTCAGAGCTGTACATACATAGGGAAGTGATCGTGTGCTATGATCTCATACCAACATTGAAAGGGCCATGAACACGTATTCCTTAATGAGATATGAGCAAAGAAAAGACCAAATCCAAATAAAATCAAAGCCCTCATTAATTATCTCTGTACGATGTAAGCAGCAAACCCCAAATCTACCATAAAATAAAAGGTGGAATTACTGCTAACTCATATATATATAGGGGCGTACTAGCTCTCATTGTCATCAACAAGGCCGGCGGTCTCATCTACAACCGCACCTTCGGGGATGGCCTGAACCAGCTGAACACAAATGACTACCTCGTACTTGCTGGTACTTTCCACGGGTGAGACACATCTCCCTGTCTCATTAGCAGCATCCAGCAATGCGTTAGGCAGTTATGAGAATCAGATTACTTACTCACCTCGTTACTAGAGTCCACGCCATCACAGCCCGTCTCAACCCGCTGAAAGGGCTTATGAATGCCCAACACCAGCAGCAAGCGATGTTAACAGCGGGCGGCGTGCCGATACCAAGCCGGCCGGATCCGCCCTCGGGTCTCGAGGTCATGGAGACGGAGAACTTCCGGTTACAGTGCTTCACCACGTTGACAGGCACCAAGTTCCTGTTGTTCACAGATACGATGCAGACCAACGTGGACATAACCATACGCAAGATCTACGACTTGTATTCCGACTACGTCATGAAGAACCCTTTCTACCAGCTAGAAATGCCTATCCGCTGCGAAACCTTCGACAGGAAGCTAAACTCGTATATCAGGGAGATTAACAACTCCCGATAATACAGAGGCTTACTAGTAGTAGGTATTACGGATTTCTCTTACGGACTCACCTTTAGGCATAGGGGGAGGGATCTGGCGACTTTGACGGGGCGGAATTAGGAAGGCTTAGCTATCTAGAGTTGCATCACGGCATGGCGTTTGGAGTTAACAGACTTGGATTTCATTACGGCCCGGAACTTGATTGATAGAAAATGCCCTCTGCCTTCTTGCGGCAGAAATGTCATTCCCCGCCTAATTCATCGCTACAGGCCTTTGGTCTATTATTATTGTACAAGTCCAACAACTCCGTGATCCCATGCCGGCGAGAATTCGACAGACTGCAGACAAACAGGTCTTCGTCTATGACGTGTCCATCTTGTCGTCGTCGTCTTTCTTAGAGCTCTTCTTGTCGGCAGATCCGCTTCCGCTAGGCTCACCGTGTTCGTTTAGTAGAGGCTGGTTCTCACCCTCCTCCTGTATTCCCTCCAGACTCGTCTTGTTTGCAGCATCTGCCTCGTCCTTGGCCTGTTTGGCCTGTCTTGCATTCTCCTCTTCCATACTCATGCGTAGAGCAAGAGCCAGTTCGGGGTCGGCGCTAGGGTCGAAGTCGAAATCGCCAAAGTCGCCACCACCCTCGGCCATACCACCTGAACCACCCGCAGCTCCTTCTCCGAGCAAGATGGGGGTAGTTATCAGCTGGTCGCTTAGAAGCTTGCCGCTAGGAGGGATAACAACAAGATGCGAGTTCTCGTTGGTTTTGACCGCATTGTTAAAAGCCTCTAGCTTCTTCTGTACGTCATCGTCGTCAAGGTCGCCAAATAGGATAAAGTCGATGTCAATGTTGCCCTTCTTCATCTTCTTAGCAAGAGATACTAGCTTTTTCTCGTCATCGGCTACGGGCGAGCACACGAAGACGATGATGCGCTGGCGTTGGGATTTGTTTTGTCGGTGCTTCAATGCTAGCTGTCGCGGAGGAAACCAATCATTAGCTTAGATGTCATCATACACATGTGTCCGTTGTAGTTGCAAACGAAGGTTTGACATACACTAGCGATCTGGATTCCGGTTGCAAGGTGGGACGAGCCCGAGATCTTCTTCTTCATACGGTGAAGACCTTCGAGCAGCTTGCCCCGTTCTGTCGTCAAAGTGGACAAAACCTCGGGTCCCTTGCCACCCATGCTCATCAGGCCGACGGAGGATTCGGGGTTGGACTGGGTGATGCTCTCGAATATGATATTTATCGCATCGGCCTGGGCATCGAATCGAGAGGGCTGGTAATCTCCATTGCGGCTGCTTTCGCTGTTATCAACGACTATCATAACAGCTTGCAACGGCATTTTGGCGGTGTTGTGGTGGTAAACTAATCTCGATATTCTTTTGCAAATAGTAGAGGTCCGGCCTGTCTTATGATATCTAGAGAGTAAGTCTACGAGGTTTTGATGACGGGTTAGAAAAGTTGATGAATGCAACTACAGCTAAGTACCTTCGTAACTGCAGGTGCTGGAATCGGAGGATAAGCTCTTCAGAACAAACGTCAGGCAGGTGTAGCCTAGGTGGGTACAAAGGTACCTACAGTGAAATACCTACATCAATGGTAGAGCTTAGACCAAGTTGCTTCCAGTTGCTTGCCAAGGTTTTTACTTACATAACATTGAATCGACTTCCTATTTTAGATGACATAATCCACTCTAATCCACCATGGAAGTTTCAGATTATCCAATTGCATTACTCGTATCGCTCAAGTGCATGTCCCACATCCCTCTCTTTTGTTTACTTGCACAAGCATTGGTTTCATCATCAACACACCCGAATTCTTGCATTTCATACTCCATTCTACCCCATATTCAAAAAACCCCTACACGAAACAACGCGTCTGTCCAGAATTTCACATTTTACACTTTACCGCATTTTTAATTCACCAAACCCGCATCGAAAATACTCGACACAAATATTCCACAAAATGGCACCGGTCAAAGCGACGCGAAAGAGAAAATCAGAGGCTATAACAGGTTCAATTAACGGCCAAAAGATACACACGATAAGATGTTCGCCTGAACGAAGTCCGATCAAGAAGCGGAAGTTAGGCCTGTCGCTTGCGCAGAAGCAAGCTCTCATCGACAACCTCCAACTAGAGAGTACGGACGCGCCGCCGAGCCAAATAATGAAGTTCCTCGATTTTTAACTAATTTTTATCGCAGTTACCGAACGTGCAAGACGACTAAGAGCTCAATACAACATCCAGGCGCAACAACTACGATCACGCGTCGAGATGCGCGTCAACCGAATACCCACCGCCTTACGAAAACTGAAGATGGGCGAGCTCCTCTCCAAATCACTGCAGCCACAACAACCTCCTCGCCCACCTAAGTCAACGTATGTAGCAAGACCTCCACCCGTCCCTGCAAAGGATAGCGCGTCAGCCAAACCCCTCCCACGAAAGCCAGTTCCAGCAGTCAATGCAAAAGGCCTAAGGTAGGAACTTATTTTGTTTATTCTCTCTAGCTAACTAACACTGTCTAGCGAGGAAATACTAGGTCTAGACAAGGAGAACCAAGGCGACGATGTCCAGAATCCTAAGAAGAGGCCTCGCGGCATCCCGGGCAAGGAACCTGCTACAATCCAACCGGGACAGGTCCTATCGCCCACATCTTCAAACACGCGAATAGTACCCCGCGCTCGCCCGGCAGCATCTCCCATGAAGACGCTAGTTAGCAGGCCCGCTTCACCTATGAAAGGACCCCCGCCTAAGCCTTCTTCCAATATCATATCGAGTATGGCAGACAGGGTGAAGGCATCACGGCCTGCGATCACAAGGAAACCTACCACTTCATCTATGACCAGCTCAGCTAACGGCAACGCATCTGTACGTGCGCGACAAGCCGCAGTCCCATCACGTCCCCCGACTGCGGCGTCTACGCGAGGAAGGCGGAAGGCTAGTACTACAAGCGAGTCGAGCAATGGCAGTTCGACGTCGGTAGTCAAGAAGACAACCGCTTCAAGAACAGCTAAGACGACAGCCCCCGCGGCCAAGAAAACAGTCATGAGCACAATAAAATCAGCCACAACCAAAAAGCCCCCGGCAACAAAAGCCGCTGCCTCTGGAACGGGGACAGGGAGGACGTTAAGGAAGAGAGCTTAGATATTAAATGACTATAATGTGTTAATTGCATCTCGCTCGGCGTTATGGTTCTGTTTTCTGTCGCTGCACAGGAGGGGGGTATGGATTAAGTCAGGTCACAATGAGAACCTTGCTGGCGTTTTTATCTAAAAGATTTCCCCATCTTCCTCCCAATATCTTGTCCCCTTTGATTTCTTCTTCTTGCGCCCCCACTTCGTAAGCTTGGACAAGACGAGCATGTGCTTCTAGCCGGCGGTAGCGGCAGTTGAGCCCTTCTTTTTCTTGTCATCGACGAGTTCGATGTTATCCTCAGGGATGGTGTCCTTGTACTTTTCTAGCAGGAACTCCTCGATCTCGTCCGACACGTCGCCCTGCACGACGATCTCCTCGCCGCCGCTGGGTACCTTCGTCACAGAAGAGCCCGTGGCAAATTTCTTGCCGAATTCCTTGGCGACTTTCTTCAGGTCGAGACCAAACGCCTCGAGTCCGGACACGGCGGTTACGAATTTGCGCTTGTTGCGCTCGACCCGCTTGATTGTTATGACGCTGTTGGCGATCTTGTCTGCTTGCTTCTGCTCCGCCTTCTCGGCCTGCGCGGCTTTCTTCTGCGCGTCCTTGGCGGCGCGCTTCTGCGCCTCGACGGAGAGCGATGCCGTGGCGGCTTCTAGGGCTTCTGCGGGACGGGGGGAGAGCTGGCGTTAGTGGGGTTGTCCAGCCTAGGAGAGAGGGTATCTATCTATAGGGATAGGGGGTGTTTCGGGGGTCCTGCGTACCTGGAGACCATATACGCTCGTATAGGCTCGGGTGGGCTTTCTGCAGCCAGTCCTGGCATTTCTTGACGGTGCCGCCATATTCGCAGTACTACTTGTTCGACGATCAGTACATTTTCTACCTCTCTATGACGTCTATTTTGTCGAATACCATTCGCGGAGCTGGTCTATGAATAGGGAATATCGTACCTCTGGCGGTAAGGTGCAGACTAGAATAGCAGCAGGACAGGGTCAGTTTACAGCTGTTCTGGGGACCTAGTGGGTGGGTATCGTGTTTTTGTTTGTTTGACTTACCGCCGCAGTATATCACGTGGCGGCCCTGGGGCTCGCTGGGGCCTTCTGCCTGTTCTGTATCTGCCATTCCTGAACTACCTAGGTTTTTGTATATAGGTGGCGATTGGGGAGGGGGGGATGGTTGAAAAGGAGAGACGCAAGTTGTTTCGTCGCGACTGTGTGCTAAGAGATTCTGTTTTGTTGTTTGGCTAAACAAGGGGACCGGATTTCTTGGTTGTTGATTCTGGAGCGCGGGGTTCGTTCGACAGGTCGCTAACCTTAGGTACCTATGTAATTGTAGGCCGGGTCTTATGGTGGGTTGGTGGGGTAGTTTTGCGTTTATGCGTTTCGTTTTTTTAAATAAATGCGCCGCGAGCACGGCGCGAAACAGCTGACTGCCCGTTTTCTGAGTTTAACCTTTAACCTACATAGGTGTTAGTGCAAAGAGCAGATCTACGGTTGATTGGTAGCTGCGTCCAATGAAAATTTGGAGGGGAACTCTATTGCAAGCCACAGTTTTAAGTAGTCTTGTCGAGTGGACGCCACAGTTAAATTTACTTACATAGGTACCTAGGTAATGTTAAGTAATAGTATGTCAACTCATCACTTTACCACCTATGAAGTTTGGTCAAACACAGTACCATCAAGCCTTATGGCTTTGCTTCCCTTGTATCATGAGCCGACATGGCGTCTTCTTGTTGCGTTTAGGCCAGCATTAATGACATGGACTATAACCTATAACTAGCTAGGATGAATATCTACGAAGGTCCGAGTCAAAAGTCCTAGCATCATATTTCTTAAACTTCAATTCATCAGCCTAACCGTGTCTTTTTACTGGAGCGAATATTGTAATTAATATTCACGATATCGCAGTCGTCCGGTTTGTCGCTTTTGAAATAATCCAAACGGCTATTAAGCTTATAAAATATTGGTATTGGTCAAAAGGACTGTTCTAGCTACTCAGTTCCACGGTAAGTCTATGGTCTGAGGTAGTATATAACAAACCAACTACTTATTCGTCCTTTAGGCTCGGACATGTCCTGAGGTTTATACTATAGGAGAGACAGCACTATTGTTTTTACAGCACGTTAAGATAGAAGATCCGGAGACCAGTCAATTATATCTCTTAATACTAAGCAACCCATTCGCCGCGGATGACTCGTACCGCTATTTAAACAAAATACCTACATAGATGGGTAGAATAACTCCGTCTAGTAGTATAGATGACGTTCTTTTACTTCCGCTATTATATTTATTGGGTTCTGGAAGTTTGGTTTTTCTGCACGATCAATCTCACCACGAACATGACTCGACCAATCACGGAACCTCACAAATGGCGCTGGGCGGTTAAGCGCTCAGTCAGCGTAACCTTTACTCCATTGGTCTGGAAGTCCGCAATGGCTTGCCAATCAACGATTCTCTCCGTCCTACACTCCCGCGCGCCAGTCGGACTATTGGCTTATGTTGCTAGGAGTTCTAAAATTATATCACCGCCAACCGTGTGTCTATCAGTCCCGATTGGTTGCTGGTGTGGGCAGTTCGACCGATACAACCTCTAGACTAACGTCGCCCAACGAGACCACGAGTCTTCTTTCGGCACAGCTACCACACATTCATACCTAAACAGGCCCCAAATGGGGTCCACGACGTATGTGTCTGGCCGAATCTACACTAAGGCTCCAAGGCTATGCAGGTGATGGGCAGTTACCCGTCCATCAGCATAGCAAACCACTGGGCTGGAAGCGCTCACTTTCTTCATGCTGCTTCTCTCCACACGATAGCCGCTTGCCCATCTCCGAGGTCAGAGTCATAAAACTACTCTCGCCCAAACATTTGGTAGGCATTGTTTCTCTTATTCTCTTCTTCTCAAGCTTCCTTGAGGTTGCCTCATTTCATATCGCTTCGTTGATCGAAGTGTCCCTGTCGTTAAAACATATTTCTTTAATTACACTTCGCTTTCAACGACGCTGGGCGTTATTTTCACCACATCTTACGGTTATTGCATTTAACCCAATATAGTTTCATCCTTTTTTTTCTTTTAAGAATCTTACTAGTATTATTTTTAAACACAAGATGCCTGAGCTAGTGCTTTTACCGTCTAGCACATACCAACAACCCCCCTCCCCTTCGCTGGCACGAAGACCGGGGAGGTCACTTAATACAATAATGGAGGAGGATTCGGAAGGGTCACAGAAGAGGACGTCGAGGGGTCGGAGTAAAAATCAAGCCAGTTCGTCCAACGAGAAAATAGTACAATGGCTATCACCGCGAAGTGACCATTTTCCGACTCCTCGAGGCTTTCATTTCTTGTCGGCCCCGATACTGCCTGAATCTCCGTCGGCTACATCCGCTGAGGAGAGTAACTCTCCGATATCTTCCTCGGACCCCTGGAACCGAGCTAGCATAAGTACTGATGTTACAGAGTTTGACGATATCTACGAAGTCTCTGACGAAGAAGATACTCGACGAGCTTCGAGAATGTCATCGGTGAAGCGCCGGAACAGCTCTCGTAACACAATGCTGAAGCGATCCTCGGTTCTCTCGTCAGTCTCGCACCGGGCTCTTCCGCCCTTGGTGATCCCGGCGCAGCAGGACGAAGATGTTAAGAACTTATCAGGTAAGCTGGAGTTCAAGAGGTTCCTGTCACCAATCCCTCCGACGCCACCACCCAAGGTCGAGATGTCGCCGGCCGTGATGTCCTACCTGCAAGCTCAGCAATCTCAGGAGGTGCCAACCATCTCTGCACCACCGTCTCTCGATGGCAGTCTAAGTTCAGACCAATTGGCTGCCCTCTCCGCTCCGCCTACGCCAGTAATTGGAGAAGACGACATCAATAGCGCAGATTGGTCTGGTGTTCAATTACAGCCCGCTGCCTTGGCTACCCTGCAAGCGCTGTCTGGGAGCGAAGACGGTGAGTGCGAGTACCGCTTAGAGCAGGTCATCGAGGTCACTGAGAGGAGGCCGGAAATGTCACAGCAGACGCCACGCCTACTCACTACTATGTCTCGGCCAGCTCTACACCTCTCGACTCGACAGCAGCAATCTCTTAATGGGTTGACGAGGCTCGATATTCCCTCGCCAGGAGGCTTTTTCTCTGGCCTTTCTCCCCACACAAGGCACACTTGGCATTTGCCCTCCATGACACCTGATGACATTGCTCCTCCCACCTCGACTACTGCGGAGCAGTTCTACAGAGTGCCATGGAATGAGCCTGCTCCTCGTGTTCCAACTCTGCTTACTGCCACTGTTCTACCTCCCCCGCCTCCACGTCCCGAGAGGTTTGCAGTTGGACCCCTTCCGTCGGTGCCTGTGGAACAGATTGTAGAAATTAGGGGTACCATGTCAGATGGTATTCCAACTGCAAGACCAGTTATCTTGGAGCACGTTGTCGAGGCAAGGACTGACCTTGCCGAAGACGTCCTTACAGCGCGACGCGTTGAGCAAAGAGACCCTTCATCTCCTCTTGCCGCTCATATCGAGCCCTCCAGCCCTAATGAGGATGTTACCGCTACGGAGATCGTTGCAACCTACGATCCTGCATATGCTAAGAAACAGCAAGAAGCTGCTTTGTCCAACCTGGACCGGACCGAATTATGGCTCATGGCCCAGAAAGCTTACCTCAAGGGTATTCTCCCGGAGGAAGAGTTCAAGCCGGAGGCTGAGGCGGTAGCGGAGGCGGAACCTGCCCATGTTGAGGAGTCCAAGAAGGAAGCCGAATCTGAAGGGGCATCCCCGTCACAGAAGAAAAAGACTGTCCGCTTCTCCGAGATTGTCGTCAAGACTAACATTCCAAAACCCCTACCGCCTAAGATCGCTCGCCAGGAGTCGGCCTACTATCGGGCTTTCCAGGATTACATCATCCGCTCCCGCAGTCAGGATCCTTTTGTTCACCGTCTCCCACGCTTTGAGGCTCTCCAATCCCAGCGCATCTCCCTACGCGAGGTTCACCGCAACCAACTCCTCGGCAAGTACCAATTATCCGTAGTGCCACACTCAGCCAAGAAGCGCATGAGCGCCAACGTGGCCCGCGGCGACGATATTATCGTCGACGACCCCGAGAAGCTCAAGAAGGACAAGGAACACGAGGCGTGGGCCCAGATGTCCATGGCAAACTGGCACGTCGGCGCCACCAAGGTTTTGAACGGAGGCCGTCTATTTTCCGCGCCTATCGCCAAGCGTCTGGCTCGTCTCTCCCGCATCGGCGGCGCTAGGGACCGTGCTCGCATCCTCGACCTCGGTGGCCAGGCTAGTTGCGACTGGGCCTGGCACTGCGCTATCATGTACCCAAATACCAAGGTATACACGGTGACGACTAAGGCCATCCGCCAGCTGTCCAACTCCAACATCCGCGGCCCGCCTAACCACCGACAAGTGGCCGTGTCTCGGCTCGCCAAGCTGCCATTCCCCGATGCGCACTTCGACCTCGTGTCGGCGCGTGAGCTGCAATCCATCCTCAAGTTCATCGGTGAGAACGGCGAGGACGAGTGGGACAGCTGTCTGGCCGAGTGCATGCGCGTTCTCAAGCCCGGCGGGTACCTCGATTTCTCCATCCTGGACTCGGACATCACGAACGCGGGCCCTCTAGGACTCGCCAAGAGCGTCGAGTTCGGCTTTGCCCTCAAGACCCTCGGCTACGACCCCAGCCCTACGCGCATGTTCCTCGGCCGCCTGCACCGCGCCGGCTTCGACCAGGTGCGTCGCGCGTGGGTGTGTCTGCCGATGGGCGCGGATCCGGCCGTCCGACGTAACAGAAAAGTCGCGCGCGATAGCAATGGTGTCGAACGCCCCCTCGAGCTAGAGGCTATGGTCTCGGGCAGCACGGAGGCGGCGGCCCCCACCGCGGGACTAGCGGGTAGTTGGGCGTGGGAGCGCTGGCTGCTGCGCTGCGAGATGGAGAAGGTGGCGTCCGAAGGCCGCCTGGGCTTCCTTGAGACAGAAGCACCGGAAATGCGCGAGGCGGGAAAGTGCCTCGATGGTGTGTATGAGGTTGTTGAGGAGGGGCGTACGTGTGGTGCGGGCTTTAGGATGTTGAATGGGTATGCTAGGAAGCCAGTTTCTCCTGCTGCTGCCAATAGGAGGGCTGGTTACTAGGGGAGATGTGTTGCATGAATGGATGAAGAGAGACGCATGGTTTACTCAGACTGGTGACCGCTTTCGACCCGAGACGGGGGAATTTCTGATGTGTTATGAGGTACGGGGTATGTGCATACGGGGCCGGAGTTGTCGGCTTATTTGTTTGGCGGGAACGTGTGCACGCGTGTATGAATAGGTTACGAGGTGCATGTATGGCTGGTGATGATGATGATACCCTGTTCGAAATTGGGAAGGATGGAAGGAATGAAAGAAGGATGAGAGAAAATGAAATATCTACGAGATCGACATATACCTGAACATACATACATATACATTATACATGAGCTTAGTCTACTCTATATGTATCGTGAATTGGGATGATGCTGTGTCTTGTTAGTGTCGTTGTGTGTCGAGACGAAGCAAGTCGGAGAATATATTATGTACCTCCTAATATAATATAATAAATACTAGACCATCCATCTATTTAGTATTGTTGTGTGCTTGTAGTTACATACGGGAAGTATGGAGAGGTAGTAAGAGTATTAGCCTTAACTCTTGCCTTAAGAAAGAGAAAAAGTACTCAAGATTTCTACTTCTTATAACTACTCTCGTAAGATGTAGGTAAGAAGACTTTCAAATATATAACGGTAGACTTAGTCAATCATATACCGCATAACAGGTAGTTATTCAACTTGGGAACTTTTATAAGAGGTAGCTATACTACAGCTACGTATAAACGCGAGAAAGCATCTTTATTCCTCGGCTCGTCTTAGACCGAAAAGTCCGTCTCCGAGTTATGGACGGGTTCATAATTCATATAACTATACCTTACATACATCCCCATCTCCATCTCCATCTCCATCCCCCGTACGTGCGTGCGGCTATATTGCTTGTACGACGACACACCCCGTCAAGTGCCGTTCCTACATACATACATGCGTAACAATAAGCAATCTTACCTAGGTACCTACCTACCTACATAGCCTCCCCTCCCCGAATCCCCTTCCAGCTAGCCGCTTACCCAAGCAGGCTCCGGCACTACCATGCAGCTTACCACCCCCTTGGCCCCGAAGGATTTCTCTTCTCTTCATGACATACCTACATGTACCAGCGTGTATAACGACGCCAGAGCTTTGAAGCTGACGAGGCTCAACAGATAAGAACTCTCTAGGTAGGTTAGTCTCATAGATTAGGTAGGTAGGTAGTTATCTTATACATAATCCAACGTATATTTAGGTACCTAAGGTATACGTTAGATGGACACTACCTCCATCCCTCCCTCCCGCAGTAAGCCCAGCCGAAACCCCAAGGCACGTCAGACGGGTAAGCCAAAGGGTCCTAATCTAACCCAACCTATCTTATCCCGTCCTATCCCGTCTTATCCTGCCAGCCGCTGACTTATCTATCAATCCTTCCCATACTCTCCTCAAGTCTGGGCCATCGGCTTGTTCCTCGTCGATCATTACCCATGACAAACATAATCAGAGCTCGCCATCCACTAGCCCCGATGGCGGCTACCAAATACTTCACATCCGTCTGTCTAATGGGAAATTTTATAACGGAATTACGTAGGCCATTAACTATGTACGGTATATCGTTCAACTTCCTGATATTCATTCCAAGCTTGTTTGTATACACGAATATAACGGCCTCGTAAGTAGTATATCATGATATCTTCCAAACTCCTCCGCTTTTCCTCCGCTCCCTCGTATGTACAGGACATAATTCTATATGCCTTAATCCCTGTCCGAATCCAAATCCATCTTGTCCCCTCGTGCCGGCTCTATCGCCCTGCCGGGGGAGACGTCAGCGGATCCCTTCCCTTCACTTTTACTCTTTTCGTCGGAATCCTCCAAAGCCACAATGATGCTCCTATCATCGCCCTTCTGAGGTGTCGAGACCCGGTCCTTCAGCGCCTTCGGCGTCGTCGGAACAATTACGTTTAGAACACAGTCGTCCAAATGCTCGTAGAACTCCTGTGCTGTCGAGAATCGGGTCTGGCAGATAGAACACTTAGCATCCCCGCCGTTTCGAGAACTGTTCCCAGTGATGATCATCTTTCGACTATTAGGGGGAGTCTGTTCGACATTATGTACCGCCGTTAAGTGCCGCTTAAAAACATCAGCCCTATTAAACGCCTTCTCATAAGCTGTGCCAGGTCCTGGACAAAAGGGGCAAACCATCGTCCCCTTGTAGTGTGTTAAAGCGTGTCTATTTTTGTCGTACTTCCGTGCGAACCCTTTCGTATGGTATTCGCAACTCTCTATAGGACATTTCTCAGGCCGCTCCTCCTGATGTGTCAGCATATGCGCTGCTAGATCTTTGAACACCCGGCCACAATCCGGGTGAGGACATCGATTCCTGTTATCTTCGGCCTTTGGTATAACAGGACTGCTGTGTGCGGTGCTGTCTAGTGACGGAGCTATCGACGGGGCTAATAATGGTCCTTGAGGCGGCGCGGGCGCAAGCCGAGGAGCTTCCAAGAAAGAAGATTGTCGCGGCAATGTATAATCCTCCATCATCCTTACGTCATTATCCTCTTCCCCGCTAGATGTATCGTTTTCATTGACGTCGATGGACTGCCGTACTTCTCGCATCCAATCTTTCAAGACAGTCATCGGGGGCCAATCGCCACTAGCTTTACCGCTCCTATGCGGATGGAAGTGAGCCCGCCGTAAGTGAGCTGCTGCATTATAATAAGCACCGTATCGTTTCTGCGTAACGCAAGCCTTGCACTTCGAAAGTGGTATTACGGGTTGTGGAGAGTTATGTGGACTCGCGGTCTGCGGCTCGGTACAGACCCATCTCTTCACTAAAGATGCGTGCTTGGCGTCGTTATGCCTTCGAAGTTCGTGCTCGCCACGGAAACCCTCGGGGTATTCGTTACACTTAGTACAGAACACGCGCCGAAGCGGCGGTCGCTGGTAAGAAGTTCTAAGTTTGGAAGGGGAGCTGAGTCCCCTAGCAATTGCCCGCGAAAAGACGGGGTTCTCTCCTACCGTATGCCTCCTCCCAGGCTCTGGATTTTCTATAGCATACGTCGCGGGTAGCATTTCCTGCTCGTTCCTATTTGCCCAGGGGTCGATTGGGCGCCACTGAATGACCGATTTCCGAGGCTCGCCGGCTTGGCCAACAACAGAAGGCTGATGATATGACACATGCCGGTAAATGGGTGTCCGTTGTCTAAAGAAGCCATTAAACCCAGCACTCCCTCCAGCACTACCATCTAAGTAACCACTCCCAAGTCCCAGGAGGAAGTCTCTAGAAGATCGAATTCCCAGCGCAATCCAATCATCTTTTCGAACAGCCGCAACGGTCGTAGCGAATAACGCGCGATCGTGCGTGTCCAACTCGAGAGCCGGGTCGTCGATTATCATCGGCGTAGACCAAGCAAATACACTTACCAACGCCTTATAGACGCTGTGCATAGAAGTGGCGCCTGTGGGCATGGGGAACCCTGATTGCGATTGCGCGGGAATAGCCCTTGATGGCGTAGAGATCAGGTCTGCCAAGATCGTCCTCACGATGCTAAAAATACAAAGCGAAACGAAAACAGCTAGCCAGCTTTTAGGATCAGAGATGACTCTTCGCATAGTCGTACTCTCGAAGGATTGCAAAAATTGAATCATGCAGTTGTATATCAGCCGGTTCCGCCCTTCGTAATCTATATCGTCGGGGGAATTTTGGGCATTCGTGACATTAGTTAAGTTGACCTCGGTTCGTATCGACGGTTCGGGCTGCTGTAAATCATAGAATAAAATCTCTCTTAAGAGTAACTTTGCACGATATAGCACAGGATAAGTTACTGCCTCTAATTCTCGGCTCTCCGACATGAAACCTGTTAGTCTAAACAGTTCCCAGAATTGGAAGGGAACACCCTCCGCATTCCAACTTGCCGCTAGTACTTTCAAGACCGGTGGCGGTTTATCCTTGGGCTCCTTAGAATAAGTCGCCAAGGTGGGATTAGGCATTGGTAACGATGCTAAATCTTCGGTCCACCAAAACCCATCGTCGAAATCCATATGCGACTTTACCATTTCCGACATGCTCTGGCTTACGAGATAGGTCCGTTCGAGATAGTCGTTCATGTTTCGACGTCTTGCCATAGGTGACGTAACAGGCGTGTGCACCTGTCTCGGGGAAAGAGCTTCTATGTGGGAGTGAGTATATGCCGCTTTCCAACGTCTAATCGATGCGGGGGTTGGTTATACCTGGTAGCATGTAATCAGCTAGCGAGACCAGGGAGCCGCGATGGCATCCGAGCACGCCCCAGAACTCGTCGCTGGCGGAGCCAGCAGATTCGCAACAAAACGCACAGTCGTCCTTCGAATCGCACTAAAGACGATAAGCAGGTATCGTATCCATATGAAGCGGGTTTACCTACAGGCTTCGCATAGACCTTACAACGGAGACATGGTCCTGCATCACGTGGTAGCCTCAGCTCACCTATAGATTCGAGTCGTCCGTGTCCGACTCTACTTCGTTTTAAGGGCGGCAGCAAAGAATCCGGTTCCGAGTCTACCGACCCCCTAGGTTGAGGAGGAGGCAGCTCATTTGCAAAGGGAAAGCCAATTGTTGACTCACGTCGATCTCTAGGTTGATTGGCAGTAGCCAGCGGGGGCAGCGAGGGAGGAACAGAAAGCCGTGGTAGCGTCGCCGGTGAGCTCCGGTTTATGTGATCGGTACTGAACAGTCGTGACGACGACTGGTCCGGGAAGACAATCGGTGGTATCGTGCCAACCGATAGGCCCGAGTCCCTCTTCGGAGGGATGACATGTTGCTTTAGATGCTCGTCCCGTTCTTCGGGATTAGAAAAGCCATATATATAATATAAGCATCGGTCATCCCAACACTTGAAGGAAGCCTGACGCCTTGATATGAGAGGTATAGTCTCCCTCATCCTCCATCCCCGGAAGATGGGATCATAAAATGAGATGTTCTTATCCAGCCAAGCATCGTAGCCAGGTGGTGAGTCATCTTGACCGAAAAGCTTCAAGGCATGCAGAAACTGCGCATCATGAAGGTCCAACCCTGTTACGACGACACGCACGTTAGGTGAAAGGGGAAAACAATACGAGACGACTCAATCACATACCTTGATCTATTAAGAAACTCTCGATGCACTCGCATTTATACTGCAGGGCGCGGGCCTCTTCGATATCAGATAATATGGGAACGGTCCCAGGAAGGTCTTTTAGTTTACGTGTATCAGAATATAGTACAAGGCCAATTAGGCAGCGCGCGATTAAAATAGAGGCCACTTACTTTGACTCTTAACGTAGGTCTCCAGTGCTCTAAGCTTTCGACGAAGCATGTCCAGCTCGAGTTTACTGTTTGGAAGATACTTGGCTGGAAGTAGGGCGGCTAGTTTCGCCTGGATTTCAGCTTGCTGCTCGAACAGCTGTCTAATCGTGGGGTCTAAAGACGGGTCGAAGCCGGGTGTGACTTGAGCATCCCGACCATCGAGCAGGGAGCCGCGACGGTCGAGTCGAGGCTCCAACGAGTCGGCAGCCATAATTCCTCCCCTCTCGCACCCTTTTGCGCCAAAGTCCAAGTTGGGGTCCGAGGCTATTATGTTTTCTTCCTAACTTTTTTTGTCTCTTTCTTTTTATAGGCTTGGGCCTGAGCCGTACATCTGTGGTATATATACGGGACCGGCGCCTGTGCCGCAACAAGCGGGCTGGACTGGCCTAAGGCTGAGCCGCTCTCCACCCTCACCAGCTCTCTCACTCTCACACTCACTCTCACTTTCACTTTTTCAGTCGCTCGCGCGCAGACTCGCTTCCCGCTTGCGCGCGTGACCTAGCGGTACACATCAACTGCGGTTTACGAGGGACGAAGAGACAATCATAAACTTGATGTTCATGACGGAAACGTCGGCCAAAGGGTGCAAGGAAAGGGAAAGGGAAAAAAAAGTCAATGACTGCGCCTCGTGACGAAATGAGCCAATAGCAACAACAAATTTTAAAGATTGGCTGCAGGACGCCTATCGGGGACTATGTCGCGAGGGGTGGATGTGAACTTAGAACATCTAGCTGTTTTCTTGTGGGGGTAAAAAAAGGTAAAAAGGGAAAGGGAGGTAATAAAAAAAAAATTTTACTTCTCTCTTCTATTTTTCTTTTCCCGCAAGTTATCTCGGTATCAGAAGAGAAGAAGAAGGAGAAGAAAATGAAAGATAGCAGGCTTAGGTTTGAGGGCAAATTGGCTAATAACTTTTGGGGTCGTCGCGATCGAGGAAGCAGCAGACTGGACCTGATGGACCTGATAGACAAGCAAGAGATACCTAGTAAAAAATGGCTGGCTAGGTTGACAGGAAGGTGGGGCGACCACTACGGCGGCAGATTACACACACATGGAACCAGCTGCTGCACAATTATCCCCTGGGATAACATATAAATTTTGGAATAGAGAAGGGGGTAAAAAGGGTAAGCGCAGGGCAAAAGAGGAAAAGGAAAAAATTATTATTATTATTACTTGTACATACACTACATAGCCCGAACGCGCAATTGAGCGGAAGTTGGAAGGGGGTGCAAGGTGTAAAAGCAAGGTGCAACGCCCTGCAAGGATTCTAGCTCCCGGGCTGCCGGGGTATTCGGGAGGTCGGTGCGGAGCGTCGACACCTTCGAGACCCAGGTACAGTAGGTATATCTAATGTAGTGTATGTACAATACACATTGTTTTCGGTATGGGTATCGACTACCGACCATTGGATCTTCATCCGTGGGAAGGACGGCTTACGCAATTTACATATGTATATCATAAGAGCTAATACGAAGTTGGTTATAAGATCATGAGCTTAAACTTTAACTTAACTAAGACGACGACAACACTTTTTACTTTTTTTTCTAAATTAAAATACCAAGACATCGTAGTAAAGAAAAGAAGAAGAAAAAAGTACGAGATATGGAGAACCGAAGTGTCCCTTATTACCTAGATATACAGTGCATAGACTAGGTAATACCTATACCCGCTTAGTTAGGTACCGAGTACATTAGTCTAAACATGTAAGTTAGCGGACAAGGGGGTGGTAGAATACATAGTAAGGCCGTTGGACATTATTATAGTCGAACCCTTTGCTAATCTGGACTAAGATGATCCAGCTAGAGCCCTAGCTAAAAGTTGCTCGAGGTAGGCGACTAATAAGATGCCGTAGATTTTTTTTCTTTCTTGCGTCGTTTTCTTCCGACAACGTGCTGCTGGGACCACCGTGTTAACTACTTACTACCTTGGCCAAAGTGTATCTAGACGTGTAGGTATGTATGTATGTATGTATGTATGTATGTATGTATGTAAAGTGTGTGAAGGTGTAACAAACCACCACCGTCGTCGTTATCATTCTTATTAGCTGAGCCCTTCTACACTGCATACATATATTATTTAATATTATAGTACCAAGAGAGCTACATGACAGATCGAGACCTTCGCCCGCGTCATCTAAACTCCGTATCCCTTCCTAATTAAATAAACAAGCCCTACCTAACTTAGCCTCTCCCTGGATTCGCTTGGTGTCCGTCCTTCCCTTCATCCACTACACACGGTAGCGTAGCGTAGCGAGCACACAAATAGCAACAGTTCTGGGTCTTGTGTTGGATGTGCTGGATACTTACACGCCACCTATCATTATCCGCCTATGTCTCTCCAGGCGGCTAAGCATTGCTGACGAGCGAGGGTTAGAATGCTCCATAGCAGTCCCGTCTCCAAGATGGATAAACCGAGAGCTATTGGCCACATCGGTGGAGTATAACGTGAGGTAGCACGCGCGGGTTTACATTTCAATCGGCAGCTGCATACATGACAGGCGGGAAACTTTGACGGCTGGATGTCCAGCTCTAGTTTGAGTTGACGCTGATCAATGCTAGTGCTCACAGAGTGATTGCAACTTCAGCAGGTTTGAGCTGTGGTACGGTGGCACAATGATATGAAAAACCCAAGGGAAAAAAGGGCAACAGGGAGTGTTCGACCAATGAGAGATGACGACTAATCACGTTACCATTGATCCCATGCTAGTCAATTGCTCTTATCTACCGACAGTAGCATCTAGCTGATGGGTAGGTATCAGCTTCTCCGGTCTGCATGTACAATAGTTCGCGGCCCCGGGGGGTGTCACCTAAAGGGAATCATTGTGTAAGCGCACGTGTTAGGTACCTGTTATCACCTTTTTATTCTTATACGACGACCTCTATATAAGTCGTGTCGTCAAATTTGAGACGGCATCCTTAAGAATTACTAGAGTCGTAAAGCGACTTAACATTCACCTATGTTCCCCCAATTTACCACACGAAGGTACCAGTAAGAAATAAATATAAAGATGAGTAGGCACAGGTATCATGTACATATGTACGAAGTACATGTATGCAGAAGGTTCCGTCTTATATCTATAGTTACATTCTGCAGTGATGAGTGAGAATGTAAGAAGATATGTACATACTTACCTATGTACATAGTATAACAGCAAAAACGTTTATCAGCACTCTAACAAGTCGTTCGGGGGCGCATCCGGAGGAATCTGCCATACATGTACCTACATAGGATAAGATGGATAGATGCGTCCGTCGTCCGCTATTGTCGCCCCCAACTTGGAGAACTCTCTCGCCAGTCGTCAGCCGGGTACCTATTAGAGTACATACATAGTACCTAAAGTAGTCCACAAGTCAGCCAGACAGCCAGATAAAGCCTCAACGCCAGTGCGCAACCCTAGCGGCCACCCGACCGCCTCAGCCCGGTAATTTACTTGCCGCTAAGAACAGCCTGGCATCAGCTCCAAACAACCGTCCATGCAATTTGTTTCGGCTGACCTTTTTTTTTTTTTTTCCCACACGCTCTAGACCATCATCCCACGTTGCTCGCTCCGCTCCGCTTCACCTCATCTCCATCGGTTTTTTTCTTCAACCACCCTAATTTTAAATGGTGCGGTAGCAATCGGTTCTAATCACGAATGTGGTTCTTTCTAAAACCAGCATTTCCTACACACAGACCATGGCGATACCATATTTGTCTGGACATCAGACGGCATCAGACGGGAAACAGGGTGTTAGGCCGCCCCGAGAGAAAGAAAAAAAAAACCCTTTGTAAGAAAACGCAGCCATGCGGGAGGGAATCGGACGTCGACCCATATGATCCGGCACATGCATCGACACTTTTGCTGATCACTTCCCGAGTTAGGAACGTCATGTTTCTTAAGTGCATTGATAAGTGCCGAGACGGTCTAGGCGAAACTTTGGTCTCGTCCATCGTCCGCCGTTCATTGGGGTGCAGGCTATTTTGTGTGGGCTAATTGAGTGTTGCAGATGCAAGCGTCGTTTCTCTTACTGCCTCTTTCTCCTCTGACTTGCCTCATATGTATATTCCGCACAGGCATCTTCTCGTCAGAGAAGGGAATAGTCCAATTTCAGCGCCTGCTGAAACCACTTCCCTCATTAAGCAACGTGTGACTATCAGCTCCGATTCAGCATTGCCGTTTGAGGAAAGCCGCCTATTTCACTCCCTAGCCCCTGTCGTACTAACTACATGTATGTAGCCCCGTACGTGGGTAGTATAATACATAGGTAGAAGATATGGATAAGTGTCGGACTACATACGTATCTAGGCAACATGGGGAGTAAGTAGAAGGAGTTGGGGAAGCAAGGCCGATGAGAGATGAGGTGGCAACGAGCGAAATCGCGTGCGCGAATGACAGAATTGCAAGGGCAGAGGCGGTCAGAAACAGGCGGCATGCAAAGCTCACCCAGCAGCAAAGAGTATATTCTTTGTTCGAATCATGATGCCCGGAACACGCTCGTCACACCTAGGATTGCGCGTCGCCAAGAATATACCTGCAGGTGAATAGATGGATAGATGGATAGATGGGCAAATGGACCAGATACTACATATGTATTTGTATTTGTATTTTGTTGAGTAGGTCGACTGGCTAATGATAGATAGGTTGGTGAAATCTGGAAAGGTACCGGATGCTTTGTAAATGGAGGGAAGATATGAGAGAATATGAAATTCACTTTAGGCCTTTCCCTCCCTGTTCTCATATGATCCACTTTTAAACACACCCTTGTCTGGCTGGCTGTTTGGTAACTAAACCCTTTGCAGCTCGAGATATAGGAATCGGTTTGATTGGTGGGCTTATAATGGTCCCCACACCACGCCTCGAGGAAGGTTCGCACTTCCTTATCTGTACGTTCGGAGTACTTACGAAGCCTGCCGATTCCCTCAGCTCTCAAATAGTACCTAAGTACCTTTAGCTGACGTGCTGCGCGGATTGGGGCTGCGATAGGGCGATAAGGCGATAAGGCGATAAGGCGGCATTCCAAATTCTCCTTTTGGGCATAGTCAAAACTTGCCTTACTCTCAGCTGGCCCCCAAACCCATCATAATTTCCGACTTCTTGCACGACGGCGCGCCGCTGATGTGCGATGATTCAATTTTGTTTACTAGGATTGGTGGTGGAATAGTTGTTATTCGCCAATATCATCAAATATATTGATGGTATTTGTCATTGGCTCGGTAAACTATTAGTGAACTGTTGACGTGATAGCAGTTGTCGTTTCCATCAACATCGTGATATCAAAATGAGCACTAGAGAAACCAGGGAATATAACGCGCATGCGTATCCTTCAGCTCGTACCTGATAGTCCAATAAGATACGTAATTCTTAATGTTCACACACTTGAGTCAAGGTTGTTGTCCAACAGCTTCCCCTTCCCCTCCACAGTGAATCCTTCCGTCGTCGATCTACTATCGCAGCCCGAGTACATATTGCCTCCTGCTATCACTAATCACTACCTACAATCACCGCCTTAAAGAGATGCCCGCAATCCAAAGAGTTTCGTTAGCCACCCCTTTTATCACAGCTTTAATATCAGTATCAAGAAACCTACCCCTTAATACATTCGAGCATCAGGTATAATATCAACACGTCCGGTATAGTCATAGTCAGGGAGCTGACTTCAACCTAGTCGCGCAAACCCAACAATACCATAGCCTGTCACCACCGGTGCTCACATCGTCGTATTCGGATGTCTCATCCTCGAGCAAGTTGTCAAGAACAGCCACCTCTCCAAGGAGTCGGGGCACAGTTCGAACCCGGAAATGTGGACTACATCAAGATGGCCTTCGCCCTAGATGAGCTACCAAGCAGCCCTTTGGATATTTCGCTACTACTTAGAGAAGTGCTTAACCGATCCATCGCTACCAATGACTCTCGAATAATACTATTGGAATATAACGCAGTAGGAAGTTTATCTCTCGGAAGTAGTCCCGAAGGAGGCGGAACAATATAAAACAGCCATTTACACTTGTTAATCTAAGCTAGTCAACAATTCTCGACTAGGGAGGTTCAGTAGTTATTCCTATATAAACTCTCAGATATATATGCACATATAAATTCTCCATCTAAGGACCTAAACACATATAATCCTACACCTTATAAAAGCTACCTAGGTACTAATCGGCACATACATTTATATCATATACGTTCTCTTTAATACACTTGTCAAAGTTAAGCTTACACACATTCCAGGTCTATGTACTTAAGAAGCCATCTTAATAATAAACTTATATAGCCAAGTTCGTACTATTAGATCGGCGTGCGGCTCCTTTACTAAGTGAAACTAAAGATATGGTGACAGCTTCGTTCGAATAGATTCACGACTCGATGACTCGAGAAGTATTTGGACTAAAATAACCAATACCGTTACAGAATATATGCATAACAGGGGTTTCCAAAAGATGACCTCATGACATAGACTTATCGTCACTACATCGTAGGTGTAGAGTATATTTAAATGCTTCTCCCTGCGAATATCGACAAGAGGAAGTAACTGCTACTTGGGAGTAGTTCAAAATGCACACGATAGCGCCTGTAAGTTACCTAGGTGGGTATACTTGATGAATAAGAGCAGTTGTTGTGTAGGTTTATCTAGACCTAACTAAAACAGGACTTATACCGAGATTTATTCACCTGATAAGTTTGTCTCGTTCAATACCTAGTGGCCAATTATATACATTTTATCCAGAAGTGTAAATTAAATAGTCTAGTCGCCCTTATAATCATTGTCTATTCAAGGGAGTGACAGTGAAATATTTAAAGGGGTATAAGACCTATATTTCATAACCCTTATCATACATACCTACCTAGGTAACCTATATACAACTACCTCTTCACATAACGATATACCATTAATATCCAAAGCCGAGCTTCGAACCACGCAGACAGTTATCCTCGAACTTCAAATAGCGCTTCATCCTAGAAACCTCATCCCAGTCAGATTTCAAATCAATAACGGGACCGCCACGGGAAATGTAATCGTCTAACATATAGTCTTGCCATATTCTAGCGACTAAAAGGAATAAGACACTACTAAACGAGTCAGAGCTATAGCATAACCTAATACGCCGCCGATAGCCAGACAGAGGCTTTAAAATAGCTGTTCCCTGCAGACAAGGCACTGATGCATTACCCCTAATACGAAGCGATTCATAATGTTTAGCGGCCTTTTATGCCCACTTGCTTTTCCCATTATGCTGTTTAAAGCCAACATTTCGGGCCAGCTAGCTCGAGAGTCGGGGTTAGGAGTATAAATGCTTACGCCGTACATGTTATTTCTCATACCTGAAAACCAAGTAGTTCACGCCACCATATCATCAGTCCAAGTTATCAATCAAGCAACACTCTCATTTCTCAGGATGGAAAACACATTGATGCTGCTTTAGTTTAAGTCCAAGACTATTCTAAATGCCCCCAGCTCCCCCGTCTAGCCTCAAGTATTATACGATCGTAGCTATAATCCCCGCGTAGGCCAAGTTTCCTCAAACGTGCCCTTTATCATAATGGTATCTATTAAAATGCGGTTAAGACCCCCATCACATCTTACCCCTAAAAACGCCAGAAGATCTATTCCAACTGCGCCCACCTTTTTTCCCGTACCGACAACTCCTTTCCTGTTAATTCGCCGTCGCATTTACTAGCCTCTCTCCACCCCCAGTACTCTCCTAACCTAATCTCGGCATATTCCGCGTAGTCAAAATCGATGTGCGAAATGGTGGCCTGGATCAAGGCCCAGATTCCCCAGTAAAGTCCGGGCACACCACGGAATATATCTACTTCAGCAAATAGTTTCTGTGCTTCTGCTTCCTCGTCTATGTTATCAGGCTTGTTAGGTAATATACTGAAGTAAGTGTGAATATATTCCCGTATAAACTCTAGCCGTTGTGCTCGAGTTGGCAACACAGTAAAGTCGCAGTCAAACCCACCCCATTCCGCAAAGTGGTTAGCCAAGTCGAACGCTGCAGGCGAAGGAGTGGCATATTCATAGTCTATAAAACTGACTACCTTCTGCAGACCGCCCTCCTTTTTAGTGCTGCTTAATTCTTGAGGCTCAATGATCACATTTCCACTCAGGAGATCGCAGTGCGCGAAGACGAGCTATGAGTACCTCTAGTTAGCGTCCGAGAAAACTACTAGTTGGATTTCCAGTACTACTTACGCCATTATCACCCAGTCCAGGTCGTTGGCTCAGCTCGTCAACTAGCTTAGTTAGCTCCTGCTGGAGGCTCGCCTGTCTCGTGCGCTGAGCCTCTGTCTTGGTAGGGAGGGCAAAAATCCACTTCTGCATAACCGTCCATACGTTGGGCGAGGGTTTCCCTGGTGCGGCATGCTCAATTTCCACTTCGTGATGACCGTTGCTGGTCCCATTTACCCCGTTTTTCTGCGCATGCGTCTCATATATGCAGGGTACGGTAGCGTGCCACTGTGCTAACCGCCTCGCAACAGCTAAATATATAGGCGGCATCCTCAAGTCGGCAGGTTGAGTGGGCGTGCCTCGGATATAACGATATATCATGCCATTATCGAAGCGAGCGAGTAATTCGGGAGCCAAGCCACATTTCATCAGCAGCTCGTGATTTTGGGTCTCGCGGTGCCTGTCTATGAGCACATCGGTTCCGTGTCCATATGCTCGTAGTAGAACCGCCTCCTTATCCACTTCGTCTTGAGATAGTCCTTCCTTCCTATTAATGGCTTTTAATAATGTGTTGGTTATACCATCCTTGAATGGTACGAATTCGATATTGGAGTCGGGGCTCGACCATTCTGGAAGTAGGGCGAGAATGAGTGCACGAGCTGAGGCATTGGAGTTGTCGTTATCGTAGGAAATGGGAATGTGTCGTAACTGGCCAAAGTGGCCGTTGGCGACTCCGTTGGAGTTAAACGAAGGCATATTGCACAAGTGCTCGGTCGATTACTTGTCGTTCTTTTTAGGAGCACAGTATAAGGTCATGGAGGGATCGAAATTTCGAAAGGATTTGCCTGCTTCTTCTGGAGTAAGTAGATAAATAGAAAAAGAAAAAAGTTCACCGCCTAGCGTGCGAGTGGGAGAATGTAGATTGTGGATGTGTCGCAAGGGTAGGTAATAATTTAAGAGCGATCAAACGTTGAAGCGAGGGCAAACTTGAGGTGGTTAGGACGTTTTAAACGATGGTTGTACGTACCAACAAGCAGCAAAACGTCATTACTGTCCTGATGCAGAAGGAAAAGGGTGTGAATGGTGTGCAATTGGGGATGGTTAGTTGATCTGTGGGAGTGGTTAGTAGTGGTCAGGGACCAACTAGTCGAGTTAATTGATCGAACTAAAAACAGGGGCGGCAGGGGTAGCTGCAGCCCTAGAGCACCTGAATCTTGGGAAGAGGTGGCAATGTCCTACATACTGCGTGGTACATACATATGCACTTTCATCCCACGAGATCTTTTCTGGATAAGTGATGTGTTAATAAAATAGTAAGTACCTTACAATAGTCTTTATTTCATGTAAGTGATCGATTTGAATGGGGACAACAGGATGAATGTATATTATAAGAAATAAAAGAGGGACAAGAATCAAAGAGGCGAAGAGAAAGAGAAAAGGAGTAAGAATACGTGCACATGACATGTGCCTAAGAAAGTGACAATTGTACAACTTCGTACCTACAAGAACATCGGAGTCGAGAGTCACGAGGTCAGTTTCCCCTCTTAGTTTAAAGCTAATGCATGCAAAATAGAAGGTTAAAGATCAAGTATTAAAATGTAGCTAAAGCTTACGTCCACGTACGTTGCATGTACTAAGCTCGAATATAGATCTATTGTAATTTAGCGTACGGAATACTTCATATTCAACAATGAAATTTAGGTTTAATGGGGTTATATCGAATACATCTCTATTGGTTCAGAGGGGCTCAATTAGGGTAGGTTAGGTACCTAATATACATGTATGTAAGCACTATCTAGATCAGCTGGTACCATAAATATGTATAGCAAATGACCCGGGTATTGCCGTTAGTTCGTCTCCCACTCTATGTATTATACTAATCCATTACACATAGCTAAGTTCGTACATCATATATGACGAGATGTCATACACTCCTGCCAGATATTCATTCATGCCATTAACCACAGTACATCCCAATTCGAAAGACAGTCCAGATCGATCTCCTTAATCATCTTTATCCCCATCTTTAGGTTTAAGTCTCAACCAAGCTCGAAGAGTTTGAAGAACCCTGCTCATCCATTCCGCTGTGACGGCTGCCCAAGCATCTAGTTCGTCTATCGCGAACATGAGCAGCCTGCTGAAGAAGAACAAGCTCACAAATGACACGCTCGCTATCACCGCGAACGCGGTCCAATACATCTTGCCGGTCCAGTACACGTACAGATCCTCGACCTGCACCGAGAAGTAGCTCGTCATAAAACTAATCGGGAGGAAGAAGACGCTGAGCTTAGCTAGTAGCGTCGCGCTTCTCGTCAGTCTTGCCGTTGCCTGCGAGTCCTTCTGCTGCGTTAAGTTGAAGTACTGTGTAAAGTTAGCTATGTTCACGAACCAGGTAATGTAATTGGCTGCTCTTTCTTACTGTAGTTGATATTGCCCCTATCTCTTCGAGATATCCTTCAATAGTGTTTAGCATGAGATACTGAAGCCGATCGCTTAGCCTATCAAATCGACTGAGCGCCGAGTTCGATAGGTATACTTTTCGATCCCCATCGAATAATCCACCGTTATGATGTAATTCGGGTTTCCCAACTACCATGACCTTGCTTATAAGGTTCTTATAGTTCTCGAACAAATGTTTGAACTCTCGAAGATCCTTGCTTAGATAATGTAATGTAGGTATAATCTCGTAGCTCTTGGACATTTTTTTCCGACGCTATTATGCAACACTTAGTAGCTGTCACGCGGAGTTGATGGTGGTTCGACGTACCGTACTCTCCAGCACTTTTTCAGTCTGCGCAATGAAGGTTAGTGTCGTCCTTTCTATACGGAGGAAACTCAGCTTACCAGCTCCTCTAATTCCTGTTCCGCAGCCTTGAGAGGGCCTGCTGCAACGTAGTCCTCAAATAAGTAGTAGAAGAGGTTACTTGTCCCTTCATCGGCTAAACTCCCTATTTCGCTATTACTGAAAAGAGACATCCCCGATTGTTGTCTATTTACTTCTCGTTTGGATGTTCCGAGCGATGTCCGAACCGCGATCTGAGCGAGTGGATTATTTTCATACAGCCCATACCCTATGATGGAAAGTTGTCGGAGGATATCTAATGTATGAGCTCTCATATACTCGAATTCGGCTTGACGCCACTTTACCCAGTCCTCTTTGTCCGGTACTGGCTCTAATGAGTGCTGCTCATGAATCGACAGAACAGTGTCTATTTAAAACATTAGTAATTATGTAGTGTCTCAATGATAACGGCGTAACACTTACGATTATTACAGAGTACAAGCCATTGCCAGTGTTTGGGCGGCATTATACTGATCCGAGGGTGTTTGCGCGCTGGTGTTGGGCGCTTATGTAGCCAATTTGCACCGATACAGAAGGCTTTTTAATGAGGTTAGCACGGGGAAGCAAATCTGTTATCCTGAGAAGTGTTTACCTTTCGGCGTTTGGTCCGTAGAGAAGTAATTTACCGTGTCTTTCACTTGTAAATATAGAGCAATGTTATCGTTAAGCTCTGCGGGAGCAGGAGGGTTCATAGCAGGGTTCACAGGAAAGTCGCCATATATGCTTTCACCTTTCTCTACGTCCCTGGGCTCTCGTAGATGGGCTATTGTGACTCTTCTTCTGTGTTTATGCCGTCGTATCTCGTCCCTCTGGGTCCTTGGCGTAGTCATTAGACCAAGTAACCTACGGGAGAATTCGTATCTATCGCTTATGGCCTTCATGATTTCTTTCTGCCCGCTAGGATCCCATATGTTGCTGTAACCTTCGTTAGTCTATCTGCCATAGCTATATTGAAGACTTATAACTTACATCCATCGAATAGGGTATTCCTTTTTTTCGTCGGGGTCTTGGTCAAGGAGCAGCTTCCTAGCGTCATCTATATCGAAGTCGAATGCAATCCGCGCTCTTTCGGACCCGAACTCAACGACGAAATTCTTGCTTTCCTCATTTCTCACGTGCTGCTCGGCTTTCTTGAAGACATGCTCCAGGTCAAAGTCATGGAAGACAGACCCGGGGCTCTCGGGAGGAGTTATATCATTACTGGACGCCATCACGTAAGATCAAGATTACTGATTTTTGTTCTTAATGTGAGAGTATAGTATGAAGGTTAGATTGAAACTCATCGTTGGATTTATATAGTACTGCTATATTGTAAAATAGAAAAAGAAATCGAGCGAGGCTATGATATAATACGGACTTTCTACACTTTTCAGCTATTCGACGCCTGTCACAGGTGGTTCGTCACATGCAGGGGATTGGTTGAGCAGGCGACATAATTCATGTCGGGGGTCTTGGGGTGGGGATAAGGGAGGAGATGACCAATGACTAGGCTCATAGAATTGCGATCGAGAGCGGTAGATATCGGATCGTCCCATAGGGTTTAGTACCTAAAGTTAACCGCCCGACCGGATTGGATCCTTATGTACCTGTTCTGCTCTGCCTCTTTAGACCCTACATAAGACATGCATGCAGCCGTCTAACAAACTTTAGGTATATAATTGGACTAACATCGACCGCAGCAACTGCTTAGGTTAGGTACTTAGGCAAGGCACCTGCTTACATACTCATCTACTATGTAGCGTTGTTTGAGCAACTACAGACAATAAGCTAAGCCATTTTCTTATTAAGACATTAAAACATAGCAACTACGATTGGAGTGTGACTCCCATATCTAAAATAGTGACTCATATTCGTTTAATATAAAGCCCAGTGTTTTAGAAGGTTTGTATGCAACTATCTAAATTTCCAAAACCCTCTTTGGTGGTCTGTAACGAAGCACGGAAGCAAACCGGGTGGCTATGATAACCCGCCTACCGGTATCCATTAGCACATCCGAGTCCAATCATTATCCTTTCATCATAAGCGCGGCTGCATCTTGAACGTTGTCTCGAACCAACATGTTCAGTCTCACAGAATGGCGCATTGAGCTTATACCGCCCGACGAGGAAGGCTCCCGCTTCTATTTGGACTATTATAAGCCCTTTAGGCTGGCTGCGTTGGAACAAGACCCTGACGGTAAGGTTCACCGACAAATGATTCTGGCATACGTGTTGGTGCCCCCCGAGGTTGACACAACATGATAACTGACATGATTTACTGACTATGCGGGCCTGGCTGGCCACTTATACGAACAGTCTTCGGCTCGACTCACGATAGAGAAATCAACTTTAGTAATGACGACTGGCTCAGCCGCATTAATAACCCTCTTGTAAAGACCTTCGTGGCCGTGCGCCTGCATGATAGAAAGGTTCTATCCGCTACATCATTAATTGGACCGATGCCGAACCCAGACCCGGCAAGCAATCCGTTCCAAGTCAGTTCCGAAATGAAAAATGGCAGCGATCATCATCACCAGAATCACCAGAATCACGGTGAGGCCTCATCTGTACGTTTCCAGATCAGCGGCGTTTACACGCTGCCAGATGCTCGACGCCAAGGTCTCGCCAAAATCCTAGCCGAGACTGCAATACAAGAGGCGTTCGCTTATTCTAAGCAGCATAGCAAACGCCTCGAGCTGAGCCTCGTCGTGTATACGTCAAACGGCGATGCGATATCGTTTTACGAGAGCTGCGGCTTCGTAGCCAGTGCAGAAGGGGCAAGGAAATCTTTTAACCCTCACAAGAACGCTTCTGCCGACGAAATTTGTATGCATTACCAAAAGTCTCCTGAATGACACTTTTTTCTCCCTCCTATCAGCCCCTTTAAAAAAATAAAATGAAGATTACCCCAGAGATCTTCTCTAGATGATCCGCTTATGGCTCAGCTAGCCGTCCATCCTGACCAACCGTAGACGGCGCCCCGTCTAGTAGGGCTTGGCAATACAGTAAAAAAGGGAAGCTTGTGACGTTCGAGTCCCCTGGATTGGCTCGCAAGCGGGCCGAGTAATTAAAGATCGCCTAAAGGCTGCCCCCAAAACCGACAGAGATTATCGTCTGGCACGCTGATAATCCTAGTTCGCGATGTTTCATACCTACCTTCACCAGCAAACACTATGATCCCGGGCAATCTCTTTTTAGGCTCGGCAGCGATGCCGAGACCATTTACCATACAATATGACGTGAAATCCCGCGCTGTCAAACTTCACGTCGCTGTCCCTATTTCTTCAGCTTCGCGCTCTTTCGTTGTCACTTATCACATCAGACAGGCCTGATAGCATTCATTCATTTTCAGCGCGCAAACATTCGTTTTCTAGAAGAACCCTATTTCTAATAATACTACTCTCTACATACTATATCTTATCATTCATTTATCAATCCGGCAAAATGTTGGCAAAGCAGCAAACCGCAACCCTCCTATACGCCGCCCTCTTCGGCTCTTCCCTCGTGCAGGCCGCGTTCCCGACCTGCATCACGAGCTGTGTCCGACAGAATGGCTGCCCTCCCACCGACGTGGACTGCATGTGCAAGAAGGTTAGCGGCAACTTTTTGTCCGACGTCGTGGTGTGCATGAACCAGTGGTGCTCGTCCGACACCACTCTCGCGGAATTGGTCGGCCCCATTCAGTCCAACTGCGACATCCCCAAGTCCGCCCTCCAGGCCGCCGAGAGCAAGGCTGGCTTCGATACGGGCTCTATCTCTGACTCTGACTCCGATTCTTCTTCCTCTGACGAGAAGCCTACTTCTACTGGTGGATCATCCACCGCGAAGCCTTCGGTCATCATGGGCGTTGGCTCACCTAACAAGATCGACGGTCCTAGCTCGTCTACCTCGGGTCCGGCGCCTACTGGCAGCGCTACCAAGGGCTCTGCCTCTAGCGTCGTTTTGTCTGACACCACTGCTGTTGCCGGCCCAGCTCCCACTGCTTCCGAGTCTCTCCTAGTCGCTGCTACCACGCTTACTTCCAGCGCTGCCGTCAGCACCTCTACTGGTAGCTCTTCCAGCTCTACCTCTACCTCCAGCTCCAGCTCCAGCTCCAGCTCAGACGACGAGGATTCGAGCGCCCAGGGTTCTGACGGTACACTCGGCAGCGCCCCCTCTGGCGACTCTACGGAAAAAGGCTCTGCCTCCAGCAGCCAAGCCTCTCTTCTCGCTGCTGTCCTAGCCGTCGGTGCCGCCATGGCTTTCGGCTGGTAGTCGTCAGCCAGCTAGCCAGTCTAGCAGCGGTTCTTACTGGCATAGGGGCCGCGCAAACACGATACTATTTTTTCCATTCTAAGTGTACGTATTGCGTCAATGTATAATAATACCCTAGAGAAAAAAAAGCGGCGATGGACTACCATAGATAAACGTTTTTGCTGTGCCGGGCCGGCCAGCTGGTAGTCTCGCAAGACATTGCCGAAACAGACAAACGGACAGACGAACAGACTTGAGCGCAGTTAGTTAGTTGGTCTGTCTGGTGGGGGGAGAAGAGCGATCTGTTTGCGGTTCGCGCGGTGGAGATACCCTGATGCGGAGGTGCTGCCTCGATTGTTGATTTTGATGTTGATATTGATAGTGGAGATAATTAAAACAGAAGCTCGATTATGAGAAATCTTCGTTAGTGTGGGCTGTTCTTGTGACATATTTGTGCTGATGAGTTAATACTTGATTTGGATTAGGTTGAATTACTATAGAGCGTGTGGTGCAGTGAAACGCCTCTTGAACTGGACTTACGGCATCTGTATAGTGGTTCAGAGGGACTCGTAGTTCTAGCCTGTTGGACCTTCAAGAAAGGGGTTTCCCCTATTAGTTTAAAGTCTGACTGGCCGACGAGTGGAGGTTTAATAATTGTTGTAGCCCATTGTTCCCGCAACCCCTGAAAGGGGACAAATGCACATTAGGAGCCATTTGGAATAGGAGTATGCGGTATGGTACATCTACTTCATACACTTAAACTAACCCCCCCCCCCCCCCGCCCCCCCAACATCATCTTTTATGTAGCTCCACGAGGTAGCTAACCTTAGGTATCTATAAGTGTTATAGCAGCCAGTGTTGGTCACGATAAATCCCAAGACATCCGTTTATACCTCCTCCTGCCTACATCCCATTAGCTAACCCCTATATTAGAGCCCGAAGTCGACTCATCGCCCAACAACACTTGCTCGAGGATCCCTCTATACCACCCATCGATACCCTTCCCTTTCTTCCCACCACCGCCGGGCGGCGCTTTAATATCCTGCACAAGGAAAGCTCGCGCAACAGCTTCAGCCTCCTCAAGCTTCTGCATCTCTGAATCCGATAACCTGGTACACACGACCTCGAGATCTTCATTATTAACAATCATCAGCATAATCGATTCGGCTCTCTGGACCACAGCCTCGTCAATCCCATTTATCGCCGCGCACCGACTGCCAAAGCTGGAGATGCTTCGGCCTGGCGCCAGCTGGAAGAGATGCGTAACTTGATCCTCCATAGTTGGAGCATCGAAGTCAACTCGGATTTCCATGTGCGCAAATGCTAACTCTGGGGTCTCTACTAGGAACTGGCCCTCGAAGATCTCGTGGAAGTGCGTGGCGGCTAAAACCTTAGGCCGCTCAGGACCGAGAGAAGTAAAATGGTCTAGTACCGCTGTGACCAAACCAGCACCGTCTAGGCTGTTCGTACCTTTGCCGAACTCATCTATTAACACGAGACTCCTGCGTGTTGCAAAGTTCATCGCAAAGGCAACTTGACGTAGGTCAATAGAAAATGCGCTCTCATTTTTTGCCACACTTTCACGTGTAGCGATACGTGTAAGAATACGATCCGTGATTCCGATTCGAGCTCGTTCGGCTGGGACGAAACAGCCGATATGTGCTAGATAGACAATGAGAGCGGCCTGTTTTAGATATATGCTCTTCCCGGAGTGGTTCGGCCCTGTCAGTACCAATGTGCTGGGATGTTCTATAGAGTTCCGCTCAAGCTCTGCGGAGCTCTCATCTTCTCCTTCATCGGCTTGTTCACCTGGCCCGCCAGCGAGGAAGCAGTCATTAGCAATGAATGACGGGACCACAAGCTCCTGTAAAGGATGGCGACCCCCTTCGATGTGTATGATATTTTGAGTGGTCATTTTAGGTGCAACCCAGTTGTACTGCCCGCAACCAATCGCCAGCGCGAACAGGCTGTCAAGTTCGCCGAGAACATCGGACGCTGCAATGATGGCTTCCCGTTGCGCCAAAACCTTGACAGCGAGCTCGTGAATAATCTCAATCTCGCGGTCTATAGGATATCAGCAAATCGACTGGGTAGTGTAGCGTATATAAAAGGGGGCTTACCAATAATCATACAGTACGCATCTCCAAAATGTTCATCCATCTCCTTCATCTGCCGATTTTTATAATATACGCAACCCTCAGCCACGAACATACGCTCCCATACATCATCTACACCTTCGCCGTTATAGTTACCCTTTCCTGTCTCGGGGTTAAGTGAAACTACCGTTAAGAAACCTAGCTGCGGAAAGAATATACAGTTTTGTATGTACTTTCTCGCCCATTCCGGCAACTCGCTTCGTAGTTTTGCGATGACGTTGGTTAAGAAATGTTCCATGCCATCATAACTGCGCTTCAATTCGTCTAGGTCAGCATCCACGCCTTGTCTGACGGCTGTCTTTCCACGTTCCATTGACTGGTCAAAATCAATGGTTTGACTAATAAGCTCGCCTACTTGACGAAGGGCAAGCGGCTGAATGACACTGATCACCTAGTAACACTTTGAGACCCAATGTTAAATATAGGAATTTACCATGTCTTACCTTTCTAATGATCTCAATATTCTCTGAACCCGGCAGGGTCCGAAGTGATTCTCCAATCTGTAAACTATAGGCTGCGAATCGTTGCAGTGAAGCCCAGACATTGTTCGCGATAGAAATTTTACGTCCAGGTATGTCGACTCCCTTTTCAAGAAGGGCTACTACCGATTTCATATTCTTGACTTTTTTGAGCTCGTTGCTTAGCTGAACAAGGGCCTCGGCATTTCCTGGTCGCAGAAGAAACGATATAGTCTTCTGGCGGGTATGGATCAAATCAATATCAGTGCTTGGTCGTAGAAAAATCTGGCGGAGTTTCAATTTGCCCTGGGGTGTACGGGCCAGATGTTGAAAGAGCCCGTAGACAGATAAACTTTCTTTAGCCCCTGAATTACTGGGACCTCTCAGGTGGCTGTTCGGATGATACTCAGACTGTAGAATCTGAAGGGACACCAGGGTATCAGCGTTGACAAACATGGAGTCAAATAAAGCGAACATCTCGACCGATCTGATTCTGAATGCTACTAGGGCATCAGGGTCGTTTGGTAAGTAATTTACGGTTCTCCTTCTCTGAAGGTCTCCAAGCACTGCGCCAGCACAGCCGATCTGCCACTCGTTAGAAAGATGACATAACGTAAATAGATTGTAATATCTAACCGTTAGCCGGCTGTCAAGGTTTATTGAAGTCCCAAGGCGCATTAGGCGACCTTGCCTTGAGCTTTCATGTCCGCCAATATCATCGGCTTCATCCATGATGTCGTCAACGACAGACGTGAAAAGCACGCTCTGGCGTCCGGGCGTTTCGAGATTTAGTGCCAACAGTTTTCCCTTTCCAACGTCATAACGGAAGTCGGCAGAGTTGAGATTTCTCAGGATATATGCGCTCTGCAAGTCATCTATAAGACTCATTAGTAACGCTTGATACATTTATACCAACACCTTGAAGCTTACTTCGATTCCCGTCAACTCCCTGTGCCCTCCTCGCAAGATAATCTGCTAATTTCTCTGGGGCCCTGGCGGATATAAGCACAGTAGTAGGGTTAACATGGAAAAGAAGTGTCTCAACCAGATCCATTCCTGACATAGCTACGTCTTCAAGGAGGAACAGAGTTTCATCAATTGCGATGTAATAAGCACAACCAAGATTGCCATTTTCTTTCATATCGACTGCTAGGATAATTTCGCTTAATGCATCTGCATCTTCGTTGGTCAACATATCGTCGACGTGCGAGTCATCATCACCTTCAAGATGACTGGAATTATTTGCTGAGATCTGGCTGGATGGTGGACGTAATGACAACCTTTGTCTCTGAGGATGCTGTGAGAGATAGGGGGAAGACGGATAGGGCCGTATTGTAGCCCTCGAGCTTACACGACTTAAGTTCCCCCTTGATGAACCCCTATTTGACGAGCTGAGATATGCAGGAGCGGCATGATTCTGTACTTGATTGGGGGTTGAGAAGACACGATTGTTTATAGCTGACGGGACGAATAATGAGCTAGACTGGCTGAAGAGATTAGTATGAATTGATTGCTCTGATGATACCCTGGACGGGGTCTGATATCTTTGACTGTGCGGCATATTGTGGTTCTGGTTTCTCAAAGGATAGCACTCTACATGGGATATAATATAGGCACTTTGTACCCAATAAGAGATGAGGGAGACGGATGGTATATAGATTAGATTGATTAGATAAACTAGCGTTTCTGGCTAAAAATTTCTCGATTCTAGTATTGCTTCTCGTTATAGAAGGAGCAGTTTCATACTTGAGTTTGGGAGGAACATAGAAGGTGCCACCTCCTTGCGGGAGATAGGTATTTGCCGTGATTTCCAAAGACACACCCAAGAGCAATAGAGGCAACGGCATTCCCACTCGGTTTCGGTTCGTTCCTTCAATAAATCCACTGGGGCCGGTGGTATGTGTGTGGGATAATTATAGTTCGTCTTGCTTCATACGAGTCGCAAAACATAGCGCAGTACCCTAGTAGCTTCGAGCATGTCTCCCATATGTTTACTCTATAAAGTCATGAGAATAGCAAGTCTGGCCTGGTACCGGTGTCTCCGGGTGCCCTGTATACACATCGCTCAACTTCGAGTCTATTTATTTTTGACCCATTCAGCGAACTCGTTCCTCTGCTTCCGAATATCGATAAATCCTGGACGACTCTCTAATAGCCGGAATGGATTCCCAACGTAATCTTTCTCTACCTCTCCGCTGCTGTTTAGAAATCCTGCCTCGCCTTCTCGCTCAATCTTCCCTGCCCAAACACGCCATTGGATGGGTCGCAAGTTAGACGTCCCCAACACCATGCCCAGACAGACAATGAATGTCGCGACGATAGTTTCGATGGTTATATCGATCGGAAGCGTCGTAGTTGCACCGCTGTGTGATGTAGTCAAGGAAGAGAGCGATGCGGCTCGATGCGTTTGTAGAACAGAATGTTCGTAAGCAGAGTAACACCTAAAAACGGAAGCTGTTGTGAGCTGTAATATTCTCCTACTTAGAGAGATAGGTGTCCTTACGAATCTGCTAGAAGTAACAGCCCGAAAGCCGTTACTAATTTGGAAATCCAAGTCATATTTTCGGGAGTCCGGGTAGGTGGTGATTAGGTAGCTTTTCGCAAAATCGGTGATGTCTAAATTGAATGGCCAATTCAATGGGTTACCGTACAAAGTTAGGTAGCTTTGCCAAGAGGGCAACTACAATGTACAATACGTAAGGGTGGTACGGATGTCCCTTTCAAAAGTTTTTACCATAGGGGACCCCTGTCAGGATTGTCGGCAGCTGTCTCATGCTTGGCTAGCGCCTGTCAAATGTTTAAAGATGTATACATTATTATCTTTTAAGTTTAATAATAGGCTTTATAGCTAAAAGTAACGATAACATAAAATAAAAACTTTTAAATTTAAACACTCCTTTTTTATCTTTATTGCATCTCTTTTTGATAAATTTTATGATTTATTTTAAAATAAAAACATATTATTGAAATAGTAAAGTATAATAAGATACAAATGCTGAATAGGTGAGCAGCTGCTGCCAAGCATGGCCAAAGCTTGCCGGGGGTGACAAGGGTCTCCCTATGGAAAAAACTTTTGAAAGGGACATCCGTACCTTACGTTGGCATCTAAGTGGATACCAAATATGTAAAAGTTAGCTATTATGCACTAAAAAGGTATTAACATATGATTCACGACGGTAACACCCAAGATAGTAACTTCCCTCCTATCGGTGCTACTCATCGGTCCTACTGGTAATTTACCCCGTGCTTGCCCGTTTAACCACGGATACTGTACTGAGGTTAAGATTATTAGTTCGTACCTTAGCTGTTTTAGTTATGCGTGAGGCAGGTACTATGGTGTCGTGCAGGTCCGCGAAAAAACCCCGCAATGTAAGAAGGAAGCTCCCCGCAGTGATCTTGAAAACTACGTAACCATCGAAGTAGGTCGTCATCTACAACAAGATCAACTCCTTTCTATCTCTCAATCCACCCGATCAAGCACCAGCACAACTCACTTAGCCATCCTTGCATCATCCAACATGCCTCGTGTAAGTGGCTGTATTTGTTTACTTCATTTTCTTATTCCTTTGTGTTCTCCATGTTTTTTTTTGGGGGGAGTTTTTTTAAATGATCTTTTTGGTATCATCTAACACTATGAATTTATAGGTCAAGTACGTCCTGCTCGACTGCGACAACACGCTTTGTCTGTCGGAGCGTTTGGCCTTTGAGGCTTGCACCGACTTGACCAACGAGGTCTTGGAGAAGTGGGGCAGACCCGAGCGCTACACTGTCGAGCAGCTGCTAGAGGAGTTCGTCGGCCACAATTTCCGTGGTATGCTCAATGGCTTGCAGAAGAAGCACAACTTCACTATGAAACCCGAGGAGGTGGATGCGTATGTCGACCGTGAGCTCGGTGCCGTGACTGCAAAGCTGAGCGAGAAGTGCCAGCCCTGCCCCGGCGCACCAGAGCAACTTGAGGCGCTCAAGCAAGCAGGGTACCCCATGGCTGTTGTCAGCACTTCAGCCAAGCCCCGTGTCGTTGCCAGTCTGAAGAAGGTCGGCATTGACCACTACTTCCCTGACGAGCACGTCTACAGCGCTGCTACTAGCCTGAACCCCCCTACTAGCAAGCCTGACCCTGCTATCTACAACTACGCCTGCAAGCAGCTGGGTGTCAAGAATGAGGAGTGCGTTACCGTCGAGGACAGCAAGAGCGGCGCTACCGCTGCCATGCGTGCGGGTATCCCTCTGATTGGCTACGTCGGTGTCTACGGTATCGAAGAGGGCAAGGAGAAGATGGAGGAGATGGCCAAGGTCTTGACCGAGCAGTGCAAGGCCAATGTCATCATGTACGACTGGAAAGAGTTCCCGGAGTGCCTGAAGAAGATCGAGGAGTCACTATAAGTCGACTTACACGATGAGGTCGGCTCGTATCTTATGGAAGCTTATCCTGCTCCATGCGGCCACCATACAGATTTTTGGGAGACTGCTTTACGATTGAGGAATCTCGCGCATCGGCAGTACCTTTGATTTTTCTTCTTTACGGATTTAGAGAGAATGCATTCTGATCTCTAAGCTAATGACGACCTTCTCACACAAAAGATGGCCATGGACTATGCCATAGAGTCGAGATGTATTTCGAGGTCGGCCAGATACTGATTTCGCGTCTGACTTCCGTTAAATACCGCAGATAAATAAAAAATGGCTCATTCCACGTACATTGATTCCGATGTGATTTCGTTGTATCACAAAGTCGAGTAGAAAATCGCACAAATCACTGCGGGGGTATTAGGAGTAGTGACGTTGATAGGGATACCTTGCTTAATTGCTTTAGCCGATGCGAACCTTGTGACCTCGACCTCATAGGAACATAGCATCGAGGCATCGACTCTCTATCCTTATGTTAATCGTTACCTCAATGAGAGTTCGTAATTGATATAGTAGTTGCCATACGCGGAAAAGAAGCTGCAGCTTCATTGTATGAGGATTATACTACGCTTGTTTAAGTATAAGCGAGCACCATATCGCGGCAAACTTCCCTCGGGAATACGAGGCTGTCCGCTAAATTGAATTACAACCGAATCGAGGAATACATAATATTCACTAAAAATTAGGTACATAGTGGCTGAACAGATACGGGCTGGGAGTTGATCATGAGATCCGGGGATATTAGGTAGTACCATTGTTTATAGTAGAAACCATAATTGTCTCAGGAGTTGATTTCAAGTAATACAGCTCTTAGTTGGTTGACACAAATTTTTGGCTGTGCTCGAACTTGAATGTTGGGAATTCCTATTTAGAATACCGTAAGAGCATATATACTTGCATAAGAAAATTCGACGTTGGGGATAGGCTAATGGCAAGTTATTAATGGAAGATGACATTGAAGGAGAACTCTACAGTGTATATTAATGCCTACTATATATTCCTTACATATCAGGTCAGTTCATTTTATCACTTTATTACCTAAGATAACCAAAGCCGCTACCCCTTCGAGTTGGGGTAGTCTTGGCCTGCAGCCGAGATCTTTCACCTCTACCGCGTTTACGATCAGAAGGCTAGGACGTTTAAGCATAACCTACCTACCCAGATGCTATGTATGCTGTAAGTCAACCAACAAGCTTCTGACGCTGGGACGACAGCCCAATTGTTCTTTGTAATTCACCGCTGCACGGGAGCATTCTAGGTGTTTGCCACATGATCTTTGTTGGTACTGTACTGTACGCGATGCGGTGGGATGATTCGACGACGTCAGCTTTGGAGCTTGCGTCGGGACGTACTGCACCTCGTATTCTCTAGGGGCTTTGAATGGCAACGGGCGAGCACAGCCACCCCGTCTCTGCTCCGACGTTCGAAAGAGCTCGCTGTGTGTGCACGGCTTTGAGACAGACAGACTGTCCCACTCGAGTCTAGGCTGTTGTTGGACAGCGCGCTGCGGGACGTGCTGTGCTGCTTTAAATAGCAGCGTACTGCGCTATGCGAAAGTGGGTAACCGGCGCTGTGATGTTGTGATGCTTGCAGGGTTTGTTGCAATTTTTCAAGACTTGCGAGGGGCGGGTCGAACAACTCTTCGGTAGAAAACCGTGGAAATATGATGGAAGATTCTAAGGCGATACACTTGTTTAGCTTGTTTAGTTAGGCTAGGTATACAAAATGTGTTACTCTGGTGATGGCTAAGTCTATGACATATTTTATGTTGTCAATATGTATGTACAACATGAACATGAGCATGATAGATAATACACGACTGGAATCTGGAAATGACAACAGAGCAACCGATGCGATTTGTCTGTAAAATGAAGTCGAGATCTAATATGCTAGATCTTCTCGCCACTACCACATACATAGACATATGTACATACTTGTCAGGTGAAATTATAAAATTATCAGTGCTCGAAAGATCAATAGTTATCACACAGCAATATGATAAATTTGGAACGATATTATGTATGTAGTCAATCCTTGGTTTTCTTTCCAGCTTTTCCATCTTTTTCTTCCCCACACAGCGAACAAGATGGTCAGATCGCCCCTGATCATACCAGAAACTAGTGTAGTAACCTGCTAAACTCCCCATGTCTTGGAGACAAACATACGGTATATACGTACCTACATAGCTACAACACACCTATAGATATGTACATGATGATAGGCACCTCGGCTCGGGTTCTTATACTATTATCGACCGCCTCCGTCTCATACTTCATACTCCTTGTCTTAACATAACAGAAACCCCCGATCTAGTTACGGAATATCCATTTAGCTATGTAGGTAATTCAAAACCAGCATTACAATCAGGATTTCTGTCGAGGCTATGACAACTCTTTGGTGATGTAGCATGAAAAAGAAGGTCGTATTTTAATTGTAATTTAGCTGCAAACCCCTGGCTCGGCTTGGATCCGGCCCACCAACCATGGCAGCCAAAGCCATGCTAGTCTTAGATTGGATGGCTTTGAATGGTCATGCATTGTAACGCGCGAGGCCGACACGAAAAATTGTACAGCTCAATGACGAGAAATGGAGGCGTCTTAGCGCTTCGTTCTGATGGACGAGGCCCTGCCAGCCCTGGTCCAATCCATGACTGCTAGCAGGCTTCCCCGGGGGCGAGCTATGGAGAGACTTGGTCTCTGATTCATTTCCCTATTAAATAGTCGATCATCCACTGTCTCCTTTGTTTTGGTTCTCGTTCTTGTCTTGCCCCGTCCGATCAGTGTCTTATATAAGACTTCGTCACTCGCTCGTCCACAAGAGATCCAACTTAGCTCAACGGCTTCGTCTACATTCGCTCTTCTCTCTTCTCCGTTCAAATAATCACCTAATAATACCTAATTATTTTACACGCGAGTTGTACAAATATCCCTTCAAGATGCGTTTCTCTGTAGTAGCCGCCGGCCTCCTCGCCACCGTCGCGAGCGCCCAGTCTGACACAAACACCATCACTGAGGTTGCCTCGGCTGCCGAGTCCTCTGCCACTGCTGCCGTTTCCGACGTTACGTCCGCCGTCCTCTCGGTCGTTTCTTCCGTCCTCTCCTCAGCTGATCAGTCCGCCGGCGAGTCGGCTACCACTGGTGCCACTGGCTCAACTGGCTCAGTTCCCTCCGCCACCGTCAGCATTGACCCTGCCCAGACATCCGCGCAGTCCGCCCTCCTCGAATGCCTCGCGGCCTGTAAGTAGAAACCACCCCGCGCGGACAAAATGCCCGAGATCAGTAACTAATCAGTACACGAATAGGCTCCGACGACGATGTCAACTGCAAGG